GTAGGTAGAGGCAAGAAGAGATTCCACATATACATAATGTATATACAAATACCTATAGAGAGACAAAATAGAGACCTTGCAACTTTCAAAGGAGTACAGACTCACTAGTTTGTGTAAGGTTTGGTCTTCATCTTTGTCTGACTTTTATTTGAATTGTATTCTTGCAGATGGAATAAGTCCTTCCCTGTTCAATGCAAAGGCTAAAGCTTTTTACCAATATTTGTCAGAGAGACCTTTAAGCTCTTTTTATTTGCCCTGATATGTAGTCTCGGGGAGGTTGTGCTAAACCTCAGGTGGTTGTTTTACTCTAGAGAAGCTATTTTTTTTCCCCATGACTACACCTCACTTCTGTAACCCCATCTCTACCTAAACAATGTACTATTTTTGGTAGTCTTTTTTTTTTTTTTGCCCCCAGGTTCTTTTATTTATTTATTAAATTCATTTTTCATTGGTGTATTATAATTATACATAAGAGTTGGATTCATTTTATCACATGTGTACATGCATATAGCATAATTTGTTCAATCTCCTTCCCCGGATGTGTGCATATACACACACACACACATATAAATATACACTCATATATATAATCCCCATTTTGTGTGTGTGTGTGTATATATACACACATATACATATATATATATATGTGTGTGAATGTGTATATATATATATAATCCCCATTGTATATACAAGTTGGATTCATTGTGGTATGTTTGTACATGGATATAGCATAATTTGGTAGATTTCATCCCTGAATAGATAGGCTAATTTTTCTGAGATGAACTAAGGAAAAAGGCATTGGGTTTTAAAATTTAAGTGTTCTGGGCATGGTGGCACATGTAATCCCAGTGACTCGGGAGGTTGAGGCAGGAAGATCATCGGTTTGAGACTAGCCTAGACAACTTAGTGAGACCCTAAGAAATTTAATAACACTCTATCTCAAAAAGCTAAAAGGGTAAAAGAGTTGGGGGTGTAGCTCAGTAGTAAATCATCCCAGCATTCAATCCCAGTAACATCCCAGCATTCAATCCCCCCCCCCAAAGTATTAAGGGTATTAATTGGTGTTTATCAGGAAAAATTAATTTCTCATATTTTATGTCAAGAGGCAGTAGTACAGTAAAGTAACGGGCCTAATTCCGGGGCTTAAGCCAGAGTTCTTTCCCTTGAAGTCTGCATTTTAAAGAGGCTCTCAGGTCCTGTAGGAGATGTCTAAAGTGCCTGCTCTGGGTGTGTCAGGGGCATGTTTGCCAGTTACCAAGTTTTGTGTGGAACAAACAGTGAATTCTCAGGGTACTGTTTTACAAGCAGGCATTTTTAAGGGCAGTTGAAATTACCCGCCCTGAGAGCCTGCAGGTCTTATAGCCAGGCTGAGGGCTAGTTGATGTGAGGTCTCAGGGTGGCTGACTGAGCAGGCGGAGGCATAGGGCAGCTACTATTTGAGCTTTTCTTCTCCCTTAGGGCAGGACAGTTCCTTTTTGTCCAGACTTTTTACAGTATCTGCAAGTATTGTGTGATGAACAGCAGAGGTTTGAGATTAGTAAGAAAGATGGGTGGCTCAGGGTTACTCCTAGAGCCACATTTCTGTTTTTATAAAGTCAGTAAGGCAAGGACAGTTGTTATTTTTTTAATATTTATTTTTTAGTTGTAATTGGACATAATACCTTTATTTTATTTATTTTTACATGGTACTGAGGATCGAACCCAGGGCCTCATATGTGCTAGGCAAGCACTCTACCACTGAGCCACAACCCCAACCAGGACAGTTGTTTTTAATTCTTCAAAGAATTGGGTGGTGGCCTCAATAATAACATTAAGGGGATGGCCTGCTCATCCAACTAAATTATTTTGAATTTGTTTCTTTATATCAGAGAAAAAATTTCCCACTGATATAGAAATGAAGATTTCTATATTCTGGGGCTTTGGGATTTAGAGCTCTATGTTTTGGGAATGTTTTTATAAATTGTTTAACAAAGCCTTTAGGATGTGTTGCTGCCCTCTGAGCAGTTTTACTGTAGTTCAGTTAACCTTCTAGGGAAGGCTTCTAGAACAGTTTCTATCAGAACTTGAGCATCAGCCTTCAGCTGGATCATTTGTAGGGAAGGACTGCAGGGAAGTTTGTGGTGGGTGTGGATCTTAATTTTAGCTCTAAATTTGATTTTTCTTCTTTAATTTTGTTGAGGGAGTCTTTTCGATTAGCCATGGTGCTTTTTTGTTTTGTTCTTTCCAATTGATCCTTTTATATGTGCAAAAGGACATTTGTTCAGTAAATGCTCTCTAAAAATACTTTTATTTATTTTCTTTGTCTAAAGTGGTGTGTTTGCCCCCAGTGTTGGGCATTGAACCCAGGGCTTTGTGTATACTAGGCAAGTAATGTAGAGCTCCCCAGAGTTATGGCCCCAGCCCCTGAAGTTGGATCTTTTATTCCTCACGTGGGGAATTCCAAGTTACTGCTCTCTTCCCCCATTGATTTCAAGGTAACATAAGAATTGGTGATGTCTGAACTATTTTACCTCTTTTTATTTATTTTTATTAATTTTTGTAATTTGTTTTAATTAGTTATACATGACAGTAGAATGCATTTATGCACTTTGATATAACAATCATAGGTGGGATATAATTTCTAATTTTTCTGAGTATACATGTTATAGAAATGCTGTTACAGACTACAGTTACCAAATACAAAGTATCAAACCTTCTGTTGGTCCCACAATTTCCTGTCTGCTAGGTAGCTTGCTTTCTAGGTAGCTGGCTGCTGTGGTCTTTGTGGAGGAGGACTAGTCCTGTGCAGGTGTAGAGGTCATCTCACTTTCAGCTTATTCTCAGGAATGTCCTTTCAGCCACATAGGTCCTCGTGTTGCCAGGCACCTCTTCTGGTTGCTTAGTGTCACTGCTAGCTGTACAGTATATAGTCCATCACCCCAGTCCTACTAACCAGGCTGGTGCATATTGCCATAGGATCCTCTGGTTATAGTTCATGATATCATTTCTTTAAAAACAAAACAAAACAACTGCTCTTCCAGAGACATCTGACTTAAAAAATTGGGTCCCCAACTGTTCAGTACTTCTCAATAATAAAGTTGTTAACTGGTGTTCTTTCCATCTTTATAGGAGTTGGGTGCTCTCCTTATTCAGCCTCTCTTGCCCAGGGTCCACTGTGAATTACAGACCATCTAGTACTTGGTCCTGTTGTTGACATCCCACTGAGCCACAAAAATGAGATTGATTATGTAGGCCTTGTTACAGAGTTGGACACAAATATCTCTGGTGTTGTTAGCATTATATTACAGCTGATGAGACCATTTGTGTAGATTTCTGTCGTTGTGTTCTTCCCAGAGAGGGATCCGCAGTCACTCACTTTTCAGAAGGCACAGCTCTGAATGGCATGGAACTCTCATTTTAGTGCATATCCCAACTGGCTAACCAAGTCTAACTGCTGGCCCTTGGCCTAGTAATTCTTGCAGGTGTCATTGGGAATGCCTTACTGGTGGACATACTCCCAAACCAGTAGCCTGTGAACTCCCTTACATGCTGTTGCTCCAGAACAAGGTGGAGGGTCCTGTGCCCTTCCTCTTGATGTTGGTCAGATCTGCCCTGGCACTGGTGCTGGTATGTTCCAACAGGAGCTTCAGTACTGGGGGATGTTCCTGGTGACACTGTCATAATTGACATCATCCACACTGTGCCAATCAAACTCTAGGGCAAATCCATTAGGGACAAGCACTCATGAATCCAGGGGTACATCCTGTACCCCAATGGCACAGCTGATTCCCCCACAGGGGCCAGTAGCGGGTCTGGCCTGGAGGTGGCAGAGGCAAGACTGTGCAGTGCCTGATGCCTGCAGGAGCAGCAGCAGCAGCAGCAACCACAGCTGCACCTGCCTGGATGATGCCTTCCTGCTGGCTCCTGCCCTAGATCCTAAATATTGTGCTGGCTTCCCATCCCTGTGCTGGCCTCGGGCCAGCAAGCACCAAGCCAGCCCTCATTCTCCCATGTCCTGACCTTACCCCTTAAAAATCTTTTTGATCTTGACAGTTTTTCCAAATAAAATGATCTATAATCTGGCTATTGACAATTTAGGATCTCCAATGGCATTCTAAAATTTGATTCAAAACCAAGTCTTTACATGGCTTAACCATGAGTTACAATGCAAAGGAACCTCCATAACAATACATTCCAGGTTCTCAACATTACCAATGTCAGCTCTTTGAAGTCTATCTGTAATTAACAGCAACAATAAAAATCCCAGAAATAAATTCATTTTCTGAAAATAGCTAATCATCTGGGATTTTGATCAGCATGACACCAGATAGATGTTTGAGTTTTAAAATAGAATTGGTTAATTTTTTAAATAATCTAGAATTCTAGATATAATCATTAAACATTTAAAATTGGAGTAATTGGGCAGGGGTTATGTAACTCAGTGGTAGAGTGCATTCTTAGTTTGTGCTAGGTCATGGGTTCAATTTGCACAGCCTAAAAACAAAAAAATAAAACAAAAAAATCAAAAACACAAAAAAATGGATTCATTTAAAATAAGATGATTTCCTATAAACCTTATCTTCCATGGTAAAGACTTGGGAACTGTCAGTGGTCAACCCTTTGTTACTTTTATGCTTATAAGAGAAATATAGTATCTTTAACATCAGAATTAAAACAACTTATATTTGTAAATTTATGATTAAATTTTTTTCCTCCTCTAGGAAATTAATGTACTATCTTGATCATTACAAAATGCATCTTTTTATTCACAAATTCAACCAGCCTCAAAACATTATTAGGAAAAAAATTGTGGCAGAATTTGCAGCTTAGAGAAAAACAGAACTCTACTGAAAACCATAACCTGAAAAAATGAGGAATTACAAAAAAATATTCTTGGCCAAGAACTCCGATGTTATGGGCTCTGGCCTTTCTGTGTACCCATTTCCTTTAGGAAGTTCTTGAGTATGATTGTAACAGGAGTGTTTTGTTCTTTTCCCCTGTGGTTGTGAAAACCCCACTAGGTTGGTGGATACTGGGATAAGTCTTGTAGCACAGTCACTCAGCTGAAGGAAGGTCTCAACCGGATCCTTTGCCTGATCCCCTACAATGTGATCAACCAATCAGTGTGGGAGTGTATTATGCCAGAATGGCTGGAAGCCATCAGAACAGAAGTCCCAGATAATCAGTTAAAGGAATTCAGGGAAGTATTAAGGTGGGTAAGTAGTTTAATGAAGTCACTGCAATTATATTGATATCTAACATTTATCAAGCATGTACTGTGTGCTAGGTACTCTACTAAGTATTTTGTGTAATCTCCCTTTTTAACAATTCTATGAGAATTGGGAAGCCCCAAATAAAATAGCTACTATTAATTGAATCAAAATGATTTGAAATTGTTCAGAAAAGATCTTGTTCTTGAGGAATTATAAATATACATCATATTGTTTGCTTATTTTCAAATATGATTTGAAATTGGCTGTGTTGGAAAAGTACAAAGATAAAATATTTTTAGAGGCTAGGATGCAGCTCTAATTCCTTAGAAATGTAATTTCTTCTGTTGAACCTAATATGCATATGGGCATTAATGTGATTCCATGTGAATTATTTATATGTATTTCTGTGATGTAAACAATTCTCTTACAGTGAAACAAGTTATACTAATAATAGATCAGAACACAAACTCATCTAAAAGGTTTGGCTCTCCAAATAGGGTATGGTGAGAAATACTTTGGTGATATCAGTTTACCCTAATGTGTGCCCATTGGTCATTTACTTTTGTTGCTCTGCTTTTCAGCAAAATGTTTGACATTGAGCTCTGTCCTCTGCCTTTTTCATTGGAAGAGATGTTTGGATTTATTAGCTGTCGGTTTACAGGCTACCCCTCCTCTGTGCAGGAACAAGCTTTATTATGGCTTCATGTAAGTGAATGATACTTATGATTGTTTGGGGTAATAGTTCTTATCCTAGAAGCTAAGTTCTTAGCCTTGTTAGAGGGGTGGGAGGTTTTGCAGGGTCATATATTCATGTGTTCATTGAGGATTATTATAGACTAATATCTCCTAGTCATAAATAAATGATTAAATTTCAAATATATGTAGCTCTAGTTATGGTTAACAAATATAAATTTATGCAATAGTGTTACTGAATTCATAGAGATTTTTGGTCCTTATATATTACTTGCTGTCTGGGATTCTGAAAAACTTTTAGTATTAAACAGGTCCTTTATTTGGAAGGGTGAGGACTACTGATTAAAGGAGGGAGTGGCTCGTCTGCTTCCTCAACCGGGAATGACTCTCTTTTCTGCCTCTCCTGTGAGCTCCAACCTCTCCTGTAAAGCCCAGCTCGGAGGGGTCTCCTCTGACGTTTCCCGCTGCTCTACACCCCCATTTGTCCATCGAGCACTTTTCTTTCCCCCCAGTATCCAGACAGCTTCTCTGTGTGAAATCTGTTCTTTCTTAGAGTTAGTTTTTGTTTCTTCTCCTGCTTACACACTCCTTGGGTTCATGGACTGGGTTTTATTTTTTTGAATTTACAACTCTCTTCATCCTTTCCTCTCGTGCTTTGTATTTAACGAATGTTTAATAAAAATTTATTAAATCGAGTTGAATATCTGATGTAAAGTTTTGGGCAGTTTCAGAAAATAAGGACAAATTTATTGTTTAGAGTAACTATGGTTATAGTTACTTTTTTACAATTTTCTTTTGCTGTGCTGGGGATTGAATCCAGGGCCTCATGCATTCCAGCATATTCTGTCCCACTGAGCTACGTCTCTAGCCTCAGATGCATTTCTGTGTCACACAAAGACGAACTCTTATACACCTTTCTCCTATGAGCCTTTCAAGTTGCAAAAAAGGCCTTTCTGGATTCTAAACTAAGGAACAATTTTTTTTTTACAATTAACAAAGAATAAAGGGAGCATTTGAAAAAAAAAGTCACCTTGGGATTCAGAATTTTAACTTATTTTATCTCCACATAGATTTCAGTAAGATAATTTTTATTTTAGGAAAGCCAGTCTTTCCTATACATGGCTCAATGTTGCCTCAGTATTCTGTGACACACCCCTTAAGCTGCAAACCTCTGTCCCCATCAGAGTTAGGTCAGATACAGTCCACAGGTTCTATGGACTTGGCTCTAATATGGCCTTACTGTGAAGGCAGTGTGCTGTAGTTGAAGGTTTCAAACTCCTGGTCTCACTTTTTGGGGAGGGGACTGAACAATACAGTGGTTGGAATTGAATCATATATGCATTAATTGGAAAGTTTTTCAGAGCTCTTGTGTGCCAGGCATTGTAAGGTGGCTCTTCCCCCATACTTCCTGTCTGTAAACAGATCATGGTGTGAGGGATAGTGACAGATAATTAAATGCAGCAAAACGTGGTAATTACTATAATAAACATATATGTAAAGCTCTAAGAAGCAGAGACTAGGGTTGTTTCTTTTCTGTCTGAAGGAAGCAGGTATAGATTTCCAGGAAATTCTTTTCAAATAAGATGACTTGATTTTGGCCCAGAAAGACATAAGCTTGTACCAGACAGCAAGATTGGATGGGGTTATCAGGTGAGAGTGCAGAGGAACTCAAGGAAGATACGACCAGATTCTGTTGTCCAGGAGAAAGATGTGCGCGAAAGCAATAGCACTGGGTATAAGGAGGAGGGATAGCATCAAGAGAAACTTGATGATTTCTGTGGAAAGAACATGGCGCGGTGACTTATTGGATATCAGGGTAAGGAAAACTCAGTTTAAAGACACCCTTGATTTTCTTGGTGCAAAAATTTGAGGATGACTGTAGAATATGAGTAAGGTTGAATGTCCTCTTGCTTAATAGTTTGATTTAGGGAAAAAAATTATTAAATGTAGCTTTCTGAGTTTTAAATTTGACATGTTTGGGGGGAATATGTCCTTTTTTCTCCAGGTATTATCGGAGTTAGATATCATGGTTCCACTTCAACTCTTAATAAGCATGTTTTCTGATGGAGTTAATTCTGTCAAAGAACTGGCAAATCAAAGAAAATCAAGAGTCAGTGAACTGGCAGGGAACCTTGCAGCTCGAAGGGTAATTATTACCTGATTGTTCTTGTCTGTCTTAAGATTTAAAAAATCCTTGTCAGTTTTATCAAGCTTGAAAGTAGCATCATAAGAAATCTCTCTGAAGATACTTTTTAAAATCACATCTCATTTCAGTAATTTTAAAAGTACATTAAATAAAAAATATTTATCCGAGATAGTTTTGGTATAGTCTATAATTAATAAGTTATTGAGTTTTTAATTTTTCTTTGGGAAAAATTAATTTTAGCTCTCTCTCACTACTGATAAAAGGAAAAGACAAAACAAACAAACAAAAAACATAGCTTTTTTGATGCCCCCTCTACCCCACCTCTCTTGATAAATGAGAGTTCATTCCAGCTACTGGGCAAATCAGTGCTTCACACACATTGTGAGGAGTTTGGATGGTTTTTTTGTCTTTTGCTTTTTGTCATTGTGTTTTGGGAAAACGAAATCAATTGGTGGTGACTATAGATAGTGCTGTCAGTATGAACTAACTGAGCTCGTTTTATTGACCTCTTTACATCTCTGTGGATGAGAAAAGTGTTCAAAAACTGTTAGAAAGTTTTGATACTGTTTCTGTGGGGAATCTGATGTGGTTTCTGCTGGCCATGTGCAGTTTCTGAGAGGCTGATTCTCCCTGGAGGGTGGGCAAGGACTTCCCAACCCTCCCGTCAGACCTCTCCATGGAACCCGCCTTGTTTAGTCAGCTTTTTGCTGCTGTGACCAAAAGACCTGACAAGAACAATTTTAAGAGGAGGAAAAGTTTACTTTGGGGCTCCAGGTTTCAGAGGTCTCAGTTCATAACCTCCGACTTCATTCCTCTGGGCTGGAGGTGAGGAAAACACCATGGTAGAAGGGTGGTGAGAAGGAAAGTGGCTCAGGACTGGACACCAGGCATCAAAAAATTATTCTGCTCTCCAGAGACAAATATATACCCCAAAGGCATGTCCCCAATGGCCCCTCTCCAGCCATATCCTGTCTGCCTACAGTTGTCCCCCAATTAATCCCTATCAGGATCAATGCACTGACTCTAAGTTAAGGCTCTCGTAACCAATCATTTCACCTCTAAAATTTTTTGCATTGTCTCACACATGAGCTTTTGGGAGACATCTCATATCTAAACCATAACACTGTCCCCATGCCACCTGATGTCTAGGGAATAAGAAACCTAACATGATGATAGGATCATGGTTTGTATTCATTACTCAAAAATAAATCACTTCTTTTTCATCGGCCTGTTAGGAACAAGCTGCCAACCACCTAATTTTATTTCTTTCTTCTATAACCTTTAAAATGGTATTACTTTTTGTGGTACTTTACTCTGTGCAAAGTATTCACAATGAACAATATCACAGAATTGTGTGAAGCAGTCAGGGAAGAACTCATTATCCTCACTTTACAGCTACTTAACTTGATACTTGGTAAGTGAAGTGATTCATAAATAACACTGTAAATATCCAGGTATTCCAATTCTTAATGGGGTGCTCTTCCTCTTTGCCTTAAAAATAGTGGCTGTGGAGCTTTCGGGTTCCTAGAAAGATCTTTATGAGAGAAAATATGATTTGAAAATAAAAGTGATACACAGTTATGGCAGTCTGGGCTCTGATACAGAATTTATTCCAGATGGTTAAAATGAAGAGTCTTTAATGGAAATTCTGCCTATAGAGTTATGGAAAAGGTTATAGCAGCAATAAGAGTTGATGAAGCACCCAGAATCTAGTGACAGTCTGGTAGGAAGCCTCTATTCCCCTAGGGCTGAAATAACAAGGAAGAAAGTTCCTGGCGCCAACTGAGAGCCGACACTAGAAGGAAGGGCTGCTGGAGAAGCTTCAGAGTGATGCGACACTTCCCAGGTGCAGCTCCAAAGCCAGGAAGAGGGTGGGGGGAAACAATCCTGCCTCCTGCCCTGCCAGCTGCAGGTGCTCTCTGGTGCCTTCATCCACTGAACCCACCTGGAGGCCAAGCAGCAAAGGAGCAGGGTATACTTAGTGCACAATACCCATGGCATGAAGGTGGGCAGAGAAGGGCAGTGAGGGCTGGAGATGAGGCTTGGGAGATATATAAGCAGAGTGGTAGGTTTGGCATTTATTATTTTCTCGTGATAGTTAATCATTATAATCTCCAGAGGCCATTCTTCTTTAGTCATATTAATCTGAGATTCTGTGCTTATTTTTCTAAAAATTATCTTGCATTATTTTACTTTTTGTAATTCCTCATTTTTTCAGGTTATGGTTTTTAAACTAGATTCAGACAATCTAGTTTAATTGGAACTGTTTGATGGGATGAAGAATATGACAAATGCCTTCATTTTCCAGTGTTGATGTTTCATTCTTTGACAATTAGTCTGAAAACTTGGATGGTTCTGTCATTTTAATGTGTTGAGAGGATTAGTTGTATTTGGAGGTACTAATGTCATTGGGTAATGTCAAAGGAAATCTGTGTGACAGCTGGAAATGCCTTCTGTAGAGTCCCTAATTATTTTATGCAGCCATTTGAGCTTCTGTGAATTCATTTATGTGTGTTGACATTCTTTCTCATAGGTGAGTGTTGCCTCTGATCCTGGACGACGAGTTCAGCACAGTATGCTGAGTCCGTTTCATAGTCCTTTCCAGAGTCCATTTCGGAGTCCTATGCGTAGTCCATTCCGTAGCCCTTTCAAGAATTTTGGTCACCCAGGAGGAAGGACTATTGACTTTGATTGTGAAGATGATGAAATGAATCTAAACTGTTTCATCCTCATGTTTGATCTTCTCCTGAAACAGGTAGCTGAAGCATGAGCTTCCCTTATTTCAAAGGTGAAGAAGGAGGAAAAAACATTGTATAATGATTCTTTCCATGTGTTGGGCATTTTCACACTTACTGAAGTGATTTGAAAATAAAAGTGATACACACTGGCATCACTCAGGTCATTTTACATATTGCTTTGGAAATTTCCTAAAGAGCCTGAAAACTACTTGTGCAGATATCTGCAATGACATGTGAGAATGGATTTGAATTTTAGAAGATTATGGCTTCATTAGAATTGATTCTGTTGAATAAATTGGGTGAACAAACTGGATAAAACTATTTTTGTGAAACAGTGAGGTACAACTCCATAGAGATGGGACTAATTTTAATATATCTTATGGGTTGATTTTCAAAGATAATTTTTAAAAGATAAATTAAAAAGACTTTGATCAGAAGAATATTTCTTCCTAATTTTTTATTCTTAAATAATTTTAGATTTGCTGACAAGTTGCAAGGATAGTATAAAGAACTCCTGAGCACTCCTGTCTCAAATTCTTCAGATGTTAATATTTAGCACATGTACTTCTGTCTCTCTCTCTTTCTCTGTATGCGTATAAATGAATTTTCTTAAGGAATCATGTGAGAGTAAGTTGAAAACATGGTATTTTTATCCCCAAGTACTCCAGAGTGGTTTCTAAAAAATAAGGATATTATCTAACATAATCACAGTACAGTTATCAAATCAGGAAATATTTTATCTATCTTACAGAAATTACTCATTTAAAACTGATATAATAACAGTATCATTTTTATAATAAGGAAAAAACACTGTTTTTTATCTAGGAACAATCTAGGGTCAATCACGGCAACAACTGGTGCTGGTTTCTTGGTCTTCTTTAATCCATGACAGTCCCTCAGTTTTTGTTTATTGTGCCTGTCTTTGACAGTTTTCAAGAATATAGTTTGGTTGTTTTGTTGAATGTGTTTCACTTTGAGTTTGTCTGGCATTTCCTTATGACTTAATTTGGCTCATACATTTTTGGCAGGAAGAACCAAAGATGCGATGTTCTGTCCTTTGTAGTGCATCATGTCAGGAGGCACAGATAGAATACTGACCCCTTACTAGTGATAACTTTGATCACTTGGTTTACAACATGATTTCTGCTAATTTTCTCTATTGAGTCATTACAAATCAGCCCTGTGTATGTAGGAGTTCCATATCAGCATATATATATATATATATATATATATATATATATATACCAAGTATTAAAAAAATTGAAAAAAATGCATTTATAGTAAACATGTACAGACTTATTTTCTTGTTATTATTCTCTAAATATAGTGTAACAACTATTTATATAACATTTACATCATGTTAGGTATTGTAAGTAATCTAGAGATGGTTTGACATAAATGGGAGAATACATGTACATTACATGCAGATATTGTACCATTTTTATATAAAGGACTTGAGCAGCTATGGAAATTCATATATGTGGGCAGGTTCTGGAGCCAATCCCCTGTAGATACCAGGGATACCTGTATTTTCCCTTTTGAAAATAGCAAGTAACTTGTAGGGAAACACGTTCAGATGATGAGATTTCCTTTTTTTTTTTTTTAATGAGACTTTTTAGGACTGACATTCATTTCATGCCTGCATCAATTTTTACTATGATGGCTGCCAAATGATATTTTTTATTTTATTCGGTAAGTTATAATCTTTAACTATGATTATTTATTTTGTTGCTCATATTGGCCAGTGGGAGTCTGTTAAAGCTGGCTCTGTGTTCTCCTGACATGTTCATATCATTCTTTGAACATTTCCTTAATTTCTGGCATGACAAGATATTCCAGGTTCATCTTATATTTTCCTTGCCTCAGCCCTGGAATTGGCCATTTCTCCAAGGATCCCTGATTCCTATCCACTAAGTGGATAGCAGTAATTAGAAACCAAGATCTGGAAAGTAGATGAGGAATAGCATTTTTTTAAGTGTATAAAATATCACAAAGTGATGCATTTTAAAACAACTCTGTTAAATGTTATGTGATTTTAAAAATAATTCTCATTATTTTGTCTTGTGTTTATATTTTTTCTAGAAGACTCTTTGGAAACCAATATCAATCTATGATATTGAACCTATATTGTCATTAAATAATTTAATGTTGGTGTCAGTAGTGAAAATTATCTCCATCTAGTATGTCAATGAAATGTTGGATAAAAATACCAAATTCCTTCTTTTTCTTCTTCTTCTTATTTATTTATTTATTTATTTATTTATTTATTTATTTATTTATTTATTTGGTCCTTTTCCCAATGTCTTTCAGATGGAGTTACAAGATGATGGAATCACAATGGGTTTAGAGCACAGCTTGTCAAAGGACATTATTTCTATTATAAACAATGTCTTCCAGGCCCCCTGGGGGGGCTCCCATACCTGCCAGAAGGAGGAAAAAGCAATCGAGTGCAACTTATGTCAGTCTAGCATCCTCTGTTATCAGCTTGCTTGTGAACTCCTAGAAAGACTGGCTCCCAAAGAAGAGAGCAGGCTGGTGGTAAGCAGTGGAAGAAGCGAGATGACTTGTGTACAGTAGTAATGAAGATGGCGGCAGTGGTGTAATGGGGTCTTCCTCCAGGGTTATCTTATGCTCTGTGCTGGGTTATATGTGAGACTGTACCAAAAGAAAGTTTTCCTATTACTTCCACTAACACAAGTTCCTGGAAAAAAACTGGAGATGCAGCCACATTATATGGAATTCTATTAAGTGGCTTGAGTTAGGGTTGTAGAATTCCATTCATGCAGTTTCCATAAACATAAAGCATTACTGGTATTTTAAAAGAACTTGTATCATGAAGATTTAAGATTTTTTTAGTTGCAAATGACAGTATATTTTGACATATTATACAAATATGAAGTCCATCTTATTCTAATTAGGATTCCAGTGTTGTGGTTGTACATGGTGTGGGGTGTGGAGATTTACTCTGGTGTATTCATATGCATACATAGGAAAGTTATATTAGATTCATTCCACTGTCTTTCCTATTCCTGTCTCCACTCCCTTCCCTTCATACCCCTTTGTTTAATCAACTGAATTTCTGTTCTTTCCCTCCCCACTGGTGTTGTGTGTTAGCATCATTATTTCAGTGAGGACATTTGGGTTTTGGGATTGGCTCATTTCGATTGGCATAATAGTCTCCAGATCCATTCATTTACTAGCAAATGTCATAAAGTCATTCTTATTTATGGCTGAGTAATATTCCATTGTGTATACATTCCACAATTTCTTTATCCATTCATTTGTTGAAGTTTGGTTCCATAGCTTAGCTATTGTGAACTGAACTGTAATAAGCATTGATGTGGATGTGTCACTGTAGTATGATGATTTTAAGTCCTTTGGGTGTTAACTGAGGAGTGGGATAGCTGGGTCAAATGGTGGTTCCATTCCAAGTTTTTGAGAAATATCCATACTGCTTTCCAGAGTGACTGCACCAATTTGAAGTTCCACCAGCAATGTATGAGTGTATCCTTTCCCAGACAGCCTTGCCACCATTTATTGTTACTTGTATTCTCGATATTTACCATTCTGATTGGAGTGAGATGAGATCTAAGTGTAGTTTTAATTTGCATTTCTCTAACTGCTAGAGATGTTGAACTTTTTTTTATATATTTACTGGCCATTCATATTTCTTTTTCTGTGAAGTGCCTGTCAGTTCCTTTGTCCATTTATTGATTGGATTATTTGTTTTTGTGGTGTGAAGATTTTTGAGTTCTTTATGTATCCTGGAGATTAATACTGTGAGGTGCAGGTGGCAAGGATTTTCTTCCATTCTGTAGGCTCTCTCTTCATGCTCTTGATGGTTTCCTTTGCTGTGAAGTTTGATACAGTCCCATTTATTGATTCTTGATTTTACTTCTTGTGCTCTAGGAGTCTTATTGAGAAAGGTGATTCCTAAGCTGACATGATGGAATGCTGGGCCTACATTTTCTTCTAGTATGTGCGACATTTCTTGTCTAATGCCTAGGTCTTTGATCCACTTTGAGTTAGTTTTGAGTTGAGTTTTGTGCAGGATATGAGATTAGGGTTACATTTTACTCTACTACTCTATAGATTTTCAGATTTAATCTATATTCTATATAGATTTTCAGTTTTCCCAGCACCATTTGTTGAAGAGGCTGACTTCTTCAATGTATATTTATGGAGCTTTTGTCTAGTATCAGATAACTGTATTTAAGTGGGTTTGTCTCTGTATCTTCTATTCTGTTCCATTGGTCATCATGTCTGTTTTGGTGCCAATACCATGCTGTTTTTGTTACTATATCTCTATTAGCTATTGTGAATTGAACTGTAATAAGCACTGATGTTGATGTATATCTCTGTAGTACAATTTAAAGACTAGTGTTATGATGCCTCTGGATTCACTTTTCTCACTAAGGATTGCTTTGGCCATTCTAGGGCTTTTATTTTTCCAAATGGATTCCATGATTGCTTTTTCTATTTCTATGAACAGCATCATTGGAATTTTAACAGGAATTGCATTAAATCTGCATAGTGCAAATAGGAATAGTTTGGGCTCTTCTTTTCCTATTCATATCTCTTTACTTATTTTGCCTAATTTCTCTGCTTAGAGTTTCAAGAACTATGTTAAGTAGAAGTAGTGAAAGAAAGCATCCCTATTTTGTTCCAGTTTTAGAGGGAATGCTTTCAGGTTTTTTTCTCTATTTAGAATGATGTTGGTCTTGAGTTTGTCATATATAGTTTTTACCATGTTGAGGTATGTTCCTACTATTTGTAATTTTTCTATTTGTTTTAAATGTGAATAGATTTTATATTTTGTCAATTTTTTCTGCATCTATTGAGATAATTATGTGATTCTTGTCTTTAAGTCTATTGATGTGGTGAATCATATTTATTGATTTCTGTATTTTGACCCAACCTTACATCCCTGGGATGAAACCTACTTTGATCATGGTGCACTCTCTTTTTAATATATTTTTTGTGAAGTTTTCCATTATTTTATTAACAATTTTTGCTTTTGATGGTGTCTTTAATTTCATTACTTGAAATTGATCTGTTTAAATCTTCTATGTCCTCCTTGTTCAATTTAGGTAGGTCATGTCTCTAGAAATTTGTTGATGTCTTTAAGATTATCTAATTTATTGAAGTATAAATTTTCAAAATAGTTTCTGATTATCCTCTGGTTTTTAGTAATGTCTGTGGTGATATTTCCTTTTTATCATGAAATATAATAATTTGGTTTTTTCCCTCTCTTTCTTTTGGTTAGCTTGGTTAAGGGTTTATCAAATTTGTTAATTTTTCAAAGAACCAACATTTTTGTTGAGTTTTTTAACTTTTACAGTTTCAGTTTCATTGATTTCAGCTCTGATTGTAATCATTTCCTGTCTTCTGCTGATTTTGGTGTTGATTCATTCTTTTTTTAGGGCCTTGAGATATAATGTAGATTATTTATTTGGTGTCTTTCTATTCTTAGAACAAATAAGTTAAATGCTATGAATTTTCCTCTTAGAACCACCTTCATAGTGTCCCAGAGATTTTGATATGTTACATCATTATTCTCATTTACTTCTAAGTATTTTTTATTTCTTCTATGATTTCTTCTGCTATCATTTTGTCATTCAATAGTGTATTATTTAGTCTCCAGGTATTATTTTTTATTTTATCATTGATTTTTAATTTCATTCCATTATGATCTGATAGGATGCATGGTATTTTCTCTATTTTTAAAATTTCATTCCATTGTGATCTGATAGGATGCATGGTATTTTCTCTATTTTTAAAATTTCATTCCATTGTGATCTGATAGGATGCATGGTATTATTTCTATTTTTTTATTTGTTAAAAGAGTTGCTTTGTGGCCTAAGATATGGGTTATTTTAGAGAAGGATCCTTGTGCTGCTGAGAAGAAAGTGTGTTCAGTCATTGATGGATGAAATAGTCTATACATGTCTGTTAGATCTAAGTTATTAATTATATTTTTTAGTTTTACAACTTTTTTATTTAGTTTTTGTTTGGACAATCCATCCAGTGATGAGATAGGCATGTTAAAGTCACCCAGTATTATTGTGTTGTAGTCTATTTGATTCTTCATATTGAGAAGCCATGTTGATATGTGTATTATATCTTCATATTGAAATGCATAGATGTCCCATTGTTTAGGGCATAGATATTTATTGTTATTTCTTGTTTTATAATTCCCTTAAGTAGTCTGAAATAACATTCTCTATCTCCTATGATTAACCTTGACTTGAAGTCCATTTTATCTGATATGAGGATAGAAATCCCTGCTTGTTTACGAGATCCATGTGAATGATATGTTTTTTTCCAATCCTTTCATATTCATTCTGTGGGTGTCTTTGCCTATGAGGTGAGCATATTGTTGGGTCTTGTTTTGTAATCTAGTCTGCCACTCTGTGACTTTTGATTGATGACCTTAGGCCATTTACATTTTATGTTATTAGAGAGATGATTTTTAGTTCCTGTCATTTTTATTTATTTCTGGTTTTTAGTTTGTATTAGTTTCTCCTTTGATTGACTGTTTTCCTAGTGTAGTTCCTCCCTCTGCTGTTTTTGTTTTTTGTTTTTATTTTTAATTTCTTCTTCATGAAATATTTTATTGAGTATGTTTTATAGTATAGGCTTTCTAGTTGTGAATTCTTTTAACTTTTGTTTATCATGGAAGGTTTTTATTTCATCTTCAATTTGAATGTTAATTTTGGTTGGATTCCATTTTCTTTCAGAACTTGTATAGATTATTCTAAGATGTCCTAGCTTTTAGGGTCTCGGTTGAGAAGTCAGCTGAAGTCTGGAATGATTTATGTCTAGATATGACCTATGGTTTTTCTCTAGTAGCCTTTAAAATTCTGTCTTATTCTCTATGTTAGACACTTTCATAATAATGTGCCTTGATGTGGGTCTATTGCAGTTTTATATATTTGAAGTTATATAAGCCAACTGTATTTGATTTCTCATTTCATTCTTAATGTTTGGGACGTTTTCTGATGATATTTCATTTAAAAGATTGTGCATTCCTTTAGTTTGTATTTTCAGAGCCTTCATCTATCCCAATGAATCTTAAATTTGGCCTTTTCATGTTATCCCATATTTCTTGGAAGTTCTTTTAATGGTCTCTTAACATCTTTTCTCCATGGTAAACTGTATTTTCAAGATTATATATTTTGTTTTCATTGCCTAAAACTCTATCCTCCAAATGGTCTAGTTGTTGGTGATGCTTTCCACTGAATTTTTAATTTGGTTTATTGATTTCTTCAGCTTGAGGATTTCCATTTGGTTCTTTTTTAGAAACTATCACTTTATTGAAGTGATTTTTCACTTTATTTTCTTTCCAGTTTCACTCCTTACATCATCTTTTACTTTATAAATCAGTTTAACTATGAACTTTTAAAATTCCTCCTCTGACATTTTCTCCACTGTGATGTCAATGGATTCTGTTATTGAGGTATTTTTATTTGTTTGGGATGGTTTGTTCCCTTGCTTTTTCATATTGTTTGTGTGTCTACCCATTTATTAGTATCAATCTGAGGTGGCAGAGTTTCTACCCTGTGAATTTATAGTATCCATGAATATTTCTGGTACCTAGTGGTTTAGGGGAAGACAAAATAATAACAACAACAAATGAAAACAGTATACAGCATTGAACTAAATACTGTTTCTATTATGACATCTACAATGTTAATTGGCTCAATAAACACAAATTTTATGATGAGCAATTGCTGGGCATGGTGGTGCATGTCTATAATCCCCAAAACTCTAGAGGCTGAGGAAGGGAAATTGCAAGTTCAAAGCCACCTCAGCAACTTAGCGAGGCCCTAAGCAACTTAGTGAGATCCTATCTCAAAATACAAAATAAAAAGGCGGGGACACCAGGCGTGGTGGTGCACACCTGTAATCTGAGCAATTTGGGAGGCTGAGGTAGGAGGATCTCGAGTTCAAAGCCAGTCTCATCAACTTATCAAGGCCCTAAGCAACTCAGGGAGACTCTGTCTCTAAAAATATATATTAAAAGGGATAGGGATGTGGTCAGTGGTTAAGTGCCCCTGAGTTCAATTCCTGGTACAAAAAAAATAAAATAAAATAAAAGGCTGGGGACATGGCTCAGTAGTTACATGTCCCTGGGATCAATATCCAGTATTAAGAAAATCATGATTTAGATGCTCATCAGCAGATGAAGACTCTTAGAACATATAGTGTCTACTGCATGTAGTAGCTACTTCCTAATTGGACAAGTGGGGATCAGGAGAGTGGATGAGGACAAGAAGAATGGGCTGGCAGGAGGCTTTGGCTAGTCTGGTCTCTGCCACCTTGGTGGACAGTACTGGAAATGTGGGTTCCCAGGTGTATGCAGGAGTCGGTATATAGCAGGCAACTCTCCATTGGGCCAAACTGTGTGAAACTCAGTTTATGATTTGCTGTGGTGTTTTCTTTCTGTTTGTTCCAGGAACAGGGCCAGCCTCAATAAAACTGTGAAGTTGGCAAAGGTGTTTGTTCAGAGCCCTATCAGTTACTGTTTTAGCACTTATTTTTTCTTTTCATGATCTTCTTTGTCCTGCCAATCTTTATCTCCTATTTGCTTGTCAAATAAATTTTGAAAAAATGTTTAGTGGTCAATGTGATAGTTATGAGGATAATTTTATAAGAAGATATTTGAAGATGAGTCATGAAAGAAAAAAAGTAGAAGAGTTACCCTAGGTTAGATATTTTAAATGGTAGCCATACCTATCCCTCTCTTAAAAAAAAAAAAACTCAGAAAAATTAAATATTTTCTTTTCCTTCTATTTTTTGCAGCTTGTTTTATTTGCGTGTACACACACATATGCATATACATGATGTGTTATGTATAAATACAGAACTTTAAGTATATTTGCATTGTTATAAAACCCATCTCCAGGACTTTTTCCTATTGCAAAACTGAAACTCTAAAACTATTAAATGACAGTTACTCCTGTCTCTTTTCCCACAGCCCCTGGGAGCCACCATTCTCCTGTTTCTACATTATACAATGTAAACTATATAAGTGAAACTTGTGTAGTATGCCTGAGCAGAATGTCCTCTAGTTTCCTCCATGTTGTAGCAGGTGTCAGAATCTCCTTCTTTTTTAAGGCTGAGAAATATTCCATTGCATGGACAGACCACATTTTGTTGATTCATCTGTTAATGGACACATTGGTTGTCCTACCTTGTTCCCTTTTTCCTCTCATGTTATGGTAACTTCTTGCTTCTAATATTTGAACTTGACTGGACAATTAGCATTTGTATTTGAACATATCTCTGAAAACCTCTTATTTTCGCCTCCTAAATAAATTCTGAACAAAATGTTCATGGGTGGGAGTCCTTGGGTGGGTGGGATACTTACCAATCTAGGGGATTAAAGCAGAAGTGGAGAGTAGCCTAGGAAAATGTGAGAGTCGCCTAGATGATGTGTTCATTATTTTTTTCTTTTTTATTCAAGTGAAAGCAAATGCTTCAATAACAGTTGGTACAGATCTTTCACTGTTATGGAAGCAAACTCAGGCTTCCTGGAGGTGTGCTGCCTTGCCCTCCTAGCTCAGAGGGTTGAACAGATCAGGCCATGATCCATTTTTATTGACTTAAGCCAAACCTTCTGTGCAGCCCAACGGTTTGCTGTGTTTGTTTCAGGAGCCCACAGACAGCCTGGAGGACAGCCTCCTTTCTTCCAGACCAGAGTTCATTATAGGCCCTGAAGGAGAGGAGGAGGACCCAGCAGCCAAGCATGGGGAGAACCCAGGCAGTCACACCACGCCCACGGAACATGCTGGTAGGTGAACTTGGCTGATGGGGAGGGCACAGTATGCATCTTCCAGTTTGCCCAATGCTCAGATCCTTGGTTTCTTAGGTTGATATCGACTAGGGCAAGTTCAGATGCACCTTTCTTAATGCTGACTTATGCAGATGAACCATTTCCTACCAGATTATGAGGTGGAAGATCCATTATAGCTTCAGTGGAACACAATCTGATCATCTTTCTGGAAACAGATCTTGTTACCCATGAAAAACTTATGTTAGTGTAGAAAACTAACACAATTCCAACAAAATCAGTTGTGTTCATTGTGTGCAGAAGTAACTATAAGCAGACACTGATTGGCTGAGGTGGAGGGTGCTGGCAAGTTCAACAGCTACTCAGGGCACGCACGTAGCCAGAGCAAAGTATTTTCAATTCAGAGGGAACACAACTTGCTTCCATGCAGTTTCTGCACCCCATGCACTTGGCTAGGACCCTGGACAGTGCACGTTGGTAGTTGCAAGGTCTTTCTCAGAGTCTAGATGACTCCACTCCCAGTTGAGAGAAGGTATGACTTTATAATTTGCTTAAAGGCTCTGAGTGGGCAGATTTGGAACAACAAGATGACAGGAAAAATGGATTAATTTGTAATTTGTGCTCTGAGGGAGTTTAGGGAATTCAGGATGTGACTCCCATGTGCCTCTGGAGAAGCCTAATTTTCTAGATCTGGATGGTGGTACTCTGGGAATTTGAACAGTACCTGGGGCAGTTTGGGCAGCTTTAAAAAAATATTCCTGCTTTCAATATCCTGAACTATTAGACTATCTTCATCCTGGGAGACTCACTCCAGAATCAGAAAACAAGGGCTTTACATCATTCCTTCAGTGAACAGTAAGCATTCTTAGGGGACTGTTTTGTGGGGTTCACTGTTGCTACTCAGTGTCTTATTCAGACCAAGGTAACCACATCATTGCTACAAAATTCTTGGTCAGAACTGCTTCCACTTGGTAAAGTGAGTATGAATATCTCAGCCCACACCACTTGATACCATTGAAACTTAGAGTTTGAAGGAATGTCTGAGGTGATCCATTTTATTGGTTTTTGAAGGGTACTTCCTGGAGCTATGAAAACTCCCTGTTACTTTCTTTGGAACTTCCTTCATTGGGGTGACAATTGGTGGGGAAATGAGGGCCAATGATAAATATTTGGGCTCCCTGCCCAGCTCTGTGGGATTGCTCCAATTTACTATACTTCATACACTGGAGTTCTAAGCAAGATTTTCCTTAATCAAAGCATCCTTCAGAAGGTTGAATCTGCTAATCTAGTTCAGCCTTCTAACTTTGCTGATGAGAAAATAAATCCCAGATGGGTTAAATGATCTGCCCATGGTGGTGTAGCTCTTGTGATTCATTTATAATTTATGCTTATACATAAGTGCTTCCAAGGCTGTGCTGGATGGAGCATCACAAACATCTGAGGACTGGAAACAAACAAAACAAATGAGCTCCACTCTCCACCCCCAATTTTGAGTATATTCTGGGTGGGGGCCTGGGAATTAGAAATTCGAATCTTAAAAAACTAGTAGTGGCAGGAGTTGGGACTAGAACCCAGGTCTCCTGCTTTACTCAAAAGTAATGACAGCCCAGAGTCGTGCTTCTTTCAGGCTTCATGCCTAAGGGAAGCCCAGGACTTCACTTAGAATCCCCTGACCTGTGCTCTTTCCACACAGATTTATTTTCTAAACCTAAGATAATGCACAAATCAATCAATTGCCCCTAATATATACATTATTTTATTTGAATAATGGTTAAAATTGAGCAATTTTTAAAAAATAAATTACAGATGTCCCTCAATGTCCTTAGGGTGCTAGTTTTAAGACACATCCGCTCCGCCTGACAGAGATCAAAGACTGTGTGGTGCTCAAGATAGTGTAATATTTGCTTGTAATCTACACACATCCTCCTATGTGCTTCACATTATCTCTAAGTTGCATATAATCCCTAATATAGTGTAAATGCTATACAAATAGTTGTTATATTGCATTTTTTATAGAATAATGATTAGAAAAAAATTTGTATATGTTCAGTATAGATGCATTTTTTTCCCTCTGGATGTTTTGGAGCCTTAGTTGGTGGAATCTATAGGTACAGAGACCGTGGATGTGGAGGCCAGCTGTACTATTTTTCTTGCTGACATAACATAAACTCTACTTACTCTGCCCTTCTTCCCCAGACACTGCTTCAGGCTCTGGCACAGTGTCAGCTGCTTCCCTTCTTTTGCTCTCTGCTGTCTTGCAGGACACAGCTATGGACTGTCTCCTCAAAGAAGCCCCTGTAAACTCTCCCATGACCGCGTTCCTGGCTTCTCAGAGCTGCAGGCTGCCCCAGCTCTGTGGCCTTCAGGCAGCGATCCTCACTCCTCCTCAGGGAGTCAGGGGGTGGCTGCTCCATCCGCATGTTCAGTGATTCCATTACCTTCAAGACAATTTTGTTTTTCTGCACTCAGTGGCCTGGCGCCTATTGCATATGACAGTCATCTATGTCCACCACTAAAATATTGTATCAAACTTCCACATTAAACAAATAGAGTCAAGGGCTGGTAGCAAGTGTTTAAAATATCTTTGAATGGAATATTCCCAGTAAACTGTTTAATATATAGGCCGAGAGGATTAGACTGCCATTGTCTCTAATCCTAGAAATTGCCAAAGCTTACTACATTGGTGTGTTATTTAACACATTTTACACTAGTGTCTTCATTTGGTTAACTTCATTGAAGTTACTATTGTATACTATTGCCCTCCCCCCACCACCAGGGACAAAGGGTTTAGAGATCCTACAAGAAGATAAAACAAAAAGATAAAACGAGTGGTGTTCTCACCTGAATATACTCATCTTTTTTCCTAAATGCCCTATTTTGAGTTAATTTATGGGATAAACCCCTCTGGTGCTAATTGACCTGCACAGGGCTGGGCTGGGGTAGCTCAGGGAGCCAAAGATCTCAGAATCCATGATGGTCCAATAGTGAAAATGGAGGCAGAGAAGCCTACATTGAGGCTTTTTGCACTTGTCTCATGGAAGGGCTATACTCTAATTTGGAGAGCAAATAAAAGCATGTAAGGTTTGAGTACAAACACTTATCAATATATTTTGTATTTGGTTTCATAATCTTGATCAACTGATGATGATTGGGGTGTGTGGAGTAGATAGGCTAACCTTTGTGTAATTATTTCTTCACAGCAGTAAAGAATGATACTGAAAGAAAGTTTTGCTACCAACAGCTTCCTGTAACGTTGAGACTAATATACACCATTTTCCAGGTATATTTTCTGAAATCTTTAAATTTTTGGATTAGTACCATGCTGTTTTGGAAAACCCAGTAACCATGTGGGTTTTTTTTTTTTTTTGCATAGGAAATGGCTAAATTTGAAGAGCCAGACATTCTTTTTAATATGCTCAATTGCCTGAAGATTCTCTGTCTGCACGGAGAATGTTTATACATTGCTAGAAAAGATCATCCCCAATTTTTAGCCTACATTCAGGACCACATGTTGATCGCAAGGTATGTCTTCCTAATGTCTTATTTTGTTTGTTTATATTTTAAGCTTCAGATGTGAACTTAGAATATGATTTACTAGCTTGTTTGGGTTATTTTCTCAGGGAGGACAGCTTTATTACCTATGGAACTACTTTTATTTATTTTATTTCACCTGATATTAAACTATGTCAATATGAAGATTATGTTCACTTGCTAGATACTTTAGGAATATTAAAAAATAAAACATGGGTTATTTTTATGCCTTTTAGTTGTTATATGGGTTAAGAATAAAGCATGCCCTATAAAAAGTCAACAGATAACTTAATAATTACTTAGTATAACTAAGTAAGGATTTACTCATTTTCTCACGTGAAATGGAACTGCTAATAGAAATCTAAAATCCCTCCATGCATTGTCTAGGAAGTTATTTTCTTAGACACTGCTGAGGCATTTTGAGAATAATAATAAAATATTGTCCTGGATATACAGTGCTTTCTTCTGGAGGACCTTAAAATAACTGTTAGAGTTTTCCTGGCAACAAGTCAAAAAAATATTATCCTCATCTTACATGTAAGAGAATAAGATGAGACAAAAGGAAAATGATAAAAAAGGAAAAGGAAAAAGGTTCCTTCAGGTTAAGGGTAACTAGGAGACAAAACCAAGTCTGTCTTTACTTATTTTGTTCACTTATTTATTTACTCATTCAAAAAATATAATGAGTGTTCACTGTATACATTACTATTCTAGGCACTTGGGGAGTTTGTAGTCTTGTTTAGAAGGGATTAATTCTCAGTAGACAGAAGATGATCACATATTTTATTATTTAAATTGGTCTACTTTTTAGATTAAAGTGGGATGGCCTTCACAATAATATCAAAACAACAGGATAAACTAAGATCTTGGATAAACTAAGACACATGGTCATTTTATACACATGTGCGCACACACACACACACACCCAAATATGTATATATGTGTAACCCAAGGGAATGTGATAAGCGACTATTTTGCACAATTCACAGGTGGGTGAGCTCCTTTCTGGATGAATGGCTGGGGAAGGGCTGAGCAGTAGAGACCATTTGGGTACTACAGCAAAGAATTTTGGTTGATAAGTTTGGAGATAGGTAGAACCTTTTGGGGGAAGCATAAGTGTTAAGAGCAACCAGAGGATGGAGTTGCAAAGAGGAGGTGAGAAATGAGCAAGGCCAGCCTAGGTGATGCCAAGGTTTCATTTTTGCTTCATGATTCATGGTGTGGTTTTGTGAGGTAATAAGGAAAAAAGAGGCCAGAGAAGTAGGTTGGGACCCAACTGTAAAGAGCATTCTTCCCGCATGTTCTGTCTTTCCTCTTCTTATGAGGCCACCAGTCATTAGATTTAGGGCCCATCTTAATCCAGTATGAACTTGCCTTAACTAATTATGTCTATTCCAAGTAAGGTAACATTCTGAAGTTCTAGGTGGACATGAATTTTGGGGGACACTATTCAACCCACTACAGAAGCACCTATGAGAAAGGCAGAGGAATGATAGAAGGAAAGGTGGAGAGGCTACAGAAGTTTCCTCATAATAAATAGGGATTATCCAGGTGTAGCAGGAGGAAGGAGCTGAGAGGTAGACATGCTGACCTGAATGTGGGGAAGAGTGAGGATGATCTGAAAGGTTCAGGCCAAAGATGAGACAAGCTGCAAATATGGTCAGAATCAATGATGGAACAGTCAGGGCAGATGGCTCTGTTAATTCTAGAGGAGTGGGGATTCTTAATAGGCAGACTTCAGTTACTGAAGTATTCCCCACAAAAAAAAAATGTGCCCAAGCCTAATGGATTATTGATGCTGTGCTTTTGGGGTACTTAGTCCAAGCTTTTTCCTCAAAGTCCCACCCTAACATCATGACAATGAAGGAGTCTGGGAAAGGACAGTCTTCCTCTTTTCCACCCAAGCTGCCTTAGAGGACCTCAACAGCCAACAGGACAGTCCAGATCCAGCTTCTTGCCCTAGCATGGTGTTCTGGAGGTTCTGTGTGTGGTTCGCCTCCTTTATCTAAGTTGAAAGTTCCACAAAGTGGCAATTATGTCTTCTCTTTCCTCTTCATTCTTCATAGAAACATCATCATGCTCCCTCACAGGGATGATGGTAGTTCAAGGTCTTTGAATAACTCCTGTATGCCAAGCACCCTGCATCAGCCCACATTGGGAGGAACCGAGAGTTCAGAGGAGTTGAAAACTTTGCCCTTGGTTATACAGCTGATTGACGGCAGTGCTGGGATTAGACCCACGTTTGTCTGACTTCCAGTACTCAGGTTGAACTGATGGTGTTTGAAAATGGCTCTTTTTTTATGCTATAGTTCTGGCATGTCTTCTGATTAGCAGGCAAATTTATTGTATTGTACATCAGTATGCTTTCTGCAAAGAAGAGAGAGAAAGTGTCATTCTGCTCATCTCTCTGTGGTGCATTATAAGCTTTTTTTTTTAAGTTGTTGATGGACCTTTTTAAAATTTATTTATATGTGGTGCTGAGAATCGAACCCAGTGCCTCATACTTGCTAGGCAGCCGCTCTACCTCTGAGCTACAACCCAGCCCTCATTATAAGCTTTTTAAAGTCACAAATTGTTGCCAGCTGGCCAGGCTGACAAGATGATCTGAGTTATTTATCAATAACTAAGAAAGTGGCAAAGAAACTACACAAACATGAAAATACCTTTTTCTTAATTGCTGGGGTCAGAGATGGCTCTGTGACCTCAAAGATCACCTTCCATGCTGGAAAGAGGGCAAGGGGAGCAAGAGAGGCAAGCAAGAGAGCCAGCACACCCCAAACCCCTCTACTTATTGAGGAAAAGACATTCTATAGAAAGTTCCACCCAAATAAGGCAAGGGATGGGTTTCGAAGGGTGGAGGCTTGCTTGTGATGTCTTGTGGTCAGGTAATTGATTGACATTTTGGCAAGTCATGCCCATTTCAGGTGCTGTATGGGATCCTAGGCAGAGTGAGAGAAAAGGCACACTTGTGTTGCATAGCCCAATAAGTGCTCGACACCAGACCCGTCCCCTCATATGCTCAAATGCGCATAGCTCACACACACAGCTCATGAATGGCTCACGACAACAAACAGTATTGCTTCTGATACTAACTCTGGAGCCACATGAAAAAAAAAATCCCTCAAATAACAAAGAAAACCAATAAAAGGCATGCATCATATAGTTAAATGAAAAATTGAACCCAAAATATATTGAGAATTATTCTGGTAGGGCTTGATAGGGTCTTAGTTCAAACTTATCAGGGGCAAGGTATTACCAGGGACTTTCCTCTTGTCCCCTGTCTGTCTTTTCCCTTTCCCCTCCTACCCCATCACTTAGCCTAGGTCCGTCTTGCTTATTAGGTAGAACCAAGTGTTGGCTTCTTCCCAGGCAGGCTGTCCTGAGAAGTGGGGAAGAGAGCCTCTGGCAGCTCCTTACTGACACTGCCCTTTCTTCCTGAGATTTCAGAAGGAAAGAGATCTTTTCTCTCCCAGAGACCATATTGCTCTCTGAACAAACACTTGGACATTCCCATGCTTGAAACATATGCCCACTTGTAAGACTGGTCACTGTTCTGGGTATTGAAAGACTATTGTATTTTGGGTTCACCCTTATCATAGGAGAGTGGGGGAGCTTGATTGACAATACTGCCAGTTCCCGAAGAGGCTGTTTTTAATAGAAAAATAGTTGTTCTTTGCCATAATAAAGGGACAGGGCTGCTGGGCAGGCAAAACCAACAAAACTTTATAGCTGTTCATTAAAAGAAAAATGCTAAAAATCATGTATCACCCCATCATCTTAACTAATGACAGTTTTGTGTATTAAGTCATTGTTTATTTTTGTAGCTGAAATTTGTAATATGCAAATTTTAATTTTATGTTAAAATATAATAGTTATTTTTCTGTATTGTTACATGAAAGTGATTTCTTTAAAAAAATTAACATAACAGTATAGAAAATGTTATCAGAGGATTATAGTCTTGCAGATGAATGTAATTTCACTGAAAGCCCTAACAGCTGACAATTAACTATACTCACCAGGAGCTAAGATAAGAGGACATTTTTCCAGGAAACAATAAACTCTCACCACTTTGCTTCTCTTGACTCCTCAGCCTGTGGAGAGTCGTCAAGTCCGAGTTCTCCCAGCTCTCTTCACTGGCGGTCCCTCTCCTCCTCCATGCTCTGTCCCTTCCTCATGGTGCTGACATCTTCTGGACTATCATAAACAGCAACTTTAACAGCAAAGACTGGAAGATGAGGTTTGAAGCAGGTACTTCTGTATTAGCTTAAAAATTCTCTGCTCATAATGTAAACCAGATGTCCAGTTCTGACATCTGTTTTTGGCCTCCTTCCTCCTCCTGCCATTTAAGGGACATTCTCCTGATGGCTGGTGTTCCTCAACTGAGTCTCCTCCACACAGTTTTACAGAGTGTTTGACATAATCCAGGCATAATTAGTTAACCCCCCCACTTTTTTACTCCCAAATGTGTCCATTTGGGTTACAAATAATGGAGGTAACTTGTATCAGAGTTACTGAGATATTTGTTAAAAATAAAAGTTATTGAGCCCCACCCTAACCTATTGAATCAAAATCTCAGGGTAGTGGTGAGGATAGGAATCTAGATTTTAAACAAGTTTTCAGGTAATTCCGTAAGGTTCGAGAATTCCTTCTGTGTTTTGCCATCGAGGCACAAAGAACCAAGTCTGGTGCATGAAGGGTCTAATTTGCTAGTGCATAAAATGGCAAATTCTCAGAGTAATATGGTAGAGAAGGACCTTGGATGTTTTCTTGGAACTTTCTTCTGGCTTATTGTTCTCAGGGGCAGCAAGCAGGGTTGGATTGCCAGAGTGTTGCTTATAAGAATGGTTCCACGTATTTTAGTGTCTCAAAAGTTTGACCCAGAAATGGAAGTTCCATTAGATGAATTAACAGTTTCCTACACTCTGGCCACTTTAAAGAGTTCTAGCTTTTTGACATTCACACGAATCCCAGGGACTAGTTAATATGCCAGTTCATGATAGTGTAGGAAATTAGATGTTGTAGGGTAAAATTTTCTAGCAAAAATCTGCATGGCATTTGCAATGTTTTATAGGGAATTTGTATTTAAATGCAAATAAAGCAGATAAATATTTAAATATGCTTCTTCATTCCAATTTAAGGATTAGATTATTGCCAGATTAGTCTTCTGAATCATGGCTCTGATTATGTTACTTTTCAAATAAAAATTTTTAATGAGTTCTCAATGTCTAAAGAATAAAAATATTCAGGCTCCTTCAACTGCTGTACAAATTTCCCCATCGCCTAACTGCAAGTGTTCGCTGCCTGGTTTGCCACTCTCCTTTCTCACGTACCTTTGTCATTTGCCCATTGCTTCTTGCTTCCCTTGGCCCATGTCTTGGCCATTCTCTATTCTCTGTCTGAAATCATATTCTATTCTAGTCCCTGTCCAAATGTCATCTTCATTTTATCTATGCCACCATTGAGTTCCACCTTCAAGGTGATCTCAGTAGAAAATAGTTTATTTATTCCCTAATCTCTCATTACATTTTATTTGTACTCCATTAGAGTTTTGTATTACATTTCAACTAGTTGTATCTGTCTTATTGCTTTTAGTTAATTTGACTCTGAAGTCAAGAGTTGTGAATGTGGAGAGTCTTCCATTTACTTCCTTTCCCCACAACTGCTTACAATAGTCCCTTAATTTCAAATACATAAAACACATACATTCTTAATAAATTTTAAAAACAAGTGAATCCATGAATTTACTGAATAAATACCACATGTAAGAGGTACTATGTGAGTGGTAAAAGTGAGTATAAGAAAGTGTATGAGAAAATTTTTACCATCAAAAGCCTTCCAACTTAATTGATGAGCCCAAATACAAGCATATATGAAGTTGATAAAAAATAAAAGACATAATGTAAGAACACTAAAGAACACATGTCCTATGGGTATGTAAGATGAATATACAGATGCCAGATGTAAATTAATAATGTGCAAATGAGTAGTATTTTTTATAGGAGTTCATTGGGTGGAAGGTAAGAGGGACTTCATTGAACAGATAGAACCTCAGCAATTAATAGGAATGGTAGAATGTCAACAAGGATAAAAGAGTAGAAAGAATATTCTAGGATTCCAGAATAGCTTAATCAAAGTACTAAAATGTCTTTATTTACATCACACTGTATTGCTGTGCTTGGTATGAAAATTTTTTTATGAGATTGTGCTGTAAGAATGGCTAGAATAATTTTACATAAATTTAAAGAATAATTTGAAATTCATTAAATGAGGGTATATTTGTATCCTGGAAGAAATGTGTGGCTTCTGCAGCCACAGGAAATTATCTGTCATTTCACATCATGACCATTAAGAGTAGACCCAAACCTAGCGCCTGGCCTGGTGGATGCCTCTTCTTCCCCGCTGTGGTCCTCAGAGCTCCCATGGAATGGCCACTCAAGTGAGCAGACAGACATTTTGAGTAGTTTGAAATGGAACTGAAAGTTAAACAAAGAGAAAGACCATTTAAAAAGCCTAGACAATGACTAAGAGGTACATCAAGTGAAGAGCTATATCAGCAGGAAGGCACTGCCCCGAGTGGGAACGGCCTCTGCTGCAGATGAAACAACACTGGAGATGGGCACGGGGATCTCCCTTTGGTGTTTACCATTGCCATGTGGGTCCCTGAGTTAACTTTTTCTCGTGGGTTCAGTTTCTCAGAGTAAGTGTAATATGTACCTCTGTACATTTTGTCCTCTGTATTTTACATTGCAGTGGAAAAAGTGGCTGTGATTTGTAGATTTCTGGATATTCACTCAGTGACCAAAAATCACCTGCTAAAGTACTCCCTGGCACACGCCTTCTGCTGCTTTCTGACAGCCGTGGAAGATGTCAACCCTGCAGTGGCTACCAGGGCAGGTCTCCTGCTCGACACCATAAAGAGGCCAGCGTTGCAGGTGATGTATGATGTGTATTTTTGTTCTGCAGATGGTCTGTGCCAGTACCACTAAATCACTGAGGTATTTGTCAATGTCGTAGTCTTTCAGGCTTGCTATAATAAAACACCATAAATGGAGTAGCTTATATAACAATAGAAATTTACTCGTCCTAGTTCTAGAGGGTGCTGGCAGATTTCAGTATCTGGTCAGGGCTTGCCCTCTGGTTCATGGTTGGTGCCTTTCACTATTTCTGGGGCCTCTTTTAAAAGGACACTAATTCCCTTCATGAGGATCCCACCGATATTACCTCATCATCTCTCAAGGGCCCCACCTCCTATTATGATCACAATGGTGATTAAGTTTCAACAAATAAATTTTGGGGGGAACACGGACCTTCAAACCATGACATTGTATAAATACAATATGGGTGACAATGATGTTAACGTGGAAATTCTGTGGATGTGTTTGAAGGCAGGTTTGTTAAATTTTATCGAAAACAAACAAAAAGATGAGTTATTTGCCCTGAATCTCTACCCATACAGTATAAGTATTTAAATTGAAGATCATCCCAGAGCTTGACCTTATTCAGATATTCAGAGATCCCCCTTTATTCTTTTTTGTTGTCTCTTTCATTTTAGTTTTTGTCCACCTGTTGACCTCACTCTTTGAGAGCGGTAACTATTGCATAGCTTTTGTTGTGTGTAGCACCTTTTTAAACTAGGCTGGTTTATCCTAGGCCATTTTGTTAACTGCTGGGCTGGAAGCCCCTGTCATTACAGGATAGATGCTAAGAGAAAGCAGATGAATCATAATAGCAATCAAAGTAAAGCTGGAGAAGGCAAGTGTGCCACCAAAATGAAACATCACAAACATTATTCAAGACCTTGAGAGAGTTGTACATTTATCTCCTGTGGCACCTGTTTACTAAACTTCAGAAATTTCACAAGTCCTGAAGAGATAGGACTAATTGAAGGGTACAGTAAATCAGTTTGAGATAATCAAGACTAAAATCTCTACTGTTTCTCCATATTGATACAGATTTGTTATTTTGCCATTGTTATCAAAACTAACAATTAGGGCAAGAGCTAACATTTGTCAAATAGACACTATGTTGCCAATGCCCTGTATTAAAAGTGTTCCATCATGCCTTAGCTTATTCATATTCACAATACCCTTTTGTGCGCTCCCATTTTACAAATGAGAAACAAAGGGTTAGAAAGGTAAAGTATGTCAGAGTCACATAGCTAGTTGTGGCAGAACAAACTCAGGTCTGATTCATAATTAAGTCCATGTTTTTAACTGTTCTGTGCATGCAGGTGTTTGTGTATACACACTGCCTCCCAATGGTGTGAGCCTTTTTTTTCCCCCCTATAATTTAAGACCAAGAAGCAAGGACAAACTCTTCAGGATCTGACAAAATGTAAGAGTGTGCTGCCTGTGGCCGCTTTCCTTTGTAAACTCCAGCTGTCTTCTGGAGTCTTCTCTGATATCTTACCAGGAATTCTATGTCCCACCCTGCTCAGGGCCTGGAATATAAGAGGCACTTGTTAGATTACAATTAAATGAGTAAATGAGATGGTTGAATGAATTACAGCTTTTAAATTTCACTCAATTGAAGAGAAGTGAAATGGTAAACTCATGGAATAGAGAAGGGGATTCTCCATCCATTTCTACTCTGATTTTTTAAAATTTTTTTATAGTTGTAAATTAACAGAATGCTTTTATTTTATTTGTTTGTTTGTTTGTTTATTTATTTATTTTTATATGGTGCTGAGGATTGAACCCAGGGCCTCACATATGCTAGGCAAGTGCTTTACAACTGAGCTGTAGCCCAGCCCCCAACTTTGATTTTTTAAGTCTGTTCCACTCACATTCCAAAAAGACAAAGTGACTTTTAGAGAACCATGCAATTTAGAAGTGAAAGGGAATTTAAAAATATCTTCATGTGTATTCAGAAATGTAGCTTTTTGTTGTTCTTGGTTCTTGTTAGTTATACATGGCAGTAGAATCCATTTTGATAAAATTATATAAGCATGAAATATGTCTTATACTAGGACCCCATTCCTACGAGTGGGTAGATGGTGAATTCACTTAGGTATTTTTATACACATGTACACAGGAAAATTATGTTAGATTTATTCTACTGTTTCCTGTTCCTATCCCCCTTCTCTCCCTTTTGTTCCCCTTTGTCTAATCTACTGAACTTGTATTCTTCCCCTCCCCCTTGTGTGTGTTAGCATCCACTTATCAGAGAGAATATTTGATCTTTGTTTTTTGGGAGATTGGCTTATTTCACTTAGCATTATGGTCTCTAGATCCATCCATTTACTAGAAAATGTCATAAAGTCACTCTTTATGTCCGAGTAATATTCCATTGTATATATATACCACAATTTCTTTATCCATTCATGTGTTGATGGGTATCTTGGTTGGTTTCATAGCTTAGCTATTGTGAATTGAACTGCAGTAAGACATGTGGCCATGTCACTGTAGTATGCTGACTTTTAAAAAAAATTTATTTGTTTTAATTAGTCATAAATGACAGTATAATGCAGTTATGCACTTTGATATATCAGACATAGATGAAATATAATTTCTCATTTTTCTGAGTGTACATGTTGCAGAATTATATTGGTCATTAGTATGCTGATTTTAAGTCCTTTAGATATATACTGAGAAGTGAGATAACTTGGGTCAAATGTTAATTCTATATCAGATTTTCTGAGGAATCTCCATACTGCTTTCCAGAGTGGTTGCACCAATTTGCAGTCACACCAGCATGTATGAGTGTGCCTTTTTCCTACATCCTCACCAACATTTGTTGTTACTTATATTCTTGATGGTTGTCATTCTGACTGGAGTGAGATAAAATCTCAGTGTGGTTTTAATTTGCATTTCTCTAATTGCTAGAAATGTAATTTTTTCCACCTGCACCTCAAATAGGGAATGAATTTCCAGGATATACAAAGAACTCAAAAAGCTTAATGTCAAAAACCCCACAAATAACCTAGTCAATAAATGGGCAAAGGAACTGAACAGATCCTTCTCCAAAGAAGAAATATGAATGATGAACAAATACATGAAAAAATGCTCAACATCTCTAACAATTAAAGAACTGCAAATTAAAACTACACTGATTTCACTTCACTCAAGTCAGAATGAAATGTAGCTTTGAAAACAGTTTTTTCTTAATGAAACTCCAAAAAACAAAAACAAGGACACACTGCCTTGAGGGCTTGGGGGTATTTGAATTGAATAGTTATTATTTAATGCACTAGAAAACGAATAACATACATTTAATTCACATTTCTGAAGCAAAATTCAAGAGATATTCTCCAATTAGGAGGAGCTTCTCTTCTGCCTTTTTATATTTCCTGCCAAAACTTACCATCAAAAAAGATTTGGGGCTGGGGTTGTGGTTCAGTGGCAGAACACTTGCCCCCTACATTGAGGCCCTGGGTTCGAACCTCAGCACCACATAAAAATAAATAAACAAAATAAAGATATTATGTCCATGTATAACTAAAAAAAAATTTAAAAAGAGAAATTTCAAGCTGGGTGCTGTGGCATATGCCTGTAATCTCAGCAGTTTGGGAGGCTGACAGGGGGATTGCCAAATTCAAAGCTAGCCTCAGCAACTTAGAGAGGCCCTAAACAACTTAGCTGAACCCTGTCTCTAAATGAAATATGAAAAGGGCTGGGGATGTGACTGAGTGGTTTCATGCCCCTGAGATTAATCCCTGCTACAAAAAAAAAAAAAAAAAATTTCACTTGAATCATTCTGCTTATAAGTGTGGATGGAGGAGGTTGCCTTGTTTATGGACCTGTTTAGTATATTGCCATTGATGTACCATAGATATTTACATTTGACTTTCTTTTTTCCCTTCTTTCCCAGGGCCTTTGTCTTTGTCTTGACTTTCAGTTTGATACTGTGGTGAAAGACCGGCCAACAATATTGAGCAAGCTTTTACTCTTGCATTTTCTTAAGCAAGATATTCCTGCTTTGAGCTGGGAATTCTTTGTCAATAGGTTTGAAACTCTTTCTTTGGAAGCTCAACTTCATTTGGATTGTAACAAAGAATTTCCTTTTCCTACAAGTAAGTAAAACAAAAAACTTGTAAATAGTCATAGTCCCTGTTTTTTTTTTTTAAGGGAAGGATGTAGTAGGATGTAGAAGGATCCTTGATTTCATGTACTGAACTCATCAAATGTTTATTAAACATCTATTAAACTAATCCATAGATTTAAGTATATACTGGTATTCCAAAATACAAATTATTCTCATTTCCTTGAAGACCTGTGATAACCAATTATGACTGTGTATTCCTTAAATATTTTTCAATCATTATGCATCTATTGTTTATTAGCATTTTTGTAGATATATTTGCACCTTGCAAGCTCTTGTATACTTATTAATGAGTTGCTTATAGCTCTAAATAGATGGGGGGAAAGATAGCAAAATTATCTAATTTAATCTGGTGGTCTAAACAGAAAGATTATAGATGATGTCCACAATGAACAGCAAACTTGATTTTTTAAAATTTAAGATTTATCATAGGGGGAGAAGGAGAACTCATACACCCATGAAATACATCTTTTAATACTGAAAATACACATTGGAGTGTTTCAAACTAGCTTATTACATAGCAGTGAAGGAAAATAATAACCTCTCTTTTAAAACTGTTTTTATTAGTGCATTATACATAATAGTGGGGTTCATTTTGACATATTCATTCATGCATATAATATAGTTTGCTCCATCTCAGCCCCCACCTTCAGTCCACCTTCCCTTCTCTCCTCCCTCTTCCTATTTCCCTCTCTCTACTTTACTGTTCTTCCTTCTATTTATTTTTTATTTTAAATTGATGCTTTATAGATATACATAAAACGGAGATAATTGTGATACATTCATACATATACATAGTGTAATTTAGTCAATTTCTTTCTGCAATTCCTCCCCTTTCCCCATTGCTCCTCCCTCAACTCCTTTCTTCTACTCTACTGTTCTCCCATTTTACATTTTTAAATTTCTCTCTAGCTTATGCATGTGAGTGAAAACAATCCATCTTGACTTTGAATCTGGCTTGTTTCACTTATCCTGATGTTCTCCAGTTACAGTCATTTACCAGCAAATGTCACAATTTTATTCTTTATGGCTGAGAAGAACTCCATTGTGTACACTTTTTCTGCTAAAACTTACAATTGTATACACACTTTTTTTTATCCATTTGTCTGTTTACAGACACCTAGGTTGGTTCCCTTCCTTAGCTATTATGAATTGCACTGCTATAAACATTGGTATGCATATATCACTGTAGTATACTGATTTTAGTTCTTCTGGGTAAATACCGAGGAGTGGAATAGTTGGTCATATGGTAGTTCCATTCCTGGTCTTTGGAGGAATCTCATTTCCAAAGTGGTAGTACTCATTTGCAGTAGCACCAACCACGTAACCTCTTTAATTCCTTTTGCAAAGCCATCACTGCTGTGAGGACCAATGTTGCTAACCTCAGTGACGCCGCATTGTGGAAGATCAAGAGGGCTCGCTTTGCAAGGAACCGCCAGAAGAGCGTGCGATCTCTGAGGGACAGTGTGAAAGGACCTGCAGAATCCAAGAGGGCACTGTCCCTCCCCGAGACTCTGACCTCCAAAATTCGTTGAGTATATTCTTCCATTCTTCATTAAATCTGTTTATGTCTTTCTGAGGCTGATGTGTCTTGTTGAATGTTCACAGAGAGTAGCAAATTTGGCAAACTGAGCTTGTTCAACAAGTTTGGCTTTTAGATTCCCTAGAAAATCACCAGGGATGTAAATGGGTGCAGCAAAGCCTGATCCAGTGGCAAATTGTCTTGAAATGTAGAAGGCAGCAAATTCACTGAAGCTTGGCATGAAACTTGGTTTCTAAGTTCTAGAATGTGAAAGTATGCACACCAGCCTTGTAACTTAAGCACTTTTCTGGATAAGATGTAGATGTTTAGATCTGTGCAGCTAGACATGTAGAGCTGAATTTTGGAATGCATTTTCTCCTCATGCATTCTAGGAGAAGCCACGTGAGCCCTCAAACCAGTAATCATGGCTGCTTTTGAAAAAGAAAAATCAGACTGAGGAGAAGTTGATTCCTACTCAGCTTCACCAGATAATTAAAACAAGCTTCATTGCCTGTTTTTTAAAAATCATCAATACTTGTTTTATAAAGTTTTTTCTTTATATTGCATTTTTAAAGAGAATAAACTTTCCCATAAATTAATCAATGACTAGATAAACTCTAATGTTTAGCAATGGTACAAGAGTTACAATTAAAAATTCTTAACTAAATCATCATATTAATGAATGAGTGTATTTAAATATATTACTAACTTGTTAAAAGTATTCAATGATTAAATCTTTAAATAAAGCCTATAAAGTTAATAACACCTAAAATACATTTCTTATCCTGTCAGAAGCTAAAAGATTTGCTTTTACACTGCTATTTCTTAGAAAACAGCATTATATAACATGGTCATTTTTAATCATAAATATGATTTTATTTTATTACATTTTCTTTATTTTATGACAAGCTATGGGAATGTGGTATTTTGAACTTGGGAAGAGTCAATGAAAGCCCTTTAAGTAATCACTAAACCAGTTTTTCAGGAGGCAAAGATAATCACAGATGACCATTTAAGAATGACCTGGAGTAGTGTGAGACCTCAGAAGAAAGGGTTTCAGATCCTAGAAACCAGTACCTCAATTAAATAAATTAATTAAAAGATCTGTTTCCCAGATCAGTTTCTCATCAGTTTGGTATATGAAGTTTATTTATTATCATTTCCTGTTAATTAATTCACAAGACAATTTTAAAGATTTAAGAACTGAAGTAACATTGAAGGATCTTCTTGAGATCCCTATAAAACCACAAAACTTTGGTTGCATAAACATCATTTATGTAATGTTAATTACAAGTAGGAACTTGTTTCTGCTATCAGTGCAGTTAGCACTGAGTATTTTTTCTAGGCTCAAGTTGTCTGTAATGCTTATTTAAATAGAGTTGTTGTTGATTTTTAAGCTATGAGGTTGACCAGGCATGAGCAGTCTGCTCCAGCCCTCGGTGGGACACCTGAACAAACACCAGGTGGGTACTTCTGACGTTGAAGGGCCGTGTGCAAGTGTCTATCACAGGTGGACAAATAAAGAATCCGGTGTCTCTAACTGGACCAGAGTGATATTCTTAGAATCTGAGACTTCCAAAGGGTCTTCTTACCCACCATGCTCAAATATTTGAGTCCCTGATATGGAAATTCTTTCCATATTCCCAGCAGACAATTTTTGATCCCTTTAACTTTTGGTCCAGTAAGAAGCATCATATTGTCCCAGTATGCACCTTTTCCCAGAAGCCAATATGACTAGAACTATCATAGAACATATTTCTATGAGTGTTTACACATAGAAATATTATGTTTACATACTTGTCTATATCTGCTATAGACAAAACATACATTTGATTCACATTTTAAGAGGTTATACATTTGAACCACCATCATCCACTCATCATCCCCTTAGCCATTCCTGATTCTTTGCAACTCTACATGCATTTCTGTTTCTCAGAGCAAGGAAGATTTTCATTTTTTTGGAGGTTCATAGGCCCGTATTCAGCATGGTACAGTGTAATTTATCATCTGATGTTCCATGATATGGTACAACTTACCATGAAGTAGCCTAAGGGTTAAAGAGATATTGGCAAGGACATTGCAGGCTGAATGTTACCCACACGAATGGTGCCATGACTCACTGGGAAGACAGTAAAGGTTCTGAAAGCCTGCTTGTTTGTCAAAAACAAACTTGGTAACTACCCCCTGTGTATCATGCTGGAAAATATTTGGTTTTTGATCTAAGGATAGTTGGCAAGTTAATCTTTTCAGAATGATATTGACACTCAGAAAGAGAATTTTAGGTATGAAACTTTGAAGTAGTCTGTATTATGGAAGCGAGGAAGTCAAGAGTAGGAGAGAAGAGAGAGCGCCTCGAAGATCATGAATACAGATGGCAGATAGTGGCCAATAGTGTGTTTCCTATTTTAAAATTGATGAGAAAAAATAGGTATAGAAAACACTTCGCACAATCATTCCACCTTGATTTACATATTGCTCATGTCTCTTCTTTCTATGATTAAAAAAAATTGAAATAGGAATTTCTGATCTTAAGCTTTATTAGAAATCCGAAATGCATCCAGTTCCCCTGCAGTTACCTTTTTGAGATTGTTACTACACAATTTCCTAAATGTTCTTCATTTTATCATTTTGTCTTAAGGCTTACTTGAAAAGTTAGTCTTCAATTATTATCTGCTTTAGCAATCCAGCTGAAAGAATTCTCTCACATCTCCATGGGAAAGCAAACATACAAGTTTCTTGAAGTTAAGAAAGGCCTTCAGGCATCTCATTAACCACCCAAAATGATCAGATGGTAAAAGGGCAGAGAATAGAATTGTTTAAATTAAATATGTAGCTAAAACTTATGGAAAGATAATTTATTTGACACCACCATGAGTAAGAATTGCTTAAATTCGGAAACAGTTGGCTCAGCTTTTAAGGCAAGTTCAGAATGCTGTTCCTTTTTGCATTATTATTTGCTGGACACTGAGTATTTTAACTTTGAAACAAAAACATACCAGGATAATCATAAGATTGTGCAGATAGTTTAAAATAGCAATTAAATGGAAACTAAAGGACTTGCTATTTCATAAACATACTTTTGTTTGGTCTAAATAATGAGCTCCGCTGTGCAGACCTTTTATTGATTAGGCCTGAAATAAAGCAGATGCTATTTAATTATGTAGCAAGACTTAATTTTAATTGCTATTTAGGCTGAAGTTTTGGGCACTGGATTTATAATTTATGACTTTCTGATCTTAGCCTTTACATAAGACACACAGAAACTAAAATAGAAAATGCTATTTTTTTATAGAAGATATATTCTGCAGAGCTCTACAAAGTGGCATTCCTCTGTGATTTTTATGAGTCAAATTAAAGGCCTTTGTTTACATAAGTAAAATTCATAGAATGTTATAGTTGAAACATTAGGGATATACTAACATTCTCATTTTTCAGTTGGAGAAACTGAGTTTCCCACAAAGGACAAATGTTACAGGCTTGCTGGTGACAGACCTGGGTCTTGAGCTTGGAGTTCTGGAGTTTTCTATTTTTAAGGCACATATGGCCAAGGCTAATAGGCTTTCCACACCTTGTTTTTCTTCCTAATTTATTAAATATGTAATCTTTTAAACTGCTAACCTGAACTTTTAAAATTAGAGATAAGATATATTTTCATCAATGCAGAACCAGGAATTCTTTTTCCTTGGGTATCCAGAACACCTGTTGAAGAATAAACAAACATAATGCAGCAGTTTTATTAGCACAATACTGAACAGTCAACCCCATGAATATAAGGTGCTTAATTTTACCTTGTTCCTCACTTCCTGGAATGAATAATTAAATGATAATAGGTATATAATAATACATACATACATGAACAGTACTATTATGTGTTTATGCAAATTACCTGATTTCTCAACTACTCTGGATATATGTAAAGTATTATTGTTGTTATTATTATTATTATTCACTTTACAGAAGGACAGAAAAACTGAATTACTGAGGGATTAGTGAGTCTGCTTAAGGGACTTAAGATCGCATCTGCCTACATAGGGACAGGACTATGTAGGAGCATCCAGGAGACTTGGCTTTCTTTCCACTGTAATTATCTCTTGATGAATTGGTCTTAGGGTATTTCTGTCCTGTGAGACCTGAGAACACCAGTCTGATTGGGGAACTGACTTAGACATTCATTTAATCCTGCAGTAGTGTAGCAGAAGTCCACAAGTGTCCAGACCAAAAGACCTTCACCAGCTGGATCCAGAGGTTGGACTCCCAAATGATCCACAGCTGTCCCCATCCTCACAGTCCTTGCATTCTCCTATTCTACCCCAGCCTGCAGAGAAACCTGCAGATCTTTTGGCCCACATTGGTAATGACAAGAAAAGGGCCCAGTGCTAGTTAGCATTGGTGAAATTTTCTTGCATTGACCTTTCCTGCCTCCTCAATGGTGCCCCAGCCTGGAATTCCAAATTTCTCTCTGGGCTCTTTCTTCATTCCTATAAATGGTTTACAACACTGCTTCACTAACCTGCAAAATCCCTATTGATCATTAAATTCCAACAAATCAAAAGAGTACAGTTGTTTTTAAGGAATGCTCTTGTTTGAAATAATATCTTCAGGAAATAACCTTTATTTAACAAACATTTACTATGTGCCTGACATACCAGGAAATGTGATGAATTCAAAGATGCATCAGAAGTTTTTATATGCTCCACTTGCTTGTGTGTAGGGGAGGTCAAGTATGAATTCTCATCTGGAGTGAAAGTGACAGTACAGGATGGGTCCTGTAAAGTGCAGTGGAAGGAGAGCAGTCTACCAGCGGGAACATCAGGGAGGCTCCTGTGAACAGGCCACTGTCAGTCAGGCTGGGACTGGGGGGCAGGACGTAAACCCCCTGGTGGAGATACGGTGAGGGATCATAGCGGGGAGCACCGGAGGATGTGAAGTTGGCCCTCGGCCCAGCTTTCTAGCCCTTCTATGGCTGCATGCACGCATAGCAGACCTGCTAGGAGTGATACTGTGAGCTGAGACGATGACTGGGGAGCCAGGGGGCAGCGCAGTGGGGCTGCTGTGGGAGTCAGCCTCCTTCACAGCATTGGCACCAGCTCTTCTTGACCAAACACAGAGGGGCCTTGTGGAAGGGGCACTTTGTTCCTCCACCTGCTTGAAATTTGCTGCTTTCCTGGAGTGTCAGCGAGTCAACTTACACAGAGATAGTCCCTGTTTCTCTAGTCACTTCCTTGTTATTTTGGTTCTTCATCAATTTTTCTTTTATATGGAAGAAAAGGTCTAAAACATTAATTGAATTAAGTGCACTTAGACATTCATGAACAATTAGCATCTACAATATCAGACGATGTCCTGTGTTCTGTGAAGGATCTAAAGACACAGCACTATCTTCAAGGAGTGTGTGTTCTTATAAGGAAAAGGCAAAATAGATTAGTGCAAATTCCTGCCTTGTGTAATAGTTATTTGCCACATGAATGTTAGGAAATGCTACAGGAAATTTCCCCTCGTTCTTCTCTTTCTCCTCCCATCTTTCCTCATTTTTTGTCTTTGAAAAGTAAAGGAATTTAGGGATCACATCCCAAATTACTGAGGGGATATATAATAAGAATGGCTTCTGGGGCCAGACCCACAGCAGAAAACAGGGGCCGGGTGGAGGTCGAAAGGCAGAGAGAGCACCGTGAGCAGAGACAACGGTGTGCTGGTGTTGGCTGTGTTCTGAGATCTGCACGCAGCCCAGTGTCTGGGAGCGTGGAGCACTACAAGGGGAGTGACAGGAAATAAGTCTGGAAAAGGGGATCCTGGTCCTGCCTGGTTTCAAGTCATGTGAATCAGTAACGCTGCATTCCACTTTGTGGTTTCATGGGTTACCCCTTGTGACCAGCTGACTGAGTCACACTAAAGCTAGGGCAGGAGTAGCTCTACCTCCAGGATTATAAAAATGCCTACATTTTTCATTATAGAAACAGTAAAATCAAATCTTTTAACACATTGGATTGCTATGGTTAAGACATCTAAAGGAACTGCTTACACTAGAATTCAAAACTAGTGTTTTAATTGTCATGCCTTAGAGAAAACATTGTAATTTAAAAATGGAAATTTAATACCTGTCACAGGTAATTAAAGCAGTACTGTTTATCACTAAGTGACATTTCTGCTTATCTATATTATTTTTCTTGATTTGATTGAGGTAACTTTAAGCTTACTTTATTTTAAAGAGATTAAGATAAGATTTGCAAAAGCCCACAATTGAAAGAACAAATTATTTCTCTAAAAATTTTTTTTTTTTTTTTTTTTTTACTCTTTGCAAAAGGTCCCATTAACTAGCTCTTTTTTCAGTATACCTGATTTGTGAAGGATCACTTAGTACTGGCTATTCTGGGGAAGCAAACAAGAGCAGCAAACTGCGCACTCAAGCAGCAAAGATCAATGGGACAAGTCTGCAGTGAGACTAGGGTACAGGTGAAAGCAGTACTTAGACATTAGGAAAACATGATTTGTTAGCAAAACCTAAGGCCACATGTTTAAAGAAGCATTGTGATGGTAGGAAGAGTTTTGGAATATTTAAGCTGCATCTGTTGGCTTATTTTCTATACTTGACTTGTGATGAAGTGAGCAGGGCCCTTTTGGGGAGCTCTTTTCTTCTACAGCCAGGTCCCTAGATTCTCAGGGATGTAAATTGAAGGTGCAACTCCTTCTCAGGTACTTCCTGCTTCCATTTTTTAATTTTAGGGCTTTGGGATTGAGTCCATCTGCCTTGCAGGAGGTAGTCAGGACTCAGTGATGCATGTTCCCCTAACCCTTGCCCTCCAGGGCTGAAGAGTGGAGTGTTGAAGCTGTATTCTAACATCTATCGCTTGCTGCTGCAGTAACATTGGACCTTGCAGGGAACCTAGATGCCCACGCTCACATCCTTGGCCCAAACTTGCTCAAAGAAATAATGCCCTTCTAGTTGTAAAGTAATACTCTAAGAGGGAAAAAAAATCGAAAGAAAATATTTTCAATGCTGAAAAGAGTTCTCTAAAATGTTTTTATTTAATTTTACAGGGGTGTCCATAGGCATTGCTTTTGGCCAAATTGTATATTACAGATATTTAGTTTAATTATAATATAGCGAGGCTTCGTATTGCCAACCTTGCATTGAAATTGTTGTTCCACAAAAAGTGATTTCTTTTCTGATGCACACCTGATAAACAATGGTAATATTTATATTTTATTGATCACTCTCTGCACATGAACCACTGAAATAAACAAGTCTTTAGGTTGTATTTGAGTGTTATTTGGTAGAAAAATTTCCTAAAGGACATTGCACATATTCATTTCTTTATGGACAAGCTTAATGAGACAGAAAATATTAATGTTCTAAACTCACACAGAGGAGTGTCTGATGATTTCCCCGACATTTTAAGTTTTTAGACTAAGTTGACTCACTGTCAATTATCCCTTTTTCACTATATTATATATGAACAGACCAACATTCTTCTGATCATCTAGGGAAACTAAATAATCAAGCTTGTTGCCTTATATGTAGGTCTTAACAAGAAAATTCTGAATTTGACATTAACTTCATGCTCACTGTCCCAGAGAGAAGTGGTTGGGCTTTTGCCAACTAATTTTTTGGTTCATAGAAATATTTCTTATTTCTTGCTTCTCTGGACTGTGTCCTGGAAGACTCAGATATTGCCAAATTAGTTGGGGAGTTAATAGGTATAAATAGCTTCCTAACTCTTTGTTGCATCACTTATAGCATGATTATAATGGATGTAACCAAGGCTTAAAAAGGTTTGCAACCAAAGTTTGTCGTCATTTAGTGAACTTTTCCTTGTCACATGAGAGATGAGAATGCTGGTGTGCTGAGCTCACCTCTCAGACAAAAACTTTGTTTTCAAATTAGAAATTCTAATGTTGCTTGTCAAAAAAAGGATAAGAATGCAATGAGTATTTTGAATAAGCCCCCAAACTTAAATATAGAAGAGCAAAAGTCCTACACCAAACCTGATCACTAGGGGCAGAACAAAGGGAGGCACGATATAATGTCTGACTTTGGAAAATGACAGAGAAAGTCAATGTCAGGAAAAAATTAGCCTCATAAATAACCATAACTCACATATAGTTATTTATGAGGCTAAGCAGAAGCCAAGAGCTCAGGTATTTTTCTTTCCATGTGAACTTCCAGCTCACCTTCATGTGGTGTTTTTCTGTTTTTAAAATTTCATGCTTCTCTTTCTTTCTGTCTGTGTCCCTTCTTATACGTTCTCATTACATATCACAGGGCTTATATTTTGCTATTTGTGATTGTGATTACCTCATTCAAAGAGTACATACACATGCTGATAGCTCAAGATTTGAAAAAGAAAACTTTTGTTTTTTTGCACCAGTTGGTTCTTAAATATAATTGAATTGAGGTAGTATTAAACAAAATAACTCAATGGATCCTTTTATGCATAGTGGATTTTAAACTATCATTTTTGTGGTAATTCTTACATGCTTATTTTATAAAGCTCGAATGAAAGCTTCTCTTTATCACTAAGGATAAAATTTTGCCAATGTATTAAAAATTGTTAAATACAAAATTTGCTTAGACATTTGTCTTGTTAGAGGGTAACTTGTTTTATGGTTCCCCAATTTTATTTCCATTCCTTTTTTACTCCCAAGTAAATTGGCGTTTGATGAGCACAGTAACTTCCACCCTGGACTCTGCTTTGCTTAAAAGGCTGTATTGTTCCTTTCAGCTTCTGGTCTAGAACAGAACCCTTAAGTACTTAGCAGAAGCAGAAAAAATGGTGCTTTATCAATGTCAAGTGGGATTGCAGTGTAAACTCACTTGCTGGGGAGCTATGCCCTGACAGCCTTTCTTGTACTAACAGGACAACAGTCTCCTGAGAATGACAATACCATCAAGGACCTTCTCCCAGAAGATGCTGGTATTGACCACCAGACAGTGCATCAGCTGATCACAGTGCTCATGAAGTTCATGGCCAAGGATGAAAGCAGCGCTGAGTCAGATATCAGCAGTGCAAAGGCCTTCAACACGGTCAAGCGGCACCTGTATGTCTTACTTGGCTATGACCAACAAGAAGGTTGCTTCATGATTGCACCTCAAAAAATGCGCCTGTCAACTTGCTTTAATGCATTTATTGCAGGAATTGCCCAGGTAAGTGTGATGACAGCTTTGAGAAGTCAAATATAGGGTTTCCATAGAAGCAAGGCATTAAATTCTATTTAGTGAATATTGAGTGGAGTGTAAAGTTTTGTGCACATGACTTGATATTAGGCATGGGCATGTGGATATAATAAAGATGAGCAAGAATTAGTAGCCTGGTACTTATGAAGAGAGTGTATGTGTGCATTCATAAAGTACACGTTAACATAAAATTTACCATTTTAATCATTTTCAAGAGTATAATTCAGTGGTGTTAAGTACTTTCAGAGTGTTATGCACCATCACCAGCATCCATCTCCTGACTTTTGCAAGGTCTTAAACTAAAATTCTGTGCCCATTAAACAATAAGGACATATAAGATTATTTTGTTTGTGTGGGGTTTTAAGAATTCTCTTCCTTTTTGGCTTCAAGTGGAGAGAGTTAGTCATACAACCTACTTCATGCCACACTGTTATCACTGGCTTTTTTTCTGTTACTTCCAACTGCTTTGTCACTTGCCATCTACATGATCTTCCACACTTTATTAACCCATTCCCTCAGTGATGGACACTCATATTGCTCCCACTTCTTCCCTACTCCAGACAGCTCAGTAACAAACATCTTTGTGTAGGTACTTATCAACCAATGTGAGAATTCCCTTGGGAATCTGGGTCATAGGCTGTGTACATATGCCTGATTAGATCAGAGCTACACATGTCACTCTCTAGCATAGCTGCACCAGTCTGCAAAGGTGGAGGACTTGGGGTAGAAAGATGTGTATGTGGATTTCAGCTTTGCCATTGTTGTTAGTTCTCATGGCTTTAAACATCCTCTGCTTTCTAGTAGCAGAGATTTATTAGAGACACCGTAGTGTAAAGCACCTTAATTAGTGCCTGTCTCTTGGCAGGAATTCGATGGATGGTAGCTGTTACTCTCAATTGGCTCAAATAGATTGTAAAATAATGAGCATGGATAGGCAAAGTGGGAGGAATTTTCATGTAGTTATCTTGCCTTGATACTGATAGCTGGATAGAGCACCACTAATGCTCAGCTATCTGTGATGAAGAGAGAATCTAACATGTCTTCCTTCCCTTCCTCTTTCCCTTCTTTAAATTCACATTATACATATTTACTTTAGATCTCTATATTGTTGAATATGGAGATCATTTTTAATTTGGGGCAACAAAGCCATGCTGAATATCTTTACCCACATACTTTGGAGCTGATTATTCCCTTGGGATATGTTTAATTATTGTGTGAGAGGGTGTGTGCTTTTCCTTACTTCTGAATAGATGTTCCTAAATTGCTCTCTTGAAAGTGTCTATTTCTCTACATTGTTACCAGTACGAATTTTTTTTGTTGAGACCAGTTTAGTTCTAGTTTAATAGATAAAATTTTAGTTTCTTTTGATGATGAAGTAAATAGATAATTAGATAAGAATTTTCAATTTACAAGTTTCTGATTTTTGTGAGGTTGAACTTCACTTTACATAAACTGGTTATTATTGTTCATATTTTGTGAGCGATCTTAATGTTTTGCCAGATTTTTGTTGTGATGGCTCAAATTTTTCTTTTTGAACTTCTAAGTGTTCTTAAAGTTTTATTTCAGTTACTAATATTTTTTCTATTTCAGGTTATGGACTATAACATTAACTTGGGAAAACACCTTCTCCCCTTGGTGGTTCAGGTGCTCAAATACTGCTCTTGTCCTCAACTACGGCATTATTTCCAACAGCCACCTCGTTGTTCCCTCTGGTCCCTAAAACCTCACATCCGGCAGATGTGGTTGAAGGCCTTGCTTGTCATCCTTTACAAGGTGAGTTGCCACAGTCGCACTGTTTTTGGATGTACTTGTAATATATCTTTGAGCAGACTGTGAAGAGATTTGAATCTCTGAGAACTTGGTAGGAGAAAAATTTGACCTTCAGAAGAAGTACCATATATTCCATCAGTTTTGGGAAGCAGAAGAGCTATTGGAATGAAAATAGTAGCAGGAGGGCTGGGTTGTGGCTCAGCGGTAGAGCACTTGCCTAGCACATGCGAGGCCCTGGGTTCCATCCTTAGCACTACATAAAAACAAATAAACAAAATAGACGTATTGTGTACAACTAAAAAATAAATATTACAAAAAAAGAAAATAGTTGTAGGAGATTGTGTCAATATTTGCTTTAAAATTGTTTTTAAAGGAGCTGAGGTTGTGGCTCAGTGTTAGAGTGCTTGCCTTGCACACATGAGGCACTGGATTCGATCCTCAGCACCACATAAAGTAAATAAATAAGTAAAATAAAGGTATTGTGTCCATGTTCAACTAAAAAAATTTAAAAACAATATTTTTAAATGAATTGCCAGTGGCTCAGGAGGCTGAGGCAGGAGATCACAAGTTCAAAGACAGCCTCAGCAACTTAGCAAGGCCTTAAGCAACTTAGAGAGACCCTATCTCAAAATTAAAAAAATAAAAAGGGCTGGAAATGTGGCTTAGTAGGTTAAGTGCCCCTCGTACAAAAAAAAAAAAAATAGAAACAAAAAGAGATGAATTTTGGGGAACTGACCAACGACAACCTCTGATTGTGCACAGAATCTCCTATTTTATCTAAACATTAATTATTATGTCAGAAAACAAAGAATATATTTGAAACTGTATTCACCAGATGTCTGTGCAATATAGTTTTCTTAAAGACAATTGTAACTGTGAAGTCCTTTGTTTCTGTCAGGAGTTTGGTGCAAGAGGAAGAGAAATAAGGGCATTATATGGCCTTATAAAATAAGGCCATTATCAGAATCTGTGTTTTTACTTTTCTGTATTTTTTCTTTTATCCCCAAGAGGTACTAAGAAAAATACTCGGCAATATTAAGTGGAAAAACTTATTCTTTAAAATAACCATTTATGTTTTTCTCCCTTCATTTTATTGAGCAGTATCCATACCGAGACTGTGACATCAGCAAGATCCTGCTGCACCTGATTCACATAACAGTCAACACACTGAATGCGCAGTATCACAGCTGCAAGCCCCATGCCACGGCAGGACCTTTGTACAGTGACAACAGTAACATAAGCAGATACAGCGAAAAAGAAAAAGGTACTTTCTATATTGGAATTCTATCCCAAACTTAGCTTGAATATATAACACATTTCTGGAAAGTGCTTTTCTTAGGAGACATAGATGGAGTAAAAAATACTTAATATTTTGTTACTTTCCCATTAACATTACTGCTTTAACTTCTTAATTTGAGAATTTGAGAGAAATAATTGATATGCTTCTAAAACCCATATAGTAAGAAATAGTTTGTAAGATATTTTCTGCTATTTGGTCAAGGAGCCTTTGGAAGCCTGCTCTTAACATGCTGGAAACATCTTGCTTTGGGGCTGTGACACAAACTTAGTTTTGCACTTAGTGGAATCTTGAGGGTCTCTCCTGTTTGCCCCTGAATTTTATACTCACAGAATTTTCATATAATCTAAATTTTCTGAAGCGCTTTTCCCTAGTCTCATTATTCAATGTGAAGTGATTCAAGGTGATGAGTGAAACATTTCTGGGCCATAAATTAGAGTAATTTCCAATATTGACACCTTTTTTATTCATGGCTTTTCCTTAAAGGAGACAGTTGAATGAAACTTTAAATAGAGTAAAAGTACAGCCTGGATATTTTCAGGTGCAACGAAGAACTGAGGTATATATCTGTGAATGTCACAGCATGACTAGAGTTGTAAAAGGTGACATTGTCTAATCCAATCCTGGGAAAAAGCCAAGTGCCTGATGACCCTCTGGGTGCAAGAACAGTCTGAATTCCAGACTGCTCTGGAATATCTCAGTGGGATGGATTATAGCTGAGTTCTACTGTTTGTTTATTGTTGAAAGGTTTAAGAATGTAGGTTCTTCAAATTCTGGAAAAATTTTTAAATCCTTCCTGAAGAATATATTGTCTACTAGTTGAGGTCTTAGTTTCTGGGAAATTGAGTAGGTTTGGTTAAGCTAGGGGTATTCTTTATGCATACTTAGTGTTTGGGTCAATCCCAGTGAACCTGGGTGGAGGGTATCATCTTGCTGTCCTTCCATCTCTGTCATACAGTACATCTTGAGGATTATTCCACAGTTATGTCATGGAAGTCATAATACCTATTTGCAAAAAAACAAACAAAAAAAACCCCCAAAACCCCCACTATTTTTCAAAGAGGGAAAAGCTTAAATAGAAAATGAAGAATTAAAATAGAGCATTTCATTAGATATGTTAAAATAGAAACACTGGGATTTGATGGGCTTTTTCATCTTTGTGGGAATTCACTGGGAGCTGTTATAACCATTTTGATTGACAATATTTATTTTTTATTTGATTAAAAAAATACTATGGATATTTCATCTAAAATTAACAGCTTTAGCTTTCATTTTCTTATAGAACTTGTGCATTAAGAAATGATTGGTCCTTAAAATTAATGCTTATATTCCCCTGTATTCAAGAAATCCTGAATAATCATAATCACACCTGAGCCTCATCTTGTCATATATAGGTATAAATATGGACTACATATTTTCATCTCAGTGATATTCAACTCAAATAGTAGGTTAATTCCATTTACTGTGGTATTAAATGTGTCTAAGCAGCCTTTTCTCTTGCCACTTTGCATGTGGCTTTGGCTTTTCAAAGGATGAAAGAAGATAATAAGTGAACTTTGTGAGTTGCAGCATAGCAGTTCCTTCCTCATTAATGTGTTTTTGAGTGTATTTCTATTTAAAAATGGCCAAATGAGAAAAGAAGAAAGGACATAGAAACAAACTCAGTAGGCACTTTTGGGGGCCCATTTGTTTATGGAACCCTAGGATCATAACAGTCAAAGATTCTTTGTAGGATTCATGAGATCCATAACAGTTATAAATGGCCAGTGACTCAGAGAAGAGTCTTACTTTAATAGGAAGAAATGTTTTTTTTCTGTTTTCTTTTTCCTTTGTTTACTCTTTCAGTCCATAATCATTTGTGGAGCTTTTGAGATAACAAGTGGCTTTTCTAAGCTTTTTCTGTGTGTTGTGTGTTTCATTACCAAATGTAGAGTACAGTATTTTGCATTCACAAAGTATAAGGTGCATGTACTGTTAGGCTGTGTCTATGCCAGTTCCCAAATCCCAGGAAGGCATATATTGTTAGAAGGGGCAAGACCCACTTATGTTGTTTAATTTCCTTTTGCCAAATTAGACATTCAGGCAAGTTCAAGCAGTGTCACAGATTCCTAGATAAAGTTACTAGCATCTGTGTCATTTGGTTTTAAGTGTCATTTGGGAAAGTTTCTCTAGAAAGGCTCTTTTGGAATATTGAGATGCCTCTCAAAAAGTGCTGCCAATTATCATTTAGAAAATGATGGGCAATCTTGTAACCAGTTGCTTTGTTCAACATAAGCATAATTTGATACCTGGATGAAATATCAACCCATAGCTAGACTTGGCTGGTGCAGAAACCACCCAGACTGTTCCAGAATGCTTTCACTGAAATGCTTGTGTAGACACAGCCTAAGAGAGAATAACCTCTTAAGTGTAATTTTGACTTTCTCTCCCCAATTAGAAGAAGATAGTGTTTTTGATGAATCTGATATTCATGATACACCTACTGGACCCTGCAATAAAGAGTCTCAAACTTTTTTTGCAAGATTGAAAAGGATAGGCGGCAGCAAAATGGTGAAATATCAGCCGGTTGAGATGAATGTTCAGAGAAGTATGAATTTTTTCTCTTAGTAATTTTATGCAGAAATGTTGTACTCTACCGTTTGTTTGGGGTGAAATCTTACTTTTATTATGTTACTACACATTTTGATACCGTTGATTTTTATATATATGTATGCACAAACAGTATATATATATTCACATTTATATATATACGTGAATTGACAGATACATCATTAACGTCATTATCGTCTTCAAGGGCCATTGCTTGATTTGATTTGTTGCAAAATGTTTGCTTCTCTTCCACACAATTTGAATACAGTTTCCTAGATCTGCCTCAGCCAAAAATGATTCCTTCTCCTGTGCACAAATGAATAGAGCTGAGGAATTATCCCAGAGCTTGATTTTGGGAATCAGATCTTAAACTACCATTTTGGTTTCTTTCATTCCAAAGTTCTCCCGTTTTTGAAATTAGAATGAACCTTAAAAAACCTTGGCCAGAAAGTCAGTTTTTCCTTCTGGTGGAGCTGGGATTGTGATTATGATTTATGCCAATAGTATGCCCAAGTATAAGGGGAAAAATGGTGAAATCTCCAAGTAAAATAGTACTAGCTTTTTCTGTTTTAATCAGGTGAAATAGAACTGGCCGAATATAGAGAAACGGGTGCATTACAAGACAGCATTCTGCACTGTGTGAGAGAAGAAAGCATTCAGAAAAAAAAGCTGCGCTCTTTAAAACAAAAATCTCTTGATATAGGGAACGCAGACTCCCTCTTGTTCACACTAGATGAGCATCGCAGGAAGTCTTGCATAGATCGGTGTGACGTAGATAAACCCCCTGCCCAAGCTGCTCACAGCGCTCAGAGACAGAACGACCACGGGCGATCGAGGCAGAACTCTGCTACGCGGCCCGACACTATGGAAATCCCTGAGAACCCAGCTGTGGAAGGTTTTCCAGAGCCCCGAAGGCCTGTGATACCGGAAGTTAGGTTAAACTGCATGGAGACGTTTGAGGTGAAAGTTGACTCTCCAGTAAAGCCTGCTCCCAAAGAGGATTTAGATCTGATAGATTTGTCCTCTGATTCAACTTCAGGGCCCGAGAAACATTCTATAGTCTCAACATCTGACAGTGACTCTCTTGTATTTGAGCCTCTTCCACCTCTCAGAATAGTGGAGAGTGATGAGGAAGAGGAGATGGTGAACCGGGGGGCTGGTGGCAAGGGTGCCACCTCCTCTCCCCCCGTCCCTCGCCACCCCTCTGCCCTCAGCCTGAGCACAACTCCTCTTGTGCAAGTCAGCGTGGAGGACTGTTCCAAAGACTTTTCTTCTAAGGACTCAGGAAATAACCAGTCAGCAGGTAACAGGGATCCTGCTCTCATAGCCCTGGAGGAACCTACAGACTCAGAAGAATTATCTCAGGCAGAGGAGCTGCGAGAGTTTTCCTGTGGCAGCCCACTGACGCTCAAACAAAAACGAGACCACCTTCAGAAATCATTTGCTGTCCCTGAGATGTCAACAGATGATAACCCTGAACCCAGCACTGAGGAAGAGAGGCATGGGCAGATGCCAAGTTCAGGGCCCAAAACCGTGCTCCTTAAAGTTCCTGAAGATGCTGAAAATCCAACAGAAAGTGAGAAACCTGATACCAGTGCCGAATCTGATACAGAACAGAATCCTGAAAGAAAAATGGAAGAGGATGGAACCGAGGAATCAGAGTTCAAGATTCAGATTGTCCCCAGACAGAGGAAACAGAGAAAGATTGCTGTCAGTGCTATCCAGAGAGAGTACCTTGACATCTCCTTCAACATTCTAGACAAATTGGGAGATCAGAAAGATCCAGGTAAGCTCCTATTGTGTTTCTTCCAGCCTTTATCTTCAAGTCTGTGTATCTTCTTGGTAGAGTTTTGGCACTGAATGTGCATCACACTCAAAATCTTATAATGTCAGACTGTGGCATTATAATCGCTTTGTAATCACTCTGAATTCTTCTTGCTTACCAGATTATGGTGGATTCAGAGGTGGTTCTACTGGCTCCATAAATGTTTCTGTGCTTGTTGTCACTAAACTCTGTAGTCAGTTCTTAACCACTGTTGGCAATAGAGGCAATGATTAATCTATATCAGGATATTTAAAATGAAACTTCAGTCTTCCTCAAGCAGCAGAAGAGATTAAACTCCTTTTGCTTTTTTTTTTTTTTTTTAATTTTCCTGTTTGACTTTAGCAAGCTATGATATAGTCCAAAGGACAAACAAATGTGAAGGGCTAAAATAAAGCAAAGAGGGCATGGAATTATTTAAGAATTTATTTTGGTCATTTGGACTGTAGCTGATTACATGTGCTACTATCAGGAAACAGAAATTACCAGTTATAGTCTAGGCCCTAATTCACGGACACCATTTGATGGTGATGAGGGCATAGCACAGATTTCCTGCCTTAAGCAGCATTCCTTGTGTTTTCTTGGAGTCACTGAAGATAACTCTTAGAAAGTGGCAAACTGAGAGTACATCTTATCCTAAAACACAGTCTTTCATAGTATCTCAGTGCTGATTGGAAGGCTGCTTCATTTCTTAGTTCAAATCTAATGAGGAGGAGGAGGAGGAGGAGGAGGAGACTCTTCAGAAAAAAGGAATTAGCCAGAAATAATTACTTTAGTATATTCATCGACTTGAGACTGGTAAAATTCTTGGATTCCTTTAGACTGGTTCCTGATTTTATACAAGAGGATCCCGAGGCATAGGGGACGTAGTGGTCTTGTCCCAGGTCACACTGCCAGACAGAAGCAATGCCAGGGCCATCCTCCATCCTCCTGCCTTTCTCATTGTTCCACCTGAAAGCAGCTTTTAAGAGAATGTGCCCAGGCTCTTTATTTGCCCCAGGTACTATTGAAAGGTTTCTAGCTGTTCTCTAGCTCACAGGACAGAGTGTGTACCTCAAAGATGCTCTGTGAAAGTCTGTTGAATGAGCACTAGCGTATTTGGAAAGGGTCATGCTCCAGCCAGGTAGGGGAAGAAAAGATCTGTTAATAATAAGAAATTTTAAGAAGCTAAGAAGGTCTCAAGGGAAAGTGGGGCACCTTTTATTGTTGGAACCAGAAAAAAATGCTGCATAGGGATGGAGAATAGTGCTAGCCTAGAAGCTGTAGAGGTCTATGGGGTGTGGATCCAAGAAGCCAACAGGGCCTAAAGGATGAGTGTCTATGATCAATAGGCTATATGTAGGCTGTAATATGTATGTTTGTGCACATGTCACCTTCTTTTTTCATCCTTATGTATGATCCTTCCCCAGGGAGGAAATTGATTTTATATTATTTGATACCAGAACAAGAGAAAAGTATCTGACAAGCATATATATATATATATAATATACAGTGTGCTATCATAATGACAAGCATACACATTTCTGCCCTACCCTGCTGGGTAGTGGAGGAGGCCTAAGTTTCCCAGGACTTGCTTGTCTCTCTCTGCAGGAGCCAGGGCGGCCCTGCACCTGCTTCTGGGAACCCTCCCATGCTCACAGCCTTGCTGCTCATTGCCTCAAACCCAGGACTGAGCTCACTGTGCACTTTCTTTCTTTGTGTCAGTTCTTGTAAGAAGCATCAGGATACTGGGCATTTTTCATCTCCACGAGGCTTGCACACTTTCTGTTCTTAATTTTTCTTTCAAGTTTCTCTATCCCAACTCCCTAACACTTCCCTTGTGTCCTCAGAAATTCAAGGACCTTTAGGAGCAAAACAGCTTTATGTTCTCTCTCCTGTGATTGTTCCCTTGGCCTTCTTAGTCTAATGGACGTCTGACTTTCCCTGGGGACACTGCTTTTTTCACAGCCTTTGCATGGCTGGAGGTTAGGTATCTTCCTTGCCCATCATTACCCACTTCAGACTATTCCTCCCTTCCTCTAAAACCCCAGCTCTGAATCTCCTATCATCCAACCACTTTGCAATGCAGTTTCCTTGCTACCTTGTTACTAACCCTCAGTCTTCTCATTTGCTGGAAGATAGGATTCCTGGCTCTTCTTACTCTCTCCCAAAACACTCCTGCCTTGGTTCTTGTTGATTTCAATATTGGTATAGATGCCTCTTCTAACACTCTGGTTTCTCAGTTCCTTGAATCAATCTTTTTCAGTGATAGATTGTGTGTGTGTGTGTATGTACATATTTTTTAATCCCTCACTTTAGCTCAGCTACTTACTGCCATGGGTCATTTCACAGACAAATACCTGCAATCTTTCCAAGATCTCAATTTTGTCTCCTGTTCTCTGATTACCACTTCCTAGCCCCTGCCCCCAGGCAGTACTATGTCTTGTGCCATCTTTCCTGGCCTCTCCCCTACTTCATGTCATATCTCCTTACTACTCTTAAATTCAGGTCTCTCAGTATAACCCTTCCTTGCCTATACCTCTTTGGCTTTTGCTTTTTCAGATTTCCTTGGCCAAACACAACCCTTGTTAAGTCAAAGTCTCCATATACTGCCACCTATTAGATTAGTATTAGAATCAGTATTAGAATCTCCATCTACTGTACCTATTAGATTAATGTGCCTGTATAAAAACACATAATGTGGATGGCCTCATTTTAAATTCACGGCCACAAATCTCAACTGGGTCCTTTTTAAAAATTGGTACATATTAATTATGCAGAATATGGGTTTCATCATGGCATCTGTGCATACGAAGAAACATGTTTCACTCACCGGCACCTTCCCTTCCTCCCTCCCCTCCTCTGCCCTTCTAATTTGAAGGAGTCTCTTTTTCCTCCCTATTTTTTCCTTCTAGTTTCCATGTATGAGAGTGAAACGTACAATAATTTTCTGAGTCTGACTTAATTTCACTCAAAATTGAAGTCTCCAGTTCCATTTTTTCCTGTGAATTATAATTTCATTCTTCTTTATGGCTGAATAAAACTCCTTTGTGTCTATGTAACATATTTTCTTTATCCAGTCATTTGTTGGTGGACACATAGGCTGATTCCACAACTTGACTATTGTGAATTGTGCTGTAAGAAATACAGGGATGCATGTATCTGTAAAATGTGCTGAATTTAATTGTTTTGGATAAATACTAAGGAATGGTATAGCTAGATCATACAGTAGATCTATTTTTGGCTTTGGGAGGAAACTTTGTACTGATTTGCATATGTACTAATTTACATTCCCACCAACAGTGTTTAAGTATCTCTTTCTCCCGCATTCTCCCCAGTTTAATTTTAAAATATTTTTTAGTTGTAGTTAGACAAAATACCTTTATTTATTTATTTATTTATTTATTTTTATGTGGTGCTGAGAATTGAACCCAGTTCCTCACACGTGCTAGGCGAGCACTCTACCACTGAGCCACAACCTCAGCCTTAGTATAGTTTTGCTTTGCATTTCCCCAAGTGCTAAAGGTGATGAACATTTTTTTTCATATAATTCATTGTACTTCTTTTGAGAAGTACAATGTCTGTTCAGTTAATTTGCCCCTTTATTTATAGGGTTGCTTGCTTTTCATATGTTGAGTTTTTTTGAGTTCTTTATGTATTCTGGATATTAGTCCTTTGTCAGAGGAGTAGCTGATAAATATTTTCTTCCATTCTTTCAGTTTTCTCTTCACTCTGTTTTCTTTTCAATGCAGAAGCTTTTCAATGTGATGCCTGCCTGCCTGCCTGCCTTTCTTTCTATCTATCTATCTATCTATCTATCTATCTATCTATCTATCTATCTATCTGTCTGTCTATCTATCTTTTTTCTCTTGTTTCCTGAGCTATAGGCAATCTTATTCAGGAAGTCTTTGCCTGAACCTGTATGTTGAACTGTGTTCCTTTTTTTTTTCTTTTTTCTCTTATAACAGTGGCAAAATTAAAAAGTATATTTAGGTCTTTGACCCATTTTGAGTTTACTCATGTACAGGGTCAGCAGGTTCCTTATGGCTACCTGGCAAACATACTTCATTTTCCTGATTCACAGTTCCATTCTCCTAAATGACTATTTCATAGATACTTTTCTCCCTCAATTTTTATTTCCTGTTCCTATTTGACATCATCAGAAGGAATTTTCACAGCCTCCTACCACTTCCTACCTTCCAGTGTTTGCACTTATGCACCCTGACTTCCTGGCAGTGTTCCTAAAGGCACATTTCCTTGATATTTCCTATATCCTACTCAAAGATATAGGCACCCCCAAATTCTCTGCTCTTTTTCCTCCCTCAGATTTTTTATTTCTAAGGGATTCTTGACTTTATCATACAGAAATAATCTTATATATCTCTCTTTATATATTAAAAAAACCCTCTTGTTCCGAATTCTTCCAACTATTATCACTATCTTCAATTTTTTCCCATTGTGTTCTTTCTAAGAATCATTCCAGTGAAGTTTCCATTCTTACTCCACCACCAAAAATGCACTTGTCAGGGACACCAAGGACCTTCTTGTTAATCCCAGCAGTCAACTCTTAGGTCTTTCCTCTGACATGTAAACAGTATTTGACATGGTTCATTGCTCTCATTTCATTTGGCTCGCAGGGTCCTTACTCTCTTGGTTTTCTTCTTATTCAGCGGTCACTCCTTCTTATCTCTTTTGTTGGTCCATCTTTATCTCCCTAATGGGGAAGTACTCTGGGGTCTCTTTCCTTGGTCCTTTGCTCTCTGGACACTCTTTTTCTTGATGTTCTTATCTAGTCTAAGACTTTGCATATTGTCTATATGCTGAGGCAACTATCAGTTACCTGTTGTTGAAAAAACACTGTGTAACAAAAATCGGTAGCATGTGACAATAAACATTTCTTTAGTTTGAGACTCTACTGACCTTCTGGGGATTGCCTAAGCCAGCCTGGGCTGGGGCAGGCTCTGCTTCTCATGCTTGCAGACCTCTATGGGGCACCATGAGGCCTGGGAGTATTCTTATGGTGATAGCAGAGCCATAGGAGAGCAAAAGCAGTTATGTAAGCACTTTTCCATTTGGTCATACTATACCTGCAAAAATTTTGTTACCAAAGCAAGTCATATACAGACATAATCTTATTTCTTATAGCTTGGAGGGGACATATACTCTGTCTCTTTAGTGGGAAGAACTTGGGAATCCCACAGCGAAAGACATCAATTTAAGGAGGAGTGAAGAACTGGAGCCACATCTCTCAAATTTTGCGTGGATGTACTCACTCTAAAGGGTGATCTGTAGTTCACCTGAGATTAAAATGTAATTGAGCATTCTTTATTTTAATCTGGCAACCTTGACCTGCCTTCAAAACATCCAGCACATTACCCCTTATTACATTCACTGCTGTGAGCCACCAGTAGTTCTTACCTGGCTTAGGTGCTGTTGCCTCTTAACTGGTCTCTCACCTTCTACCTCGGTTGCCTTCACATCCTCTCAACACAATAGCCAGAGTGATCCTGTAGAATTTGAGATAATGCTTTTCTTCATCTTAAAACCTGCCAGTGGCCCTCCATTTCTTCCATAGTAAAAACACAAGTTCTTGAAGTTCTTGGAATTCCAACATGCTCCTCGCCCTCATTAGCGCTCTCACTGCATGTGCCCAGCTCTCTCCAGGGCTTCGCTCTGCCACTGTGGCCTCTTGCCAGTTATTGAACACTGTCTACACCTTTCCTCCTTTGCCTTGGCTGTTCCCTCGACCTGGAGCTGCCCAATGCTTGACTCACATCCTCACTTCTTTTAATTCTTTGATCAAACATCGGGTTCTCAATGAGCCCTGCCCTGGATGACACCGCAGTGTCCCACCCCTACCTGACCTTTGTACGCTCACTCTCTCACTCTCTCTCACTTCTCTTCCACAGAGAATTAATCTTCTACCATACAATGATTAACTTACTTTTACACACATTAATTATTGTTTATCTCTCCCACAAAAGTGAGAGCCCTGCAAAGCAGTGATTGTAGTCTGGTTTGTTTGCTGATTGTGTCCCAGTGACTAGGAGAGTGCTGGCAGGTGTCTGATGCATGAAAGGAGAGCTTCACAGTTTCTGCACAACACTATGAAAATTGAATGCAAATATGTTACGTGGATAACTGTTCTAGTATTTGTCTTAAAATTGTATATAAATAAAAAGTTTTATAAAGTGATCGAAACATCTTGATACACTGCTGATTGTTAATGACTGTCTTATAGTAATGACATTTCTTTAAGATATAGATGTATCAAGGATTTTAATAAGCATAACAAAAACTCCCAAAGTCTTGCTAATCTTTCAAAAAGTTCCCAGAAATTAACTTTAAGCATTTTCACTCCCTGTTCCTGTTGGGATTATTGTGTCGCAGCTGTTGCACACACGGAATGCAGGCAGATCAGGGTGAGAAAGGGAGCTATGCAAGTTTGTGACTTGTTGCTTGGGGAGGATAATAATACCCAATCTTTCCATATCTTGATGACTTAAATAACTTAAAATTAATAACTATTTTATGCTTTATCAAGATGGCTTGGGAAACTTTATAAGAAATTTTTTGGTTATCAAGAAGTCATTAATCTCACAACTGTATCTACTCAGAAAGACCTGTAAGAATCAAAAATAGTTGTTTCAAAATCAATACTTGAATTTTTTTTCAAAGGCCCTCCCCTGGAATCTATTTTACTTTTTTTTCTGACAGTTGAATAAGTTTAATAAGTAGCGAACTTAAATTATATGTATGTATATATGAATATATGGTGGATTGTTCTATGTCAAGAAAAAAACAACTTATCCCATGCAGATGATGAGATGGAGCATTTTTAAGTTTAAGAACTTGGACCATTTAGGGCCAGTCTCCCTGATTGACAGCATAGTGTATCCATGGAACCTATCATGGTCACTCCAGGCTGGCAGGATGCTCACCATCTGGTGCTACTGAAGATGGCAAGAGAGTCTGTAAGGAATTTTAGGAGGTTTGTTATGACAAACCACTAAGCTTTAAGAAGTTTTAAAGGATAATCTGTAGTTGTCTAGAATAATATGGGACAACTTATTTCCCAATATTGATATTAATAAGACAATAGTATATGCAGAAAATATTTCACCTTAGATATCAAATAGGAAATGAAAATAGCATTACCTGGTGATTCATGCCTATAATCCTAGCTACTTCGGAGGCTGAGGAAGGAGGATTGCAAGTTCAAGGCCAACCTCAGCAACTTTGTGAGACCCTGTCTCAAAAAAAAAAAAAAAAAGTTTCTTTCTCAACAAATAAAATACAAAATCTGAGTTAATAGTATTTATTCCATTTCAGATATAGTCCGTACTTTTAAATTACTTCTGGTTTACCAAAGTTCATGGGCAAGTACACAGAAAGTTACATTATAGTATGTTAAGTTTGCAAAAAGTTAAGGGCACGGCACTCTGTGATTATTCAAGAGGTCACTCGACCCAGGTTTTGTTTGCATTTTGGGAAGAAATAGGATTTTGGAAGTATCCTTGGAGCTGGAATTTCTATGTAAATTGAAATATAAATGATGATTAGGAAATTTCCAGACAAAGATGGAGATAGATATTAGAAGAAAAGAAATTCAGCATGGAAAGGTGTTTTAGTCAGCTTTTCACTGCTGTGACTAAAGGATCTTACCAGAATAATTGTAGAGGAGGAAGAGTTTATATTTGAGGGCTCACAGTATCAGAGATCTTAGTCCGTAGAAGGCTGGCTCCATTCCATGGGGCTTGAGGGGGGCTAAATATTATGGTGGGAGAGAGTGGCGAAGTGAGACAGCTCATATCATGGTGACAAGGAAGGAGAGAGAGGGAGACTCCACTTGACAGATACAAATATATACCCCAAACCATGACCCAATTCCAACCTTCTCCAGCTACACCCTACCACTTCAATTACCACTCAGTTAATTCCTACCAGGGGATTAAATTGTTGATTGGTTAAGATTCTTACAACTCAATCATTTCTCCTCTCTGAACCTTCTTGCACTGTCTCACATGTGAGCTTTTGGGGGACACCTCAGATGCAAACATAACAAAAGGTAAGTGCCTCATTTGAAGATGTGCATGGTAAACATTCTGAGCTTTGTGGTCATGCTATCATGAATTTCTAAGAGACACATCAATAGATGCAGAAGGTAATGTAGAATCAACTCCTATAGAGCCCTGAAACTTGTTTGGATGCAATTCCCTTCAGGTAATTATTAGAACCAAAAAGTACATTAAGATTTGAGTGGGTTTAATAGACAAGAGTGTAAAGGATATGGAAAAGGCTCTTGAACTTGCTTTTCTTCAGTGTCCTGAGTTTCAAATTATTTTTCCTTTGTAGATCCCTCCACTAAAGGACTTTCAACCTTAGAAATGCCACGAGAATCTTCATCTGCCCCTACATTAGAAGCAGATGTGCCAGAAACAAGTAGTCATTCCTCAATATCAAGTAAGAGTCCTTCCCCTGTGAATTGTTTGGAACACGGTCCTGCTGTACTATTTCGAATTGTGCAATCTGGTTGTTTTCTCTCTCTAAAAAATATTGTTTTAGACTCCTAGGTGGCACTATGTTGTATGTTTTATAAGACACTGAGGTGTACCACAACTCACTCTTGTCCCTATCTCCTGTGTTTGTTTAATCATGTAATTATTGATTGACCAAGAATCCTAATCTGTTTAAGAATGATGACTGAATTTTATCATTCAATAAAATAAAAATTATCTATTATGAGCCTAAACGTAAAGCATAGAATTGGTTATATGACATGTGGAAATCAATGTTCATGGCAGAATTTTATGCAACATGTTTATTTAATTTGAATCATCTGCATCAGTTACAAAATTTTATCTAGCTGATCATAGAATAAACATGCCATATATCATGATCCCAGATCATGATCCCTGAAAGTAAAGATGGCATGATGTTTATAAGATCCATAGGAGGCTAGTGCTTTGAAACTGCCTTCTATTGTTGAGTTCCAGTGAGGTTTCATCAAGGTGTCCATCCAACTTAGCAGGGTCAATTAAGAGACTTTAGCATGGGAAATCCTTAACAGGAATCAGAGATACAAAGGTGCAACTTCTGCAAACATTTGTCACGTGTGCCAATAAATTCTGTGTTCCATGAGGACACTGCCTGAAGAGCTAATTTTTCTTTTGGCCATCTTTTGAAATGAGAATGATCCTGAAAAGCCAGAAAATGATCTTAATATAAATGCTGGACTGGTAGTACGAACATCATCATCTTCATCATCTGTTCATTCATGCACTCATTCATGCATTTATTCAGAAATTATTTACTAAGAGTCTGCTGGGTGCCAGGCATTGTGCTTGGCACTGAGGATCAAAGGTGAATAAATAAGATACCCCATGTTTTCAAGGAGTTTACAGTCATAAGAATAATTATAGCTTCCATTTATTTGACACTTCAGATGTGCCAGGCACTATGCTGAATGGTTCATACACATTGTTACCTGAGCCAATCCTTCCATTAGCACTGCATAGCATATTGTTGACCCTACTCTGTAGATTAAGAAATTGAGGTTCAAAGAGGTTGAGTGACTTACCTAAAGTCATACAGCTACTAAATAATAGAGAAAGGAATCAATGCAACTCTGTTAGATTTTAGAGCTCAGGTTCTTTTCAGTGTACCACATTGCCTTAGAGTAATTTCAAGTCAACTCTGATAGAGATTATGCAAATCCTGAGATAGTTTCCAAGTGACACTTTGCCTGTTTGGTGGCAAAGGAGAACAGCTAGTTCTCAATATAATTGTTCTTCTTTTATCATAAATACCTGTTTGATAACATGATAAAAGGCCAATTTTTAAGTCCACATACAAGAGTCATGAAAATGTGTTTCTTTTCCTAATTTACATGAATCATTAATAAAAAGATAATGAATACCAAGTAGGAATAATTTGAGATAGCAAGGATGTTTATGTCCCTGTGACTTCAGTGCTGACAAAATGTATTGTAAAGTAAATGTACCAAAATTGTGACTGAACAAAGTCATGTGTATCATGATCCCAAAGTCATGACTGAACACAGCCTTTTTGGATTTAGCTCAGCATATCATTAAATTTCCATCTCCTCTCCTTGCCATTCAAAGCATGTGTGTTGTGACTCTTGGTGGTGAGCTCTTGGAGCCATAATGCCAGGTGCCTTAGACATTAAAGGCTTTTACTCTCAGAAATTCTGCTGCCTTTAAAAGCAACTCAGAGGTGAGGTTGGAGCTCAGTGGAGAGCACTCACCTGGCCTGTGTGAGGCCCTGAGTTCCATCCCCAGCACCACAAAACAAATCCAAACTGAGAATTGGAGAAATTTTGCAGTCACTTGAGGTTTTATATTCTTATTTGACTTAGTATGCAAGATGCTTCTAATTTTTAAATTTGTTAAGTCTTTTGAAAGATTTCTGCTTTTAAAAAAAATTTAAAGCTGCACTTTTAAAGTGAGTCAAAAAAAATTGTGAATTTTACAAATCAACAAAGTTAGACTTGTTTAATATTAGGTTGATTTGTCAATTCTCTGAATTCAATTAATATGGACTCCAAGACACAAGAAATCCCATCACATGCTTCTTGCTCAATTTATCAGCTGATTATTTTGTAGCTAAACATGACCACCATAAATCAAACTTCATGCTAATTACATTAGAAATAATGTTATAATTGATTTCACCTCAACCCAAATTGCTGCCTTGGCACTATGACTGTGAAACATATGTATAACATTCAAGATTTTCCAGGGGCCATACAGTCATCTTGGTTTCTACCATCCATTTCTAGGGCATGTAAGTCATAAATTCATTTTCTCAAATTGCCCTGATAAAAGCATGAAAAACCACAAGTTGTCAAATATTCAATGTTTGAGGTCATGTAAAAAGGCCACATGGGTGATGCTCTGTCTTTCACTCTGGGCTGGTTGTTGGGCTGAGGGGGGACTGTGCTGTGGAATAGGGTTGAAGGAGGCAGGCTGCCTCTCCGCAGTCTGCTGGCAGAGTGCTTTCTGCTGTTTTCCTGTTTGGAATTGCATGTAACTTGACATTTCACTGGTGGGATATTTGCCAATTCTTAATTTCATGATAACAACTTTATCATTGTTTTCTAAAACAAAAATATGTACTAGAATATATTTGTGGAACATTATTCGATTAACATTTTTCAAACAATAAACAGAAACTCCTACAGAGGTTGGAAACAACATTGACTTTGGAGTTGATATGTTCTGGTTTTAGGACCATCTCAGTTGCTGACTGTTTCCATTTTTTCAATTTCTTTCTCTAAAAATTGGGGTGGGTATATGTCTTCCCACTCCAACATATATATGTGCACACATACATCATACACACATTACAGTTAGGGACTTTATGGGACACACATTGCAGACTAAAACTGTGTACATGCAAGCTCCATTAAAGACAGTTGAGCTATAAATTCAAAGTAGTAGTGTCTGCCTTCATTCCTCTTTGGAATACAGCAGAGTTTATAAGGGAAAAAAACAAGTGAGAATAATCATAGTTCATTTTGTTGTTACTGGGATATTTATAGGCAGTAGATCATTGCTAAAGTGTACTGTTATTGTCTGAGTAAAGAAAGACACTTCAAACAGCAGAATGCCTCAGTTTTTCCCTTGGACAGGAGCATATAATTTACCAAAAATTATGACTACCAATGAAGGTTCAATTAGGACTCATATGGTTGTGTAGAGCCTTTGTGTGCTTTGGAAATTGATGCCCCCTGGTAATCATCTCCTAATTTCCTTCATATAGCTCAGTATAGGCAGATGAAAAGGGGATCCCTGGGCGTTCTCACAATGAGCCAGTTAATGAAGCGACAGCTGGAACATCAGTCTAGCGCCCCCCATAACATCAGCAACTGGGACACTGGTGGGTCAGCCTTTTCTTCTTGTTTTACCTCTCAGATTAGCTAATGCCACTTTCTCTGTGTCCACTTTACTCCCTTGTTAAGGAATACATTTTCTCTCACATTATTTGGTTCAAATAATTTTTAAAAACTACTGTAATTAGTAAGTCTATGCAAACTTTCCAAGTGTTCCAGAGTAACATGTTTATTCACCTAAGCTGGTCTGATTCTTTCTTCCTTTAAGACCTAGATTCCAGATCTTAGATTATCAGTCTGAGGGGGAATGGAACTATGATCTCATGATGAAAATTAAAACACACACACACATTCACTAGATTATCAATATTTTTTATAAAGTAGCAACAATTAAAGAAATAGTAATAATAATAGTAATAACGAATGTTAGCTTAGTGACTCCCTGATCTCCATTGGGTTTGGGAACCTGAGTCCTATTTTAGCTACAAGGTCCCTAGGCTGCAGCTGCTCACCTTCATGTTCCTAAAATGGAACTGGATCTAGCCTCAAGATGTGTCTACTTTACACATTATCTGTCTGCATTTTTTAATCTTGGTTCCCACGTTCTGTATATGTACTACCTTCACCAGTCAACAATATGCTGCAATCCTATTTTAAGTGCCCGCCTTTCTTTTTTTTTCCTTTATAAATTAAATGGGTCATTTGAGTTACAGGATTATATATGTGAATGCACTCTGCAGCATGCATGCATATGAAAATACAAAGGCTTATTATTGTGATATGCTTGGAGGCCAGCACCTGGACTCTTTTAACATCTTGGTTAGTACTTCCTGGCTGCAGTTACATGAGATTATTTTAATATTCTTTCTTATGATTAGGAAGTACAGTGTCCACAAACTCAAAAATCTGGCAAATGAGTAAGCCATCTTATTTGCCCTCAATATTCTTCAAAACAAGAGAGCTCTTCTAGATAACTAAACACCACACCCAATTCCACATGGAATAAATCATTTCAGTCCTCCTGGACTTTATAAGGTTGAATTGTTTTGGTTTGGTACTGTGATTGAACCCAGGTATGCTTAACCACTGAGACACATTCCCAGCCCTCTTTATTTTTAATTTTGAGACAGAGTCTCACTAAGTTGTTCAGGGCCTTGCTAAAGTTGCTGAGGATGCCTTTGAACTTGAGATCTTCCTGCCTCAGCCTCCTGAGCTGCTGGGATTACAGGCCTGCATTCCTATGAATGGCTGTAAGGTCAACTTAAGGCTTAATGTTTTCTCTTCATTTAGTAATAGGTGGTAGTAAGCAGTGAAAAACCAAATATATCAGGCAGAAGTGAGGAGACAGACCCTGGATAGCCAGCCTCAAGAGTTTATTTGTTTGGGATAAATACTTTCTATCTAGACCAAAGAGGACTGTGTTTCTTTCTTGAGATGAAGCAATGTAAGGAATGAGAACCAACTTTTATTTGGTTAGGTCTCAGGTATTAGATGTCCAGGTTGACTTGGGGCTTTGAAAATTATTTTGCCATGCTATTGTTTTTTGTAACTAGTGGCTCAGCCTATACTAACCATTTTAGATTTTGACTATAATTACCTAGTTTGATTGACATAGTAAAGTTATGAAATGGCCAATTGATCTCAATTTCCATCTGAATTTTAATCTAAAAACCAATATGATGCTAAATAACCCATTTAACTGAATTTTTCACTTTTTAACCAGATTTCAACTTTGTTCATGTCACTCTGGTTTCTCATTTCATACTTCCCATTTACCTACTGTCTGAATTTCTTTCACCTGAGTTTTCCTGGGCTTGTTTTCCATCCTCCGAGTTGGTTCTCTTGTCTTCAAGTGCGACTAGAGCTTCATCTCAATCTTCTTTTTTAAAATTTGTGTTGTAAAAAGTACTTCCCATGTCTAAGCCCAGAAGAGAGCCCATGAATGTGTAGTACGGTGCTCAGTGCCATGTCACTCTAAACAACATGGTCACTTGCTGGTCTCACAAGAACAGATCCTGTCATGTAGGCGTACAGAGAATGACAGCCTAAAACATGGGTCACGCGATTCCCCTCAGCTTTCACCACTGACTCACAGAGCACCTGCCTCTGCTCCATAGGACACATCTACATGGTTTGCTTCTCTGTCTTGTCTTTCATGTAAACAAATGTTCCTGAGGTACCTGTCTTCCATTTCTGCTGTCACCCTTCATTTCTGTTCTTCATCGCTCAAACGTCTATAATTTCCTTCTACCAGGTCCATGTGTTTTCTGTATGAACTTTCTGGCCATTACATCAAATTATCACTTATGTATTTATTGGTTTGCATAAAACATTTCTTTCATGGCCGTGACATTGATCTTTCATTTCATATCAGGAGATACAGGATATGCACTTTTTTTGAGGTATGGTGGGATCTGGCCTCTTTGGGGATAGTTTTGGGTGGTCTCCTATTTTCAGTATATTTCATTTAATTGAATGATAAATTTGTAGCAAAATCTCAAATAATCCTACTCTAAAGTCTAGGCTGTATCCTTTAAATGTTAATAGTCTACAATAACGATGACACAAAAAGGGCTCCAAGAAATTATTGATTATATTCATTGTGCTGTGAATTGTAGTCACCTGACCACACTGAAGACTGAAATGCTCTATTTATCCACAGAACAGATACAGCCTGGGAAACGCCAGTGTAATGTGCCAATGTGCCTAAACCCTGACCTGGAGGGACAGCCGTTGAGAATGAGAGGTTGGTTGAGTCAGAGTCTCAGCCTGTAAGAGCTGCAAGACTGTACGTGTCCATCACCGAGTCACCCAACAGGAGCAGGTGCTGAAACTTTTTCTTCAGCAGCTCCATGAAGTGATGCAGCCTCTGCAAAACATCTTCAGGGACTGGAACGCATGACAGCTCATCTTATAACATGACCAGAGGAAAGGTCTTCCTTATCATGGATTTCTAGCCTTTAGGGCCACACAATAAAAGCCTAGTATCCACCAGTTTTCTTGACATTTGAAATATCCACCTTTTGCTTATTCTCTGTTGTTTCTAGGCCCTAGACCCCTCAGTATTCCTCCTAATACGTGTGTCAGTTTTCTGTATCACCTTGTCTCTAGTATGTTGTGATCATAGACGAATAGCTTCTTTTCAGCTGCTGGAGGGGTATATTGAAAATATACACTTGATTTTATGTTGTTGATGGTAGCCAGCTAAGCATAAATGCATTATGCTAACAGCATCAGAGTCTTTATTTTCAAAATTCATCTGTGAATTTTAATTACAAAGGTAATTAATCCTTACTTTGTTCTTTTTAAAATTCAAAGGAAGTTAACCTATCATTGGTTACAAAAAAAAATTTAAAAAAAATAGTGATTCCATCTCACAGCTAGTCCCTTACATCAAGTAGGTCTGTTTTTCTAGCCCATGCCACTCTTCTGGGTTTCCTAAGAAGGATGGAAATGTGTAGCTCTCGTCTCCCTCAACACTTGTTGGCAGCGAGTAGCAGCTTCAGCTCCTGGATCAGATCAGGTGAGACTCTTCTCACCTTTATGAGTGGAAGCCAGGTGGGTCATACAAATCTCTGGTGCTTGTTTATGATTCAGTAGAAGCAAAATTGCAATGAGGAAAAGGGAACAAAGATGGAAAGTCATTCTCTTTCATGGTGAACAGAAGAGTTGACTTCATGGTTTCTCCTGTCTCCAAGATTCTCAGACTTTTATCAACATCTCTAGCTTTGAAGTTGGGCTGCGGAGTCCCCTCCTCCTTCAAGTTTCTGAGAACATTCTGTTTCTGCTTCTAGTTCTGTACAGAGGGCATTCTGGATAGTCAGGAGGGGAGCCAGCAATGTCAGTGTTGGCAGAAGTGTTGGCAGAAATGTTGGCAGCAACTGGGAACAACACTGCAGTCTTAGCTGTGGTGTGACTCAGCTATAGCAAAAGGGAGTTAAGGTCTCTAGCTTCTGTTCTTGCATTTCCCACCTTCTCCTTGTTCATCATTCTTTGTTCCCACATCAGCAGAAGGATTCAGAAATCCATGGATTCAGCTAGTGTTATCCTGTGAGGCCAGTGCCCAGTACCACAACCTACCTGCCTTCCTATATGACTGCTGTAAATGTTGCATCATATATTCTGTATTGTCATATGAACAACAACTTCACAATACCATTGTCAAAAATACCTCTTCCTTAGCTGATGACTGTTTTGAAAACACAAAAACGACTGGATCCCTCTTTTTACTTGACTTTATTTAGTGATTACAATATAACAGAAATTGACAATAATCCTCTGACAGCCTTAACACAGAGTTGTTTGTTGAATTACTTTTTCATGTTTTTAGTAGGTCTGGATTATGTGTCACCATTATAGGCTTAATTCTTCTGCTTTTAGCACAGGCATTTTGGCATATGGTTCAGAGTTCAAGAAATGTGAAGAATTATATTTAAACGTTCTGTATTTTGGTTTCTTGAAGCAACTTCATGCTATTTACCATGCTGTTTAATAATCAAGTATGTCTTCTTTTATCTTGGCCTAGTTCTTGCTTCTTCGATTACTAATCAATTTATAGTTATGCTTGTAATTCGTTGCTTCCACTCAAAGAAACATCTTCTAGAAGCAGAGATCTTTATTAATCATACTCTGAGGTATATTTTGGAAAGAACATTATCTCAGAGACAGCTGATGAATATTGTAGTAAAATCTGTATTCCCACTTGGGAGGTTAGGGAGTGACATGAAGTACACACAAGTTTCTGAATACTTTTCTCTGCCTTGTGGGATTACAGGTCTTCCGCTTCTCTTAAGTACCTTTTGTAGCCTATAATATGGAAGTATTATAGGCTACAATAATTGTTTTGAACACTTTTGAACAATTGTTTTGAACACTTTTATCCTATTTTTTTCCTCTCAGATTGAAACACTTGTCTACTTGGTTAGGTTTCTAAACATTTTATTTTGATTCCTTTAGAAACCAATTCTCTGAATTGTTTTTCTTCTGCTTAAGGAGAGATGGAATTTCTTTCAAGTACCAAGTTCCTTGAGAAGTGGATTTCTTAACAGTCATTGATTTCTTCTGCCTTCTTTCCTGTTTGAAGAACACAGTCTCAGGGATTCTTTGAATAACATGGTATTATTCTAAATTGTTGCTTTGGGATCTTTTTTGATGCTTCATTTGCATGGTTCTGGAAAACCTCTCCAACACTTGTGGCTTCCTTAATGGAGAATACCCTCCTGATTCTCCAACTTTGCTCATCACTGGAGCATGTTGCTAAGAGCCCTGCCTCAGATTTCTTTGAAGAAAGTGAAACCCAAAGTTTTAAACATGGTGGTACTGTTGGCCAAAGTCAAGTGAGTCACTAAATGGTATCTTCAAAACACTGCATTTTCACTCATAAATACTTCAATATGAAAAATAGTCTTTTGGTTTGGAGCTTATGATATTAATTTCCAAAGTAAAATTTGCAGTCATATTTCTACCTCATATATACCCTGGGATCTTATTTTCTTCCCTCGTTAGCAACACTTTAATAGATATATATGGTGCCTTTAGAAATGATGTATAACATGGACAGCTTCCACTGGGGCCTGGCAAATGAGGGGGTGACTGACTTAAGAGTACCCTGGAATAGATTTCCCTCTTGATTTGTCATTTTTTTTTAGTACCTTGTTGGTACATCTGAATGCTTTCAGATATTTTCAAAGTCAAGAGGCAAGGGAGACATAGACATCCAGTTCTTAACATCATAGAAGTAGAGACAAATCACAATAGTTCTTGACTTCATCATGCCATTGAAGCTTTTCCACAATGCATCTGGATGTCCAGGCTGCAACCCTTTGAATGTGATCTGTGGAGGGCTGTAAGAGCAGAGTGGGGACTTTCCTGGTCCCAGGAGCTGAGCTTTATTCACTGGTTGTCTCTTTGCTGCTTACCCAGGTGCCACGAAGTCCAGCCTGCTGTCAGCACCCAGCATAGTGAGCATGTTTGTACCTGCTCCTGAAGAATTCACTGACGAGCAGCCAACGGTGATGACTGACAAGTGAGTGCACATAGAACTAGAGTTTGGTCATCAGAGTTGTGAGAAAGTATAAGAGGAAGCAATTCTTCTTTTAAGTCATAATTTGTTCTTCAAAAGGCTGTAACTGTAAGTGTTGGTATGTGTTTGTGATTTAGGAATGCTGTCTTATGAACACCTTTTCTTTGTGCTTAGGCATTGTTCTTTTTGTATTTGAGTAAATTTAAATAATGTCACTCACTTATTATCCCTAGTAATAATTTCACACCTATAAAACCCCTCAATAAGAAACCTCAGATTGTTAGATTGGGAATAAGGATGATATTCCATTCTTTTTCCATCCTGCTAGCAGAATCTGTTCTTAAACTGATTTTGTCAGCTCTCAGCTCGTCAGCCTCCAATAGCCCTAAAGCCCATCTAGGACCAAGCACAGTTGCCTTGGTTTCTTAGATAAGGTCCTTCAGCTTGGGAAGGTTCGGCCCTCCCACTCCTCACCAGGACCCCTTTCCCAGCCCCTCCCCTTTTCCAGAGCCCCCCTGCTGTGCCCTCCCTGTGTGTCCTTTTGTACTTTCTCTTCTTGGTGAACTGATCATGCTTGAAGGTCCAGGTGAAGGTAAGTTCCCTGATTCCATCAGGCAGCATCAGTCACGCCATTCTCCAGCCTCCTCTGCATCCGGTGCATCTCTATCCTGGCACTTACCACATTGCATGTTATATGTGTTTTCTTAAATAACACACACATGTTCTGTAATAGATTGGGAGTTCCTTAGGGACCAGGACCATTTCTTCTATATTTTATACCCTAAGTTCCCTGTATATTGACTGGCACATAAATGCTTGCTCAGTGAATATGATAGAGTATACTTGTAGGATTTCAAGTTTGGAGAGGTCCCTTTGGGCCAGGACCAAGAATTCCAGTTACGTGGATACTCATACCTGGTCCTGGTCCAAAGGGTTCTCTCCAAACTTGAAATCCTGCAAGTCTTAATTCCTCAGCTCTCATCCAGTAACCATCTAACAGTCCTTGCTGAAGTGGCCTTGGGATGTCCACCTGGGGAGCTTTGTATTACCTGGGAGGGCTCTTCTTGGCTCTTCCTCTAGTATAATGTTTTCCTTTCACATCCTCCCCCTCCCAAGTCCCAATTTTTCCTAGTTGCTTCATATTTACTTTGTTTTTCTTCTTTTTTGATTACAAATATGAAGGCTATATAAAAGCCATATTGTAATAAAACTTTTATTTACTTATTTATTTTATTTTTACCTATATTTAGGAGGGTTTCAAATCGAAGGTCACAACAGCAATCATAGTTTGGGTCCCTTGCTATGTCCTCCCACTGTATAAAGCTGCCTTGGTTGAGTTTAATTAAATGGAACTCACATTAGAATGCATGAGAAACAGTAAGTTGTAAGTTACTTAAGAGCAGGTACCATTGTTTGTGTTTTCACACATTAGGCTCAGTAAATTCATAAAATTGATCTAAGTGAGTGGTAGAGAAGGGACTCAATTGAGACCCCCAGGCTTTCTAAACTGTTATCTTCACTCAAGTTCCCTATCTCTTACCCACAAATAGAACATTTTTTGAAAGCTTCTATTCATGCCTAGCCATTTTTCATTTTGACAAAATGAGAAAACTATGTAGTCATTGACAATCTCTAGCCGTATTTTCACAGAAGCTTCACACCAATAGTTCAGCTGATGCTCATTCCAACAGGGTGCAATAACTCCCATTTTCCAGATGCTTGTGAATTTGAAGAGTATTTTCAGTAATTAAAGGGACTTCCACCACCTCTGCCAAGTGTGTTTTTTTCTGCATCTGTGGTGGTGGTGGCCCTAGGTCTCCCACTTATTGTTACAGTGGGGACACTGACCTCCTTTTGGGGGATTTTCCAAGACTCATGAGAAATGACTGTGTGTTGTATGTTGTATCTTGAAACAGTGGTTGGCTTTCAGGAAAGCATTCCTCCGTTTTCCTTGCAGATGCCATGACTGTGGGGCCATTCTTGAAGAATATGATGAAGAAACACTCGGGCTGGCCATTGTGGTCCTCTCCACATTCATTCACTTAAGCCCTGACCTGGCGGCCCCACTGTTGCTGGACATCATGCAGTCTGTGGGAAGGTAAGGGTCAGCTCGAGTTGTTTGGTAGGATGGAGCCTATCCAAGACAAATCTTGAGATAAAATCCACCAGTTCAAAAGCAAGCATGCATTTACCTTGTATATATCTGTGGAATCAATTCAAACTAGTTTAAAAAAAAATTTTTTTTTAGTTGTAGATGGACACTATACCTTTATTTTGTTCATTTATTTTTATGTGATGCTGAGGATTGGACCCAGCACCTTGCATATGTGAGGCAAACGCTCCACCGCTGAGCCGCAACTTCAGCCCAATTCAGACTAGTTTTAAAAATTGAATGAACTGATTTTGTATTGAATTCCCCAGCTGTGTAGATTCATGAGTTACAACGTCAGAGTGAAACTAGATGAAGCTGCTTTTGTACTGTTTGTTGTTTGTATTTACTACATGAGCTAACATATGTAACAGTGCTCAGAACTATCAGTTCATATTAAACACCTCATTAGCTAATATTATTATTACTATTATTATCTCTTTTTATTTTGAGATGAATTCTCTAGGTATTTTGTAATCTCAAGGGACCCTCACTTAAATATGCAACTTGGCCTAATTATGTGAGGGGATAAATACAAGTAAATAAATGTAGCAGCTTCACATTTCTGACTCAGATAAAGGAAAGATAAACACATTTTTGCGAACGGACCTTCAGCCTGAGGGAAAAATAAGCTTAGCTATTTTGAGTGTTCATATAAAGAAAATTCCCTTTAGTAGAAAGACAATAGGAGATGGATGATGTATTTCATGGATATGCATAAAGTTCTAATTCAGTAACAAACATAACATATAGCAGAGGACTGAGTAAAATTAAGTTTCCAAGCTGTGCTAGCATAGTGGTAGGTGCTTTGGATTAAAGGCACTAAGGCCTAGCTCCTGCCTTCAAGTGATTCATGGCTGAGTTGTTAGAAGGAACTGTTCTGTGCAGAATCATTGAGTGGCTATATAGACAGGGCATCGATTAAGTGCTATGTTGAATGGCCATTGGGGTACAGGTGGGGCATAGATTAAGTGCTATGATGAGTAATATGAGTGTAAGTGCTATAGATGGAAAAGATTTCACTGGGGTAGGACAAGAACTGAATTCTGAAAATTCCTGGCATTTAAGAGAAGAAAAGAGCATGAATCTTAGTGGAGCTAAAATTAAACCTTTTTTTTTTTTAAATGAAGAAATACTGATTTCAGGTAAACAAGAAAAACATTAAAAACTTGACCCCCAAAGTATAAGACCCTGTTATCTCCCTCTCTGCAGATTTTTTTGTAGCATCTTTAGAGTCATATGTGCAGAGACAGTATAAAGTGAAGTGTAACCATTCCACCTTCACTTCAGAGTGGCCGAATGCAGAGGGAGTGATAAGCATGGGGATATGGAGAAGAGAAAACATGAACTATGTCATTTAACCCTTCATTTTGGCTGATCTTAATAATTGTGGAATAAACATTATATCAGCTTTCAGCAATACTAATGGAATTGAGGGTTGTTATTAATGCGTGGTCACAATTCCTACTATTAATACATTTTAGTTTCAGAGGAGATGGAATTATTGTTTTGATCTGTTATTATGTTCTTGAAACAGTTGATCTAAGTTATTGAGGGGATTGTTTTTGTTGTTTTAACATAAATTAGAATAACCCATGTTCAAGCATTGCCAATTAGTAGGATGGAAACACATAAGCTTTGAAGAAAAGCGAGAAAAAACAGTAGCAGACACATTTTTGCATATTTTCTTATATATATATATATATATATATATATATTAATCTCTGTTCTTTGGAAGACTAAGGGGGAATAGGGAAAATATTTCATGCAAACTGTCAGGATTCTAGAAACCTAAGCCTCATGGCCAAAGTTTCCCAGAGAACAGATTCATCCACTTCCTAATTAGGGGCTTCCTTATTATATGCTTCAGTTCCACTGCAAAGAATGGGGGAGGCAATGTGGATTTACAACCATTTCCTTTACTCCCTGCCAGTCAGGAGCACAGGCACCATTCCCAGGGTTTTCTAAGACTCTGTAAACTCAACTAATCCTTTCACTTGTTAGTTGAACTTCTCTATGAGATTTTGTTTATATTTTGCTCTCTACCTGGATGCCTCTTGAATTTTACCTGTCCCCTTTTTCAGGTACATTCTTTTGACATACACATTTCCTGTACCCTTAATTACTATTCAGTTTATTTGCAAATGTCTTTCAACTCACTGTAAAATGAGAGAACCCACAACCGAAGCAGCCTGGAATCCTGTCTGGTGTTAGTGGTAGCTGGGAGCCATTGTTCCTCTCCAAATGGGTTCTTGGCTCAGGTCACTTCTGTAGCCTTAAGTGAATTGATTTGTGACCCTCTCCCTATTTGTTTCTTTAATGCCTTACTGATTAAAATATATTTTCCTAAATCTACCAATGTAGTACATTCTCTCTGTATATGATGACATATGGGATATTTATTTATACAGAACCATATAATTATATCTTTCAAAATTATGTTATATATCGATTATTTAACCTAACATATTTCTGTTCTCAATACAACAGTTTTCTCATTATTTTTATTCAACAGGTAGCTGACAAATACCTGTTATCTATTTTACTAACTCACAGTGGTTTTTACAATTTGTGATTTGTTTGTAGACAGGTTTCAGAGGTTGTAGACTGTGATGAATTTGAGTTAAAATGGGAATGAGTTGGGCAAGTATTGTCCTGGTTTCTATTGTCCTACTTGGCAGTGGAGGCCATTTTGTAGGTTGGCCAGTGACAGCAAACTGATTTTGACTATGTGTCACTCTATGGAAATATCTGATTTCATGCAGAAGGCAGATTTTGGGGCTGGGACACTGACCTCTGAGTGGGCCCTCTGTCCCTGGTCAAAGGGTGTTACACAAGTCCCCCTATTTCTGAACCACAATAGGTCCTCCTCAATACTACAGCATTTGATCATGAATAGCTAAGAAATTTGTGTGACTGTGTTTACTTTGTTTCCTAGATTGGCATCCAGCACTACCTTTTCTAACCAAGCAGAAAGGTAAGATCCTACAATGGGCCCGGATCGCACTTTCTTTTTGTTTCCTGTGCATGTTCATCCTGTTTCTAAGACATGGGATCTTATTCCAAGAAAGGGTTATTGTTGGTTCCAGTCAGAATTCCAGAAAGCATTAGTTGTTTGATTTGAGTTCATGCCTTTGTTTATCATTCATTAATTCACTCGTTTTAGTAAAAGAATACTTTTAAGCCTACCCTGTGCTTGATACTTAGGCTTTAATTAGGGGCAAAACTAACTGGATTCCTACCCTCAGTGGGGTTTTGTGCTCTGTTGGGGAGGCAAACATGAATGAAATATTCACACAAATTTGTAATTTTAAAACATATTAAGTGCTATGAATAAAAAGTATAGAGAAACTTACATCAATTCTTCCAACAAGTATTTATGGGGTTATCTAGTGATGTTGAGAATACAATGGTGAAAAGCATACCCAATCCTGGCTCTCAAGGAACCTACATTCAAGATGAAGAGGAATAAGGAAATCAATCAACAAGTAAATTGATAATGCGGTTTAATATCATTTTGTGCAAAGTGCTGTGAAAATCAATTAAAGTGTAGGTGCTAGAGAGGGACTGGAAATGGTCATTTTAGATACAGTGGTCAAGGATAACCTCTCTGCAGAAGAGATAATTAAACCGAGCCTGAGCAGAGTTAAGAGCAATCCATGCGGTGCTTTATGGAACGAGCAGCCAGGGCAGATGTGTTAAGTTAGGACAATGCCTAGTGCATTTGGGGGATGAACTAATAACATGGCTGAAATGAGCATAGAAAGGATGGCAGATGGGATGGACCAGGTAGTGGGAGCCAGGCCAGGTAAAGCCCCGTAGGTTACTTAAGAAGTTGAGCTGTCGCTGAATAAAACAGGGAGCCATTGGAGCACATACTTGATCTTGTGCTTTGAAAGGATCACTCTCTGGTCAAATTCCTAGACTCAGAGTGGAATGATGTTGGTGGTCTAGGGGAGGGGAAGTAGGGAATCAATCAGCAGGCATAAATGTCAGTTAAGGAGCTCTACAACACTGTATCTAGACTCAACAATAATGTATTGCACACTTAAAAATTTAAGAGGATAGGTCTTATATAGTGTTCTTATTAGAAAGGAAATTATTATTATTATTATTATTATTCCAGGGATTGAACTCAGAGGCGTTTAGCCACTGAGCCCCATCCCCAGCCCTTTTTATTTTTCATTTTGAGACAAGGACTCCCTAAGTTGCTTAGGGCCTTACTAAGTGGCTGAGGCTGGCTTTGAAATCATGATCCTCCTGCATAAGTCTCCCAAGCCTCTGGGATTTCAGGTGTGTGCCAGTGTATCTTAGCAAAAATTAAAAATTTTAAAAAGGAAGAATTAAAAAGAAGAAAAATAAAAGATCACTCTGGCTTACATGATTTAAAACAAGTCACCGGAGTGAGTGGAAGCAGGGAAGTCAGTTTAGAAACCATTTCAGTGGAGCAAGTAGAGGCGACTTGCTCTCAAGTGGTGAGGAGTTGTCACATTAAGGATAATTCAGGAAATACTTTAGAAGTACTCTAGATAAAGGAAATATCATAGAGCCAACAGAATTTTCTGATAGATTGGATGTTTGGTGCAGAGGTAGAGAGGAGGCAAGAATGACGCCCAGGCTTTGGTATGAACAACTGGTGGAGAGATGTGCCACTTACTGAGGTGGAGGGCCTAGGTGAGAGCCAGCGCCATGAGTGGCTATCACCTACTAAATGCTAACCACCTGAAGTTATGTTAGTCACAAGATATGAAAGACTGGGTATTATTTTTCTCTTGGGTATCCTTCCCAAATGACAAGTCACAAACCTGCATAACTGCCTTTCTCACCCTGATCTGCCTGCATTCTGTGTGTGCAGCAGCTACAACACAATAATCCCACTAGTAATGGGGAGTGAAAATGCTTAAAGCCAATGTCCACCTCCAGAGAGGCCGACACTATTGTGATGTTCTTCTACCATGGATTAGTTTTGTCTATCGTAGGGCTTCATGTAATGGAATTAAACAACATATGCTCTTTTGTGTCTGACTGCTTTACTCAACAATGTCTTGAGATTTATCCATGTTGTTGCTTATATCTGCAGTTTGTTTCTTTTCCAGAGCTGAATAGTGTCCTATAGTTTGTTTATTCACTTTCTGTTGAAGGACTTTGAGTTATTTCTGGTTTGGGGCAATTATAAATAGAATTGCTATGAATATTCTTATAAAAGCCTTTTGTAAAAAATGTTTGCATTTTCTCTTGGGGATGGATTCATATCTCACAGGATAGGAGTATGTTTAATTTCAAAAGAAATCACCAGCACTTCTCTTACATAAAGATGCTTATATAGAGATTGTTGTAACATTTCTCTTATGTATAAAATAGTAACCATGTTATATTCCTATCATCAATGTATGAGACTTGGGATTGTTCCACATCTTTGCCATATTTAGTGTTGTTGACTTAAAATTTTAACCACTCAGGTGGGTGTTTAGTGGGTATCTCATTGTAGTTTTAAATTCCATCCTTTGGTATATTCTTTTGTGAAATATCTGCTCAAATCATTTGCATCTTTTTAATTGAATTGTTGTCTTTATCCAGAGTTGTAGGAATTCTTTACATATCCTGAATATCAGTCCTTTATTAAATATTTGAAGAACATCTTCACCCAGTCTTGGACTTATCTATTCCTTTTCTTAATGGTATTATTTGCTGAGGAATATTTAATCCAGATGAATTCTAATTTATTAAAACTTTTTTAAAAATTATAATTGTTGCTTCCTGTTATTTATCTAAGAACATTTTGTCTCCTTCCAAGTCATGCAGATATTCCCCAATGTTTCCTTCTAAAACTTTATGGTTTTAGTGTTTATGTTTAGCATTTATATGATCCATCTCAAATTAATTTTTATGTATTGTGTGAATTAGGGCTAGGGCATTCATTTTTATCCAGGGTGGATATAGTTCAGCATCATTAAAAATGGAAAATACTCAATGGATCCTTACAATGTCTGTTAAACTCAAAATACCATATAAGGGCAGGTCTGTTATATGTGTTTTGTATATGTTCTATATGTTGACCCTTAAGCTAACACCCACACTTGATTATAGTAGCTGTGTAGTAAGTCTTGAATCAGGCAGTATGAGGCCTCTAACTTTAACTTATCTTTTTCAAGATTGGCTTGGAGATCTAGAGTCTTTACATTTCCATATAAATTTTTAAAGCTTCTCATTTTTTTAATCAAAAAAGCTTTCTGGGATTATATTAAAAGTATAAATCAATTTTATATAAATGACATAAATGACATTGAAATATTCAATTCATGAACATGATAATGTATCTCCATTTCATTAGATATTTAAATTCTCTAAGCAGTGTTTTTTTAGTTTTCAGGTAGATTTTGTGTATATCTTTTGTTAAATTTATTCTCAAGAATTTTGTTTTTTAATACTAATGTAAATGGAATTATGAAAAAATTTTATTTTCAACATTTGTTGCTGGTATATAAATATAAATTGTTTATTATATATTAAGTGTAGCCCAGCTAAATTCATTTATTAGTTCCAGATGTTGCTTCGTAGATTCCTTAGGATTTGATTTTGCATGGAAAAACAGCATTATCATTTGCAAGCAGTGATAGTTTTACTATTCCTTTTTGATCTTGATTTTATTTCTTTTTATTACCTTACTACAATGGCTAGAACCACCAGTAATAGAAATGTGTGAGTGGACATTTTGTTTTGTTTCCTGCCATACAGGGAAAATATTCAGTATCTCACTGCTAATTATGTTAGCTATAGGTTTTTCACAGATGCCCTTCAGCAAATTGAGGACCTTCGTCCATTTCCAATTTATTGAGTTTTTAAAATCATGAATATGTGTTAACTTTGGTAAATTGTATTTTTTGTATCTATTGAAATAATCAAAAGGTTTTGTCCTTTTTATTTAATTAAACTGACTGTTTTTTTTTTAATTATTAAACCATACCTATATTCCTGAGATAAATCCTACTTGGTCATGATGTTGTCATTCTGTTAATCTATAGTTGGATTCAGTGTCCATGAGAAGTATAGGTCTGTTTTATCTCTTACCATTTCTTTTTGGTTTCCTTTTTAGATTCATTTCTTTCTTTCTTTTGATAATGACTTTATCTGATTTTAGCTTTAGGGTCATGTCAGTCCCATAAAACAAAGTGGAAAAGGCTCCCTTCTTCTCTTCTCTATTTTCTTAAAGTTATTATACATTTGGGGTTATTTTTTTTTTCCTGAAGAACATTTCTGGCTTAAAAGTTTGAACCAGCATTTCAGGGTGGGCTTGCATAATGAGGTATAATTACACCTATTATAATTAGGTAAGCAGAACTTTTCTCCCTTCACCTACCTGAATTGTTTGATTTCTTTTTTCTTCCTTCTGGTAACTTACTAACCACCTCAGGAAGTCTCCCTTCTGGTCCCTTGGTCTAAGGGGCAGGACCACATGAAGATCTCTTGGTTCCCCTTTTTGACATGCAGAAGTGAACAGTGGGTGGAGGAATTGCACCTGTCAAAGTCCTATCCTTTCCACAGGTGCCAGCTTGGATGCCCCAGGAAGACTCCCCAGGTCTCCCAGCCAGGAAGAACCTCTCCCTCACTGCATTTTCCCTCAGAAAAGCTCTTGCTTAGCCAATTACACATTCTTGGGAGGATCTTGCTGATAGTTCTCATCCAGGGTTCTTGTCCTAACTCTGCCATTCTCTAGACATGAGGCCTTTGCAGGTCACCTTTCCCCACTGGTCTTGGGAACCCTCATACATACTTTAGGAGGCCTACAGCAAGCCAGGGATCACTCTGGAATTTTATGATTTTATCTTTCTTTCTTTTCTTTAAATATTATTTTTAGTTGTCAATGGATCTTTTACTTATTTATATGCAGTGCTGATGATTGAACCCAGGGTCTCACACATGCCAGGCAAGCGCTCCACCACTGAGCCAAGATTCCCAGCCCTTATGGTTTTCTTTTTCTAAAAAAAAAAAATTGTAAACAGGGATTAGGTTTGACTAGACTATTTTATTTCACTGATGGAAATGACAGGTTTTACATAAGATTGTTGTGTAAATGCTTCAACTCTAAATAAATAGACTCTTGGCCCATGGTCTCTTGCATCTTCTCTCCCTGCTGGAACGCAGCATGATGGTTCCTGGCAATGCAGCAGGGGTGGCCAAGCAGTTCCTGCGCTGCATCTTCCATCAACTGGCCCCAAACGGCATCTTCCCGCAGCTGTTCCAGAGCACCATCAAAGGTAATTCCCCCGCTGAGGTCTGGACACAACAGACTTGCTGAGTCTCTGAAACCCGATCTCTACTAAAGCTGTTCGTTCACTTTGCAGATGGGACTTTTTTGCGGACCTTAGCCACGTCTCTCATGGACTTCAATGAGCTGAGCTCTATTGCTGCTCTTAGCCAGCTCTTGGAGGTAGGTTTGCTTTAATGACACCCTGGGCCCCAGCCGAAATTGCATGCCCTATTTGAGTCACTCCATTGAGTACTCCAGCGGGAGAAATCCAAAGTCATTTTACTTGAAAATTAAATTTAGATTTTGTGTGTATTTCTATTCATTTAAAACTTGTAGACTTCCAACTAAGTGGTGAACCCCAGGATTGAAAACTCACCTCCACAAAACTATCCTGTTCTGAATTTTCAAAATGCATGGTGGGTAGAGCATTACTGTATAGTGAGATTTGGATTCCAAGATCTGCTATGTGCTTATTCACAGAGCAGTACTGTATCGCAAGACTCAGGTTCAAGCCTCTGCTCCGAGGCCTGGTCATTCAGCCATTGCTAGAAGGGAAGCTCCTACTCCTTAATTTTTTTTAGTCTTTGTTCTGGAGAATTCTTTCCAGCCAGAAACATTCATTTTGTCCTTTTAGCACCTAACTACATCAATGATAGCTCCTAAGAAGATATTTCTTATTTGTTGCTCACATTTCACCTCTCAATCAAAAGATTCCAACTCCTTGGAGTTTGTCTGAACGTGTCTATTTTCCTTTACATTTCTCCTGCTTATTGCAATGATTGGCTCATATGGTAGGCACTCAAGGCATGTATATAACATGAATATGTGATTTTAAAACTGATCTTCAACAAATAGCTGTCTGAATTCCTATGCTGTTTCAGCAGTTGATTGCCTATGCTTTTGTTTTTAGGGTCTAAATAACAAAAAGAATTTACCAGCAGGGGGTGCTATGATACGCTGTTTGGAAAACATTGCTACTTTCATGGAAGCTTTGCCCATGGATTCTCCTAGTAGCCTCTGGACCACAATCAGCAACCAGTTTCAGACATTTTTTGCCAAGCTGCCTTGTGTTTTACCTCTGAAGGTAAGCTGATCCCAGATTTCACTGTGAATTACCTTTTGACCATTTATCTCTAGAGAGCAACACAAGAAGCAAAGTCTTGGGTGATTTGATAAATCCCAAAGGGCTAGAAGGAATCTGTCAGCTGCAGAGTGAAGATTATTATCTGGGTTGGTTTTTGTGCACGATTTGATTAACTTGAAATCAAATGAATCGCTTCTTGATCTGACAAGTGAAGTAACAAGTTAACAACTCCACTTCTGAAATGAGTATTATACAAATGTAAAATTTTATAGAGATCGGCCACCTGCATTGTTGCTAAATTGGCAGACTACTAATAGGGTCTGTAAGGATGATGAGTCAGGGACCCTTAACTTTTTCTGTGTGCTTTGAGTTTGACGTTTCTTTGCAAAACAGGGATACACAGGAAGGATCCTTACTTCTTTCATTCTGTGATCCTTGTTTACCCACAAATCTGGAGTAGCTAAATAAATCCAAGCAAGGAGGATTAGTACTTTGAAAGTATGTCTGTATATAACTACTGTACATACATGCATAAACAAATCAAAGGTATGTGTTTTAACTCAGCCACATAGAACCTCCTTTAGACCAGAGTTATTCAGGGTCATTTATTGCTAATAAGCCACATACTCTTAAGAAGAGTGCAGCAGGTATGACAAATTCGAATGACCAGGTGCAGATATGATAGTCAAAATATTTAACTTGAACACGGATCAGTTGGAAGTATTGCCAGCTATAAATTACTGAAATGCCTAATTTGTGATAATCAGCTCTGCCCATAGGGACCGTGCCTACAAGTTAAATGACTAAAGTGGAATGATCTAAGATAATAATAAGAATTGGAACCAGACTCTTAAAAATTGTAATGTACCAGTCCTTCTGCTGGGGTCAACTGCTACCCCAGTAGTTATATGAGAAATGAGGTGTCATGTTGTGGATTTTCCCATCTTTTCTAGGATGACATTTCCTGATTTTTAAATCACTGGGAGGGCCTCATGAGCAGCCAGTTTTCAGCCCCTGGTTTAAATTAAGTAAATTTCACATCAACCGTGATGGGTATTGAGCACATTAAACAGGCCAGCAGTTCCTTTAGAAAGTACTTGTGGGATGCTTTCAGTATTTATGTAAGAATTTCCCCTGCTAGGTCAGATCTGGGCACTGCTTCTGTTTTGTTTTTCATCTCCGAGGAAATTATAAGCCTTTGAAAAACACATGGTTTCACCAGTTTAGAAAAGTGGGTCTCAACGTCTAGTGTGCATCAGTGTCCCTAACATACAGATCACTGGGACTGATTTGAGATTTCTGATTCAGTAGGGGTGGGGCCAGGGGATTGACAGCCTAACAAGTTTTTAGGTAATGGGCATCCTGCTGGTCCCGGAATTCCACCTGAAGAATCACTGGCTTAATTTACAGTATCTTAAAGAGATTAAAATACACAGCTGCAGAAATTGAACCGTAGCCTGCTATTGTGATGTGTTCAGAATGTTAAACAATATTGTTGTTTATTCTCTTTTTTGGTACCAGGGATTGAACCCAGGGTTGCTTAACTGCTGAGCCATATCCCCAGCCCTTTTATTTTTTATTTTAAGACAGGGTCTCAGTAAGTTGCTAAGGCTGGCTTTGAACTTGTGATCCTCCTGCCTCAGCCTCCACAGCTCCTGGGATTGCAGGCGTGGGTCACCATGCCCCGCTCGTTGTTTATTCTTGCTGTAACATTTCCCCCAAGTCCCAGTAAACTCAATTTGAAAAGTACATTTTGATGTGAAGTTTTGCCAAAATGGAACTCTAATAAATTTGAAAGTATAATTTTTCCCTTATAAAAATTTTAATACTTTCCCTCAGACTTTTTTCATGTCTTTTCATGGCAGAGAAAGTGAAGGTGAAACTATTTCTTATTTGGACTAATCATTCTTAAATAAGTTTTATTTTGTTCTATTTCTAACATGGCCGTTTACAAATTAGTATTATCTCTTTAGAATTGGATTTATGTAATGTCCTCTTGTCCACCTGCATGTCCATTTATCCAGCCAGCTATCTGATTCTCTGTGCAACTTTCTGTAAGATTAAATTCTAGAGCTGTGTCTTTGAAAAATAATTTAGAAGCTGTGTTTAATTATTTACTTATTTTAATTGTTTCATTAAAATATTTTTTAACCTAAAATAATTGTTTTCAACATGAATATATGGCATGGGAAACTGAACAGAGGTAGTTATATTTCAGATTTTTCTTTTTACAAAAATATAAGAAATACAATGTACAAAAGATATGTTAAAGGAACTGAATTCTTTCTTCATGTTTATTCACAGTGTTCTTTAGATTCCAGTTTGAGAATTATGATATGCCTCTTGAAGATACCCTCTACCAATGCCACAAGGGTACGTATGCTTCAGAAAAACATAGCCAGTTGTTTTTTTGGTCATTTTTTAACCTAAAAAGACAGGTGCATAGCAACACAGAAGACACAGTCCTGACATCCAGCATCCGTTCCTTTCCTCACACCAGGTCATTGGCTAATACAACATAAGGTCACCATGTGTAGTAGGTTTCCAAGGCCTAGGCTATGCCTACCAACACCTTCTCCCTAGACTAATGAGGTGATCCTTCTGAACAGCGCATCATGTTGGTTCCTTCCTTAAAAATCTTGGACAGTGCTTTATTTCTTTCAGGATAGTGTCAGAAATCCTTAACATGGCACACAAAAGTTTACCTCATTACTCACCAGCCTACTTTCCAGCTTATTCTCTGCTTGATTGTCCACCACTGCCGCTTGTGCTCCTGTGAGTCAGCATCGTTATCCTCCTCAAGGCAACAACGCCATTTGTTGAACTCTTACCAAGTGTCAGGCCGCGGGCTCAGTGCATTCCATGTAGTCTTATTTCATTTCATACCCTCTTTGCCTTTGCTTAGACCTTTTCTTTTTCTGAAATTCTTTGTACTCTTCAGTGAGATGAACTCATTCTTCAAGGTCCCATTTAAATTTTTTAAAATGCTCATATTATTAGTAACATCTGTGTCCTGTATCAGCTCCCACAGCACGTGACTGAGCTGTGTTAGCACTTGATAGTCTCAAAGCCTCCCCAGGGAGACCATGAGCTTCATGGACTCCAGTACTGTATCTCATTCTGTATCCCTGCTGCCATTGTGAATTGCATTATATTCAGTGGTGATATAGTTTGATTTTCAATAGTTTGTAATTACTACTTAATATACCAATAGTGCATGTTTTCTGCAACTGTTTACCTAGACTGTGCTTTTATAGACAAAGCTAGAAAGTTTATGCTGGAAAGTTGCAAAGAGATAATTTGGTTCAATCTACTCATTTATAGATAAGGAAACAGTCTCAGAGAGTTGAAGTGTCTAGGCTAAGGTCACACAGCTGGTTCCTAGAATATTTGAAACTTCAACATAGGTTCTTTGGGTCCTATTTTTCTGTTGTTCCATCACCATGCTGGTTTGCTAGGTATAAGAGCAATTTTCTTTATAACTTTGAATTGGAGTTTCTCTTTTTGACCAATGAGAGTGCTTATGTGTCAACTTGAGAGGTATTCCTATCCCCACCCTCCACTGTCAGGGTTTCAAATCAGTAGCATTTGAACAAAGAATGCTGAACCAACAGCACTGTTTCAAAAAGTGTAGGATTCCCTACTTGTAAAACACAATAGTTTCTCTGGGGAGTACAAATAAATGAAAGACAATTCTTATGCTCCTAACATGTAGGGAATTCAGTTTTGTATCAATAAGGAAGGAAAAAACCCTCAAAAATGCACATAGCATTGATTTAGTGTTTCCTTTTCTAGGAATCTATTCTAAGGAAGAAAATGATAATAAAAATTTTATGCTGAAATATATTTATTAGGGAATTACTTATAGAAAATTTGACTTTGTGGCTATTAAAATGAATGGGTTATAAGAATTAAGTGGCACTGGAAATTCTTAATGTTATTAAGCTAATAAAAATATTATATTATAAACATATTTGATCTTATGTGAAAATTCAGCTAACTAAACTGGCAAACAATGAAGAAGGGAAATATAACAAAAAAACATGAAGTAGTAGTATGCATGACTTTTATTTCTTCATGAGTACTTTCCTATATATCCTGTGTTTTACATTAAACATGTATTACTTTTATAATCCAGACACTCCAGACTACAGTGGTTGAGAAGTAGTGAAAATCATGGCATGGAAGTCTTTGGGAGTCTAGTTAAAACCCTGACTTCTCTTCAGAGCAGTTTAACCTCTGGAAAATTGCCCTGGAATTTGGAGTTGAATCCCATTCCATAGCTGTATGGCCTTAGGGAGGTTAGTTGTGTACTTAATTGATTCTGCTGTGAACACAGAGTGATACTAAAGCTTCAGAGGGTTCATAATGAAGATTGTAGCTAGCATCCATGGAGAGCTTACTGTTGCCAAGTTCTTTGCATACATTATCTCCTGTAATTCTCACAACAACCCTAATGTGTGTAATCTATTATTTTTCCACTTTTAGAGAAGGAGAAAACTAAGTCTCAGACAGGTTAGATCGCTTATTTAATGTCAGCAGAACTAGTTTGAACACACTTAAATCAGATTCTAGAGCTGTGTCATTAACTAACATGCTGTTTCCAAGGATAGTTAAGAAATTTGAATGTGATAAACTGTATGAAAGCAATGAGCTCTGCCTAACACTCAGTAGGTGCTCAGAAAATGTTCCTAAAGAACTTAATAAAGTGTACTAAGAAATTAGAACTGGCCCTTTGTGGATGGGATTCGGATGAAGAAACCAAATGAACAAAGTCTTCCTTGGCAGAGAGCTGAGGAAGGGTTTCTATCCAAGCTAATTATACTTGGGTTCTTATATGACAGAGTGGTTTGCACTACTGAACTGTGGAGACAGGCTTCTGGAGGATCTGAATCTGAAGAACCAGATACTTAGAGGTTCTGAGGATACAGTGGAAAATCCTAAAGCAGACCTCGCTAGGTGAACAGGGTGGTAGAGTGATGGTCAGATGGTTTGTAAATAATGCCATGTGGAAAAATGAAGTTTTTGAACAATAAAATCATGCTCTTTGAGTCACTGGTTAAAGGTATAGTTATACTTTAATTAGACCACAAGGGTTGCTACAGTCGCCACCTGGCAATGATTTTAAATAAAAAAGAATAATTCCATTAAAATATAATAATACTTTAATGATTTTCTTTATGAAGGAAACAGACAGACATTTTATTTGGCCCCAATCTCATTGCAGAGTTTGTTGGAACCATTTTCAAAACTGCTCAGCTTTGTAATTCAGAATGCTGTCTTCACTCTGGCCTACCTGGTGGAACTGTGTGGCTTATGTTATCGAGCTTTCACTAAGGTAAGGCTGCATGTGTGTGTTCCCGTGAAACTGGAAACTGGCAGAAATGTAGTCTTTCTAATCAGTGTCAAATCCCTGTTATTTACTTGCTTTAATACCTTCAAAATTAATAGTTCTTCTAAAGTCTGATAAATAGTATTGGAAGAAAACACTTTAGAAAACAATATACACAAATATTTCTAAAATATACAGATTTGGAGAATTGAGTGTCATGGTTTAGAAGAGGTACTTTCAGTGAGGGATATTAATTGTCTTAATGATCTTTAAGGTCCTTTTCAAGGTCACCATCCCAAGGTTAGTGGGTGAGTCATCACTACATATCATTTTTATACCCAGAGTGGAACAACACCAGCTGGTCATTTGTAGAAGCCTGTGAAGCACCTTAAGCCTCATCATTTGTCTTTCTCCCAGTTCTGGGTTCATGACCTCTGAGATTCAAATCTCATCTTTTGTCATCTTGTCCTAATCATGGTTCCTCTATTGAATTATCTTTAGCACCCCCCTCCCCACAGCTGAGAAAGTGGAAAAATACCGCTTGCCCAGTTGGTACAGCAGCCTTAAGGAACCGGCACATGCTGTCCTGATGGAGAAGCAGAAGGCCAGGAAAACTTGGAGCATTTTTGTTCTTAGGACAGTGTGCGAATATTACCCTCTTGATCTCCAAATTTTCCAAATGTCTTTTCAATGGGGTCTCTGTTTCTGTTGTTTCTGCTTAAACACTCAGAATGCCCCTTTATTCATGTCACCAAGACTATGAACCCTTTATTTTCTTCATAAAAATCTAATTTTATAACAAGGCTTTCATTCTATTTCAAACGTCCTTGTCTTCTTTATTACCAACTTGTGTCCATTCTGCCACATTAAATATTCCATAATAATCTTCTCTTCGGCCTGATTATAAACTATTTATTACCCTGCCTGGAGCAATATATTTTCTATTAAGAGAATCAGCATTTTTAAATTCTTTTAAATTTTTCTTAAAAAAATATCTCTCCCCCTTTATTTCACTTTAAAAAAGTAAAACTACAACAAAAAGATGTTTTATTTTTAGAATTCATTCTAATTCTTAATTGTCTTTATGTTTAATTTGTTTAAATTCTACCTGTTTTAGGGAGGAAGACTCACAATGAGTTTGTTCATCATGTGATGGGCACTATAAGTATTGATTACTATAAGTATTGACTTCCCAGCATTACAAATTTGAGATATTTGTGATTTTGAATGCTATTATACATTATATACCTTCATAATCCATCATAATTTTAATGACATTTCACTACCTGTTGTCATTCCTCATTTCTCCAACACAACATGATTGTTATTTATAGATAGTATTAATCAAGAGTGTCCTACTTTCTTCAAAGATAATGAGAAACTGTAAGAAACAGTTTAAAAACAGCAGTATCTACTTACATAATTAAAAGAAAAAGCATGGAAAAGCAAGAGCTTAGGAGACTTCCTTTTCCGGCAACATGGCAGTCCAGATAACCTGGAAACTATCTCACTTAGAATACAGAATTCTGATAAAAATGTAATAAACATGACTTAAAAGGTTTAGTTAATTTTATAAGAATGAAAAAGGCAAAAACATGAGCTTAGAACTTAAAATTAACTCTCTCCAAATTGAAGAAATAACCTACTACAAGCTAGATTAACAAAGTCAATAAATAGCAAGTTGTCTCCTCCAAGAATGACCAATATGAAAACAAGACAAAGATTATAAAATCATGGTTTATGCCAAGTATATAAAAGATAAGAAAAAATGTAGGAAGAAATATAGTCATCACAAAAAAGACTGATTAGAATAAAATAGAAAGTCTAGAAATGAAAATCAGTCACTTACATGAGAAAAAAATCACATTCCAAGTGTGGAATCTAAGTGATCATTGACAGTATAAACATTGAATTAAACATAGCTAAAGAGAGAATTAGTGCGATGGAAACTAGACCTGAAGAAATCACATACAATGTAACAAAGTGCAATAAAAAGATGAAGGATATAAAGAGAAGTTCTAACATATATCTAATAAGTGTTTCAAAGATGCAACATAGGCATTTTATCAATTGCAATGTTAATAGAAATCATTAATTTTCTGATTCAGGAAGCACAAGGAGCCCTAAAATGATTACAAATAAACTGAAGTGTTACCTGCTTATGTCATAATTTATATGAATAGGTATAATTTGACATAAAAACCAAGACAAAGAAACTATTTTAACAGCAACCAAGAGAAAAGACACTAAAGATAGACTGACAACAAACTTTATAATAGCACAATGGAAGCCCAAAGACGATGGAAAAATGTGTTCCAAATGGTAAAAAAAGAACTGTTCTCCTTAAGTTCTCTACCAGCTACAATATCCTTCTGGAGTAAAGAATATATAAATATGCCATCAGGAAGATAAGAAATGTTCTAGTAGAATTTATGGAAACAATACCTATGAGATATATTACAGTAAGAAGAAAATTGAATTAAAATGGAAGAAGTAAAATGTATGAAGGCAGTTTACCAAAGAAGTTGGTGAAGTGTAGAAATGCAAGTGATCATTGAAAATATAAAGCAGCAATAATAATAATAATAATAATAATGTTAATTAGATAACTATAAAAACAAAAACGACATGAAAATACTGGATATGAGAGCTTATGAGAAGTGTGTGTGTGTGTGTGTGTGTGTGTGTATGTGTGTGCGCGTGCACATGTGCATGTATATGTGCATGAGCAATGTTTGTAGTTGGGAATAGAAGCCCAAGCATCCTGTGTATTATTCACAGGAAGGGCAGAGATGATAAATAACTTTAAATTCTTAAGAATACATATAGCAAGGTGTGGTGGTGCATATCCCTAATCCCAGCAACTCTGGAGATTGAAGCAGGAGGATCACAGGTCCAAGACATTGTCAATTTTTCTCAAAATAAAAGATTAAAAACCACTGTGGGTGTAGTTCAGTGTAAAATACCCCTGGGTTCAATTCCCAGTGCAAAAACAAAAAGGAAAAAAGAAAGGAATATATGTAAATATTTTAAGTATAAACTCTGAAACATAATGTGTTAGTTCCAAATAAATAGAAGATAAATTAGATATAAAACTCACTCAAGACAAAAAAGAATCACAGAACAAGTTATAATAAGAAATTAAGAAGATAAAAATAAATTCCAAATATTTAATCAAATATGTTTGCTAGAATCAGTAGGGATTGTCAGATTACATTATAAAAATAGACCTATATGTTTTTTATGAAAGACACATCTAATGACACTCAGAATGTTTGAAAGATAAAGAGTAAAAAAAAATACACTAGGTAAATACTAACAAAAAGAAAGCTAAAGTCAGTAATCTGACTTTAAGTTAAAAACATTATGAAGTCACCATATATTGACTAAAGGAACAATTCTTCAGGAAAATGTGATAAGATGTGAAAATGTGTAAAACTCTGTAGAGCTAATAACAGCCTCAAAATATACTAAAATAAAAATTAGGATTATAAAGAGGAATTGACAAATTCACATAGTTTGAGATTTCAGAATTCAGAACTGAAAGATCAAGCAGATAAGAAACAAATGTCCAGAGTTGATTTGAATGACACAGTGAGTAAATTGGATCCAATGGACTTGTAAAGAGTTTTGAATCCACGAGTTGAAAACAAATTTTCAACTAAATTTTTTAAATTTAGAAATTTTTAAAACACAGAATAGGTAACAGACTATTTTTCTTTGGGGCAGGGAGTTGTTTTCGTGGAATTGGGGATCCAACTCAGGGTCATAAAACATATTGGAGAGTAGGTTTCAAGGAGACCAAGTTTTCCATCATAGTGCAATTAAATTGTAAATCTATAACTAAACCATCTCTTCATATAGATGTTCAGAAGTGGTTTGAATAAAGCCTCCACATCTATAGAGGCACTATGCACAACATACATATATAAATTTTATTGAGTATTGAGGGAGGTGTAGAGATTTGGGACTCCCTGGTTAAATCCTAAAGCAGCTGGGAGAGCACCCCACCACACACACACACACACACACACACACATAAAAGCCACATCAGCTCACAAGCCTTCAAACATGGAGTAGTATACACATGTATACATCACTGGTATATATATGGCTGTGCTCTGTCCCAGCTACACCCCAGGTGCCTTTAAGAGTCTTCTATTGACTATTCCTTGTTCTCAGATGTCTATATCCTGTGTCCCCATCAGATTTTGGTGCAGTCCCTTTACCTGCTGGGGTTGGGGAGTGTGTGGCCTTGAGGGTGAGTGTGATTGGGTGAGAGTAGATGTGTACATATGCAGTCAGGGCTGTTGACTGCCAAAGTCCTGAAAACTCAGATGGTTGTTCAGGCTTTGTAATCATGTATTAGTGTGTTTGTGTGTGTGTGTGTTTTCTTTTTTCAATTCATACAAAGATGCTAAATGGGTTATTGGCGTCTGAGATTTGCTATATTTGGAAATAAAAAAATACTTGTAGGGCTGGGGATGTGGCTCAAGCGGCAGCGTGCTCACCAGGCATGCACGGGGTGCTGGGGTTCCATCCTCAGCACCACATAAAAATAAAATAAAGATGTTGTGTCCACCGAAATCTAAAAAAAAATAAATAAATATTTAAAAATTCTCTCTCTCTAAAAAAAATTCTTATAAATAAGGCAAAGAACACAGGAAATATTAAAAGAAAATTTATAGAAGAATTTAATACTAAATAAGTATGAAAATATTCCCTTTTCAAAATTTGACAGATATAGCCACAGAGATATTTAAGAGAAATTTTGTTTTAAGCACTTTTTACTGAAAAAAAACAAAAAGAGAAAGAAAAGCTAAATGAACTAAACAAGTCAGCTTAAGTTATAATAACAGGGTAATCACTGAAAATTTAAGGAAACAAATGATGGAAGATAAGAGCAAAAATCAATAACATTAAAAACATGGATATAATAGAGTGCCAATACAACTAAAAAGTGGCTCTTTGATTAGACTAATAAAGTGAGCAAACCTTTGGCAAGATTGATCAGAAAAATAGATAAAAGATATAGGTAGCAATAAAAAAGGGGAAATAACTGTAGACTTAATGGAGATTCAGAAATGACCAGCTTTATGCTTATTCTAGTACATTTAAAATCCTTGACATGAGGGACAGCTTTCTAGAAAAATGTAATGTGTGATAATCTGGAAAAAGAAAAAACTAACTAGTTTTAAATAAGTAAAAAATGCATTCAATAGTTAAAAACCTGTCCAAAAATACTATTACAGTCTCAGAGACACTTTCTGTCAAAATATGGGAATAGGCTTATCCCTGCTTCACACAAATTAATGAAGTGGAAAAGAGGCAATATTTCACTTCCCAACTCTTTTTATGAGAACAGTAGAATCTTGATACCAGTCATACAAGGGCAATAGGGGAAAGGAAAATTATAGGCCAATATCTTTTCATACATGAAAAAAAATAGAATGAATAACAGCAATCAATGCATTAAAAATAGAACATCATGACCCAGTTGGGATTTTCCTGAAGTACAAAAATGGTTTAAATATTAGAATATCTATTAATGTCACATAGTGCCAGATTAAAGGAGAAAACTTTTGGTAATTTTTTAGCAGATGCAAGAAAAGCACTTTTTATAATTCCATATTCATTTATCATATAGTCTTATCAAAGTAGCAATAGAAGGGAACTTCCTTAACTTAATAAAAGGAGGTTTACCAGAAACCTCTAGCAAGCCTTATTTTAATGGTGAAGTGCCACCAATCCCCTTAAAATCATAAGTCAAGGATGCTAATATCATTGCTTCTGTTCATCATAGTGCTACTTTGTTAAGCAAGAAAGGAAGAATAACTTAAGTATAAGACTTAGACAGGAAAAATACAACTCTCATTTTCCCTAGGTGATGTGATTGCAAATGGACCAAAGAGAATCTATAGACACCTTTTTAGAATTTACAACAGAGTTCATAAAGGATGCTAGATACAAATGAATACCCAGAAGTGACGCATTTTAATGTTAAGCCACATGTGATTATAAAAATGTACTTTAAATTTCATTTGTTATGGCAACAAAAAAAAAATCTAACAAGAATGTGCAAGAATGAGACAACCAGAAAATTTTATTGAAGAACGTTGAATAAATGGAGAGATCCTATCTTCAAGGACACGAACCAATTAATAAAGATAGTTCTTTCAGAATAATCTGTAATTTTAATGATGAGCTAGGTAATTTGCACCTATCTTCCCATTTAACGTTAAAAAAAGTTTTTTTAAAAGTGCACATTTTCATTTAAACTTCTTAAAACTATCAAAATTCTAATCACATACAGAGGAATTGTGAGGCCAGGATCTCGGAGAACCCTGAAACACAGGGTTGCAAGCCTCACACTGAAGGTCAGTTTTGCCCTGTGGGTGTTTGTTGATCTAAAAGATCTGGTTGAGAGGCTCAGTTGCAATTTTGGAAGCTGAGTGAGGCTAGGGAGAAGAAAGTCAGTTGGGGGACATAACAAGAGTGGGAACCCTGATACCACATCCCTCAACCCACACATCTTTGCTTGGGACCACAAAGTACAGATAATTTAGAAGTATACTTGTCTTCAGTGGGCACAGCTTAGTGTCAAACCCAAGGTAAGATATTACAAGCCTGTATGTAGATGAAGGTAACCTTGATTTGCCATGCACCTGGCAAAAAGCAAACTGAAAGCTCTTGGAAGGAAGGTAACATTTTAGCTGCAAGTTATTTCTACAAATAATTTTTAAATGGAGCATCCAGCATACAGTCAACAATAACAGACATACAAGGAGGCAAGATGTGAGTGAAAGTGAATAGCGGGGAAAGATCCTGAACACAGACCCACAGGAACTCTATTACTTACTTATGGAAGGATCAAGGAAGGACTCCCAGGCCCTTGAAAGGGAATTGCAACGTGCTGTTTTCATCTCTGGGTGGCAATTACATGAGTGTTCAATCCATCTTGATCCACTTAACTGTATGCTTATATTTTATGTACTTTTCTGCATGTGTGTTATACTTGACAATAAAAAAGATTCATAAAATTAAAATCAATCCAATGTGCTATCAATAGCAGGACTGATTGATGAATATTGCTATATTCATACAATAAAAATGCTATTAAGCTGCTGAGTTGAGAGCTACGTCTATTAGTAGGGATTATTTTTAAAACTTATGTAGTGGGCTGGGGATGTGGCTCAAGTGGTAGCGCACTTGCTTGGCATGCGTGGGTCGCTGGGTTTGATCCTCAGCACCACATAAAAATAAAATAAAGATGTTATGTCCACCAAAAACTAAAAAATAAATATTAAAAAATTCTTTCTCTTTCTCTTAAAAAAACTTATGTAGCGAAGTCACCATTATGCACAATATGATACCATTGTAGAAAGTTTTTTTAAAAATGGAACAATATTCTATGTTGGAGGTATGTATATAGTCAAAGTGTGAAAACATACATGAAAGATTAAGCAACAGATTCAGAATGGTGCCTACTTTGAAGAAGGGAGGAAGAAAAAGAAGGGTACTCTATAGATATATTCAACTGTTTCTGTAATGTTTCATTTATCATTTTGAAAAGGCTAAATTAAATAAAGCAAATGATACTGTTTGGCAAGATGGGGATAGGTATACGACATATTCCATTCTCTTTCTTTTTCTGTATGCTTGAAATAGTCCACTTAAAAAATGAGTTCCTTGGAGAAAATATGGAACTTTTTAAACAGTTACATGAGTTTCTCTCTAACTCATTTTGTATTGAAAAATACTTTAGATTTGTTTAATTGTTGCAGTTTTTGGACTCTTTTTCTTAAGACTGAGTACCAAATCCTATGGTTTTATATTTAAGAAACAGTCTATCACTTCATACCCATTAAATTATGTGTCCTTATTGCTTCAGTAAACTCATTATGCATGCAAAAATGCCTTTTTTCTTTCTTGCTTTAATTTGATTTCTTCAGCACAGCTGTGCTTTTTAAAATATTCTTATTTCTGATCTTGGAATTTGGGGAAGCTCTTTGACATATATCTACTCTAACTACATTTTTAAATCACTTACCTTTGCTGTTTTGTTTTTTTCCAGGAACGGGATAAATTCTACTTATCTCGTAGTGTTGTTCTAGAACTTCTACAGGCCCTGAAGCTCAAATCTCCTTTGCCAGATACAAACCTCCTTCTGCTTGTCCAGGTAGGCTTATGCTGTGTTTGTAAAATGCTTTATGGGGTCCATGCATACTTGGAAAGATTAAGAGATGAGGGGCAGATGCATAAGTGCCAGGTGCCTTTGTTCAGAGATGAGAAATAATATATTGTATATGAGCCGAAGTTCTAATAAATATGATGCACTCAGCACTTTCACCGGCTTAAACAGAAGAAAAAGAAGCATTAGTTTTGACCCTAGTGAGGAACTGCTTCTGTGAGGGACAAAAGAAGAATGAGGGGATAGTTTCTATCCTCGAGAAATTTGTAATCCAGGAGGTTGGAGGGGGAGCTCCCTCACCAGAGCGGAGATAGGCCAAACGAAGCAAAACATGGGGCAGCAGGCTCCAGAGTGATCACAGAGTCCGCTCAGTGTGGCTGAGTCAGTGAATGTTCTGGAAGGTGAGGTGAGCCAGGCCAGATACTGTAAATAACAGGATGTGCTGGTCCAGTCAAGGTGTAGGTGGATGTAAATCAGCTATCGCAAGATCACTGAGGCAGACTCTGGAGAATCAGCTGTCATCATGCTTTTGGGTGTTGCTTTGAGGACACATGCATCCTCAGTGACCTTAACTCAGCATCCAAGACAAGCAGACAGATTTTGATCACCTGAGACAGGCTGTGACGGGTGCCATAAGAGAGAGAGGTAAACGGTTTGTGGGGAATTTGAAAGCAGGAGTGATCCCGTCTCATATGGTATGAAATCAGGGAGGACTTCAGAAGAAGTGGCATTTGAGTTGGGTCACAAAGGATTAGTGGGTGCAGACAAATTTTTTTTTTGGCCTGGAGTTGGGGTTTGGCCCAGAGCTTGATTAGCTTCAAACAATAGGGGAGACAGAGGCAGGAAGTTAGAGTAAATTTAGGGACAATGACATGAGGATGGAACTGAGCACAAGCAGGCCGGTAGCGTTAGAGGAGTCCACAGGCATCTAGTAAACTGGGCCCCTGCCTCCACTCCAGGAGCTGAGGCTGGACTTAAAGCCATGAGCTGCAGTGGATCAGGGTATCATTCAGATGGCCATTGCACAAAGTGCCCACTAGCCAAATCACAGCGGTTTCCATTCTCCCTGGATTAGCATTAAGGCCAGTTCCAGAGTCTGGGCCTGCCAGTTAGAGGTTAAATGCCTGAAGGAAATTGGGAGCTTCACATCAAGGAACTAGAAAGAGAGCTAAGATGTGGAGAGATAAAGGCAAAGGGAACATTTAATTGATTAATTGAACATCTATTTTATGTTAAGCCATTATGAATCTTGAAACATGCAGGTGCTATTGCAGGATGATGGGGAAGAGACAGATGTGCCATATGAGGTCCTTTCCCTCCAGGAGTTTAGACTCTAGTAGGTGAAGTTGATATGTAACCAAAACTTTAAACATAGTGTATAGGTAGGTAATAAGAGACATATGCTGAGTTAGAAATTGGTGTCCAAAAGGGACCATGTGGACGTTGAAGGACACACAGAAGTTCAAGTTTACCTGGTAGAGAAGAGGAGAACCACACTTGTCATTTACCATGGGATATCCCCTGCATGGTTCCCTGACTTTCCCACTAAACACTAATCATTAGGATCAGAATTGAGTTTTTCTCATAAGCCTGAGATTTAGTAAAAAGTTGGTGTTCTTTCAATGTATACCACTTTCATTGTATAGCCCAGGAGGAAGACAGAAGCAAGGACACAATCAGAAAGTATCTGTGCTCCTAAGGAGAGACAGACTGGATTTCTCAGCGGGTTGTTACCAGCAGCCACTCCTACTCACATAACCTCAGTAGCGCTATCTTCGAGTACAAGTAAAGCTGACCTTAAAGATGAACAGGCTCTCCCCTGGAGGAGGGGCAGGTGCACAGGCTTTAGTGAAATAGCCCAGGAGGGATTTAAGGGTAGCATTGGCAGTGTCTGCAAGTGCTGATGGCATTTCAGTGGTGGATGTGCACCCAAAACAAAACTAGGTTTCGGGGCCCTGAGGGTGCTTTCCTGTAGACCTCAGTCTTGAGCAAAAGCAGTTCTGTGTGGCTGATCTCCTTGGGGTCTGGCATCCCACACGGTAACTGCTGGGGGCTGGATTTCTATGAAGTACGTTAGTCAACCATAATAAGCACCTGTCACTAAACAGCAAAAGAACACTGGCAGTTTAAATTACTTAATGCTTAAGGAAACTATGAAAACAGTGATTATTGCATCACAATTAGGTGAATAAATAACAAAAACAAATTAGCTTTAGGAAGAAAGAAGGCAAAAGTAGACATTTCTAAGTGTATTTTATGAATTTCACCTTCTGTTTCAAATGTAACACTTTTATCTTAAATATGTATGTGCGCACACACACAGTCATTGAATTGTGAAATTTAAAAAGTCAAGTTGTAAAATTATTCAGATTGGAGAAGTGTTTTGAAGACATTTTAAGTTTCTGCCCATGATGTACAACTTTTTGAATAATGTTTCATCCTTTTATGGCAAAAAAAAAAGTTAAAAATCTTACCGTTTTGAAGTAACACATCCTTCTTTTATAACCTCTTAGAGTAAATCATTTCCATTATTAATGAGAGAATGAAAGGGAGGCATACCTTGAGAACAGAGTAGTTCCCTTTCCCACCCAAGGCTTCTGCACAAATTATGGAGTCCTCCATGGGGTAAGGGAGGAGCACCTTTATCCCTCTTCATGACCAGAGCATCTTTCTGTGAGTTTCCTAGTTCCTTTTTTCTTGTCCTTGATTGCCTGGACCCTCATACTATTCTCAGGAGGATGATGGAGGTGGCAGCCTGCTCTCCCATAGCTCCTCTTAGGCTGGAGGCTCTAGGCTGGACTCAAGGGAAGCGTTCTCTTTACTGATGGGCACTGTCAGTTTCTGGCACCTGGACAACCAGGCTTACAGCACAGACAGAATGGTTCCAGAGAAGCCAGACTTTCTTCATGGATCATCAGTGGCCAGTCTGAAGGCAGTAGAGGCATGTCTGTTCAGCTGAAAATGCCCTTGGAAAACAGAAAAGAAAAGAATAATTGGGAGGAAAACTACCCCAGTGAACCCCATGAACACTGGTTCCATCACTCAGAAGACTCAGTTGTCCCAGCCTTGGGCTCACCAGCGACTCTTTTACCCTGTGAGGAACCACTGTTTGTTTCATCTACTTCTCTAATTCGTACCTTAGTAGACGGGTACATTTACTGAGGTGGAACCTTACGGTCTTCTCAGGCAGGCCATACCTTTGTTGTTTACCAGACACTCTAGCAGTACAAGAAACCCTTCAGAGGACACTGGAACTCTTGCCCAAGGAATGTGGGGTTACCAAATCTAAACATTCCAAGGCAGTAACAGGTACCACCAATTTGCTTTTTTTTTTTTTTTTTTTTTTTTTTTTTGTGGTGCTGAGGATTGAACCCAGGGCCTTGTGCATGCGAGGCAAGTACTCTACCAACTAAGCCAAGCTATGTTCCAGCCACCAGTCTGATTTTTAATTCCCACCAAGTCTGCCTGGGTCTGACATTAGGGGAGATTGCCCAGCCTCTCCTTGTGGTTGTCTGTTATTATTTGTTTGCTGTTGCTGTTATATTTCTTTCAGTGAAATCAGGTAATCTTAAATTCTCAAGTGGAATTTCCCCCCCCCAAAGAAAAAGAGGCACCCAGACAGGAAGTAATTTGACAAATAGAAAAAAAAGTGACCCTTTTCAGAATCTAAAATTGTCAACCACTAAGCCACATTTCTCCATCTATACTTGGGACAGATGGACTGTCATGTTATTTTTTAATTCAAATCTAGTAACATTTTTTCCTTGGCTTAAACATTTGTCTTCTGCTGGTTTGCTATAGATATTTGATGTATGAGAGATTATTCTAATTGTTCTTGAGATGGATTAAAGGAAAACATTCATAATAGAGCAATAATCTACTGAAAATCATCATAAAAACTAAGTTCAAGTCAAAATGAATTTCCCCCAGCTCTTTTATGGTTCAAGAGTAGATATTCTGCTAATTTGCATGTACCACTCCCACTCTGTGGGATATACCTGCATATTCAAGTTATGAGAAGTCATGTTGGTAAAAGGTTTTCTTTTAAAAATAGATTGATTGTGGGCTGGATGACAAAGAAATGGCAGTGGCACGACTGTTGTCTCTAATTCACAGTCACTGCTGAGTGGAGTTGTTCATATCAGTTAGGTTCATCATAATCTAATCACTCTCTGGGATGAGAGGTGGAGATACTATTTTGGGTATCATTTTGATAATGAATTTAGTAATGACACATAATGGATATCATGTTTCTTTTGTGTTCTTTTGTACTCCTGGAGGAGTGCATATTTCAGTGTCATATTTCTCTCTCTGAAAGTATGGAATTCTTCTTTCTACAGCAATTATCATTCCCCACTCTGATTTTATTTAGTCGTATCTTTATACTTGGAGCAGTTCTGTGCAGATCTGGTGGAGTTCTTTACAGTTGTGGTTGGCAGCCATAATGAAGTAAAGACATTCATATGCTGGGCTCTTTGAGGCACCTCCATTACTTTAGGGTAATTTTTGATTGATTTGGACTTGCACAAGTCATCACAGATCTGACAGGTGGTGACTGCTTACATGCTGTTGAGGAGCTCACAATGTCCTTAGTCTGGTTTACTGAGAGTGGCAGGTGGCGAAGGTGCCTGCTGAAGGCACACAATGGTGCTTGAATGTTTTACTTCTTTGCAGATCCTGTCTTGCCATCAAGGGCCACCAGGCATGCAAGCACCCATTGGGGGGGCCCAGACTTTGAAGCATACATAAAGGAACAACTCTAAGCACCCCATACCTCATGCATTAGGTGTACTCTGTCTTCCCTGTAGCCTCTCTTAGCTGTGCAGTTGCAATTCTGTTGTAAATAAATTAGTTAAAATGAATGCTGGTGTCCTGACTAAGATTTTGGACTTAGGTATAAGTCATTTGCTTCCAATTGCAGACTCAGAGAGCTTTGGAAAATACTGTCTCTGTGAAAACATGCAGCATCTGTCAGGAGGTCAAGTTGGGGTGCTCCTGCTGCTTTTCCCTTGGTCCTTCTATCAAGTGTTATTGTTCTATTTTTTCACTTACAGGTTTTGGCCAAAGTTAAAAGCTTCACAGTTCTTAAACCTGATTTAGTCACTTTTCCTTATACAGCATTAGAATAAATCTAAGTTAAGTGAAAAGACATAAGCATACCTGAATAAGATAATAGAAATTTTTAGGCTTCCCAGGATAATCCCAGCTGCTACTTTCTTTTCCAGATTCAGAGTAGCTGGTCTAGTACATTACTCACATTCAGTAATAGCATTTGAGACAAATGGAAATGACAAAATGTTAATGAGGAGATCTGGTATCCACTTCTGTCATGCAACTCCCAGGACAGCTCTGCCTGCTACCCTCTGCCTCAAGCCTGGTTACCTGTACCTAAACACCTTTCATGAAAAACCACATATCCCAAAGTTGAAGACCAGTTCTTAGTCATTATGCAAGAATTCTCAGGGCTCCTGGCCTCAGAAGGCTTTTGCCTTGTTAGCCCAAACCTGCTGCCCAAGAATAGTGCTTAGACTTGGGCCCCTACTTAGCCAGACAATATACTAGTTTCTGTTCACTTGTTCTAGAGCTCCTCAGCAGGCCTCCCTGAGATTTTCTGTGTGACCCTAGTCTGTGTTACTCCTCCCAGTTTGCAGGGAAGAAGCCTACCTGGCTGAACCCAGCTTCCCTGTGCCTTCTGCATAGATGATAAGGAAGAGCTCTTTGGTGTCAAAACTTCTTCAAAGCTTCTGGACTCTGCATAGCAGCTTCAGATCTCAAAGGGTCACTGGCCAAAGGCCAAGGAAGAAAAATTAAACAGGAGTAAATGTCTCATAGCCAACTTTTCAGACCTTGTTTAACTTCTTTCCCAAAACTATAAGTAAATAGTTGGATGTTACATTAAGTGGGAAACACCTGCCAAAATCTGTAAGGAAGCAAATTAAATTGTAATCTGGCACATCTATCTTCAGTATGATCTCAAGTCAGAATTGATTAATTGGCTTCTTTCTTAAACTCTTGCTGAGCCCCTCTGGGATGCCAGACATTAGCTCGTGCCGAGGAGAGGTACTTGAAGGCTGGGTTCTTGAGAAGCTTGTGGCCAGCTGAGAAATAGACTGTTAGGTCGCCACCGTCTAATGTGATGGCTCTTGCAGTAGACATGTAAAAAGTCATGTGGGTATATGGAGCATGACTGGTGTTATTCTCAGCCCAGAGGAGACATGTGAATGAAGTGGAGGGAGGAAGACAAGACACCAAGGATCCTTGGAGGGGATGAAATAGGCAGAGCACTTGCTCTGAAGCTGACTTTCTATTTTCATTCTGAATACATACTGTAATGACAGACATCATGAAAACCTATGAAACCTTGCTAATAGTAACTGCCAAAAAGTGCTACAGAATAAATAGAATGAGTGACTTGTGGGGGGAGCTGAGGCAGGAGGATTGCAAGTTTGAGGCGAACCTGGGCAACTTAGTGAGACCCTGTCTTAAAATAAAAAGGGTGGGAATGTAGCTTAGTGATAGAGCACCCCTGAATTCAAGTGCCTCTCAGGGTGGGGGGATAATAAATAGACTGACTCCAGAGTAACTCTGACAATGTTGACATCTTTTATTTCTTCCACGATTGAACGCACCATTTCAATACCACCTGGGTTTTCTGGGCAAAGTAAAATCTGCATGCTCATGCAATTTCTATGCTGATAGGAATGAACTGTCATGATTAACATGATTAACTGAGGTATCTAGGGCGGACTGTCAAGAAAGTAAACACTAATGAGTTTAAGCCATTTTAATAAAATTACAAATTACTTATTACTGTCCAAATACTCTTAAAAATAATTATCCTTTCTTTTTTATTAGTTTATTTGTGCAGATGCTGGAACCAAACTAGCTGAATCAACAATCCTGAGCAAGCAGATGATAGCCTCTGTCCCTGGAGTAAGTCCTGACCAAATTAATTGTCTGCATTTTTGTATTTCATAAAATAGTGGTTATGAATGTAGGCTTTAGAGTCACACCAGGGTTTGAGGCCTGCTTTTACTAGCTGTGTGATTTTGCGAAATTATTTAACCTATGATTCTTTGATTTGCATCATATGTAGAATAAGCTATAACTGGGCCTAAGGTACAGGCTGAGGGTGACTGGGACGATTCATGTAAAGCATATTCAAACAGTACCAGCCATGTAGTTAGTAATGCGTAGATTTCGTTGCCTATAATATCTATTAAAAATAATATTAACAAGCATTGCCTATTGTTGGATACTTTTTATTATTTTCTGCAATTGAAATTAATATGCAATGAACACCTTTGTGCATAAATCTTTGTACTTTGGATTACTCCTTATAGATTTCTGGAGTAGAATTATTATACTTTTAATGATATAAGTTTTTTTTAAGTATTCTTTGTAGTAATTAGGGTAATGAAAGATGCTATGAGATAAAATCCCAATTCCCAGCAATTTAACACCAAAGAAACTTATTGTTCCTGTGAGGTTTAAGTGAGCACGCTGATGTCAAGGGAAAGGAACTACCACGCGTGGGCTCAGGGCTCAGGTTTCTTCCTCCATCTGCAGTCCTCTGCCATTCACTGGTGCTTGGGGAAAGAGAAGAGAATGAGGTACATGGGAGATTTTCGTGGGTCAGGTCTAAAAGTGCATGTTTCTTCTACTCACATTTTGTTGGCTGGAGCCCAGTCACATGAGCACACACATCTAACAGCCAGAGAGGATGGGGAATGTGATCTACCTGTGTGCTAGGGAAGAAGAAAAGTGGCTCTGGGAAGTGGCCAGTCCCTCTGCGACACCCTCAGTGTTCCTGATTGATTAGCTTTAGAACTCAATATTTGCTACCTATGATAGTTTGGGAAAAAAAGCCCTAATATGTAAAAGGTTTAATGAAATCAGCAAGTAGAAGGCAAATGTTCAGTAACAACAACAAAGCAGCAGTTGTAGGATTCACATATAGAACCTTTCCAAGGACCAGTTAATAAGCCATTTGAAAGAAACTTTTTACCCTTACATGTAATCAATGAATTACAAATTAATAAAATAAAAATAAAAGTGAAGCAAAATAAAAGAATATTTGAAAATATAAAAATTAAAATTGGCTAGTAAATCAGTATATTTATTTTTCTTTTTTAAAAATAGTTGCTTTAAGGGAAGGGAAAAATCCCTCTATTAGCGTCTAGTTGACCTTAATTGGCTGGGTGGGGGGGAACAGATATAAAAAGCACTGCGTCCTTAATGTATGCCGCTTGATGATTGGAGATGGAATATACCTGTGGAACTGTCACAGCACAATTTCTGCTTATCTGCCATCTCCCCATTTGCTTATTTATTATTATTATGATAAGAACACTTAATATATAAGAAAACTTAATATATTATAAGATCAACCCTGTGACAAATTTTACGTTCATGGTAGCATTGCTAACTGCAGGCACTGTGCTGCCCAGTAGAGTTCCAGGGCTTATTTATCTTGCATAACTGAAGTTTTTTACCTTGTGGCCGGTACCCCCATTCCAGAATTTTCTTGATGATTAAACTTATTTATGGTGAAGGGAAACAAGCATTTTAGCTGTTGGTGGTAGTGAAAGCAACTTTACTAGAGTACAGTTTAACAAACTACTTCTAGGAATATGTTTGAGAAAATAAATATGCATCAAAAGATTTATAAGCAGGTTATGTTGTACAGCATCTCTTAAAATAGCAAAAATATGGAAACAAAAATAAGTGTCCAATATTAGAGTTTTGTTTAATAAAGTTAGGTACATCTGACTATTACAATGTAGCTACTAAATCAATGTTCCAAAGAATATTTAAGTAATTGGAAAATGCTTGTGATGGATTTAATTAAAAAGCAAATTAGCAAAAGGTTGTTTCAATCTTATAAATATTATGCATATGTGTGCTTTTTTATATGCATCAAAAAACTTGAAAGGAAATTTTAACGGTTAGTTTTCAAAGAGGTGGAGAACAAGTATTAGGATTACAGTGATTTTAATTGTTCTTTTTAGTAACTTGTATTTCCAAATTTTCTACAATGAGCATACATTCTTCTATAATTAAGAAATGTAACTTAAACCTCAAATATGTTTTAAAGAAGAATTGTGTGTGCTCTGCTTCAATTCCTGTTTCTGAGGTTAGAGTACATTTTTTCCACTCCTTTTTCATCATTTTCCTATTGAAAATGAAACAAATGGAGCTTGACTCCTTATGTTCTGTTTTGTTTTTAAAAATATCACATCTAAGTTATACTTCTGCTTTACAAAGTAGAAAAAGAGGGATTGTAAATTATCTATTTTGTTTTGTGTATGTAGCTGGCTCCCTACATCCTGAATAAAAAGTGGATTTTAAGGCTTTTACTGGGCATAATTGCTGTCTCTAGAACAAAATACCTATGTAATAGTAAAGTCTTTGCTCTCATTTCTTGAGATTCAGACTTAAAAGGTGAATATTGAATAATGCTCCTGGTAATGACTTTCCGTGACATTTGCCTAGTTGAACTGGTATAAAATACTGCTTATGAAAGAAACAAATCCCTTTCAAGAAATTCAAGAACAGAGTCTATGCTCCTATTTGCATGATGTGTGAAAGGTCAAAGAAAATGGAATAAACCAGGGGGAAATCCTCCTTGCACAGAAGGATTCATATTGCAAAAGCAGGAACACAATAACCTTTTACAATTCCTTCACTTGATTCAAATTAAAAGAAGAAAACCTTAGAACATATGAAATGCTTGGAAAACACTCTGACAGACTGCCACTAGCCTTATTTTACTGTTTGTTATCCTGTCAGAAGAACTGACAAGCGTAACATTCTAGAAGAGAGAGGAGGTGATAGAGTTCAGTGCTATGCAGATTTACATGAATATAGGAAAATGAGAGCCACTGGGTGAGCTAGTTAAGTCTATAATGTTCCAGATTTTCCTAAAGAAAGCCAAGAGAAGCCTTTAGCATGGTATTCATACCGCTTCAAAGACTGCCTGCTTTTGATCCACATTATACCCGGCCTGATGTGTGGGTTCTCTCATACGGCTTTGATGTAGCAGCCTGTCTGTTCATTTTCCTTTGCTTTGCTTATAATCCTACATTTGCTGCATTTCCCCGAGAAGGCAGGTCTCTGCCGCTTAATAACCTCAAACACAAACATGCTTTATTTTCCTTCAAAAGTTCCCTAACATACTTTAGGTATGTACAGAAGGTGACCATTTTTGTTTCTTTTTCCTATCTATCTCTAGCAAGAACTTGACATGGATACCTGTGTCTATTTAGTAGTGCCCCGACTATCTACATGAAGTTAAGTTGTAAGCGACTTGACTTGAACATAAGAATTTTTGAGTCAGCAAAAGAATGTTTATATATATTTAGTTAGTAATATATATGTGCACACATTTAAAGAGATAAGATTCTGGTGGTGAAATTTGGTAACACATTTTACTTACATTTTAGATTTCCCCAGAGTGATAGTGTTAACAGTAGTTTTGAGGTGATAATGGCATTATGTATGATTCATGTGTACAGACCAGCTTAAAAATAAGCAAAAATCAGTGTCATTACCCAGGGGAAACAGCATTTAACTCTGCCCCTGGAAAGCGCCCCTATGTCTTTATTCTGCCACAAACCTTTGAGTAATTTCTGCCCAAACCATGGGCAGACAGTCACAGACTAAGCTGGGTGGTAGAGTGAGTCAGAAATCCAGAAAATGCAACAAGTCCTTAGCAAAGAGGGTACAACTAGAGTGGGTTGGACAGAAATGCAGCTGTGGCCAGTCGTGTGTTTGTGTTTCAGTGTGGGACCGCAGCCATGGAGTGCGTGCGGCAGTCCATTGGTGAAGTGCTGGACTTCATGGCGGACATGCACACGCTGACCAGACTGAAGGTAGGACCCCATCTGCTCATATCTTAGATTCACTAAATGCAAGATGTTTTTAAAGGATTAAACAAACCATGTGGGGAATTTATTGGTACCTGGGGAGGCAGCTGGAACATTGTTAAATGAGCCCATATCTTGGGGTCTGAAGAACTAGAGTCCAGTTCTGCAAAAAAAGAAAAGAAGAAAGATAGTCATATGACATGAGCTTTGTACACACCTTTATTTTTGCCATTTATTCAGTTTCACAATATCCCTATTATAATATTATCCCCATTTTACAAATTCAGTAACTGAGGCTTGGTCTGATGTAGCATTTTGGTCAAGGTGACACTACTAATAAGTAGTTGAACCTAAGGCTGTTGTGACTCCCAATCCATCTCCTTTTACTGCGCCACATGGAGTCATTTAACTCCCTGGAGCTTCAGTTTCCTCATTTGCAAAGTGAGTCTATGACACCTCCCTTGCCTGATTGTTATAGGGTTTATATAAAATAATGTATGCAAAGAGAATTTCTTACACACTAGCACCTTATGCAGACATAGCCATTTATTATTTTTATCTGCAATTGAAGTTATCTTCTTCAAGAAAATAATTAAAGAGGGGCTGGGGTTGTGGCTGAGTGGTAGAGCACTTGCCTAGCATGCATGAGGTACTGGGTTCGATTCTCAGCACCATGTATAAACAAATAAATAAATAAAGGTCCATCAATAACTAATAAAAATTTTAAAAAAGAAAATAATTAAAGAAGGGGAGAGAACAAAATTTAATTTGCATATGGACAAAATCTCAGTGAAGTTGTTGAGTTTATTGATTGTTTTACAAGGTGGAATAAATAACTGATATGGGTCCACTTCTCTTCCATGATTCAACCAGGGAGCCAAAAGATTAATAATCTGAAAGTCTTGAGGAAGGCCCTGGATGGAGGGCAGATGAGAATCCAAACATGATCCAAGAGCAGCCAAATTGCAATTTAGCACTGAATGATTTCTTTTTGATAAACAAGAACTTAGTGATCCAAGAAGTTCAACAGCTAAAAATGTGGTTCCTTTTTCACTGAGCTTAGTTTTTAGACGCTGCTTAGATGATCTTGGTACAGTGATAAATTTGCAAATGTTAGGTGCAAAGGAGAATCAAAATTAAGCTCATTATGTGTAATCTAGAGAAGAAAAATAAAGAATGACATGAAAGTAGGAGGGGGATTATAAGAGAGGTGAGAGGGGACACGGGGGAGGTGGGAGGAGAGGAAAGATAGGGAAGCAGGGAAGGTAGATATGACCAGAGTATGTTATATGCATGTGTGAAATTATCACAGTGAAAGCCACTATTTTGTACAATTAACACATTAATAATTATAATTTAAAAAATAAGCTGAAAATTTCTCATCATGTGTAAAACCTGTCATTTTTTTTGGTGGGGGGGGTGGCTGGTACCAGGGATTGAATTTGGGCACTTGACCACTGAGCCACATCCTTAGCCCTGTTTTGCATTTTATTTAGCGACAGGGTCTTGCTGAATTGCTTAGCACCTTGCTTTTTCTGAGGCTGGCTTTAATTTGTGGTCCTCTTGTCTCAGCCTCTGGAGCTGCTGTGATTACAGGTGCCCAGCTTAACCCCAGTCATTTTTTTAAAGCAAGAATATGCATTTTATATCTTTATCTTATTTATTTGTGTGTGGTGCTGAGGATCGAACCCAGGGCCTTGCACTTGCTAGGCAAGTGCTCTACCACTGAGCCACAATTCCAGCCCCAATCCCAGTCATTTTTAAGAAAACTCCCCTACCATTTGGTCACATGCTGGTTACTAATTACTGAATATAGGTGCCCACACTTAAAATGACTTTGATGCATAAATAAGAGGAAATGATTATTACTAAAGCATTTTGAGATTGTTTTGCAGACATTTTCAAAAAATATTAAGAAAGAGACATAGACTGGGTATATAGCTCAGTTGGTAGAGTGCTTGCCTTGCATGCACTAGGCCCTGGGTTCAATCCCCAGTACCACACAGACACACACACACACACACACACACACACACACACACACACATACACAAAAGATCCATGATGATTAAAAGGTTGGAAACTGTAGACATAATCCAACCATCTGACCTTGCATATTAGGAAACAGATCAGAAAGGTCAAGGGGCAAGTGGTTTCTCTCAGGCCATGTCGCTAGTTAAGACAGGAGTGGGTCTCAAGTCCCAATTCACTGTATTTTCCCATTAAGCCACACTAAGCATAAAGCTTTCAAAATTAATTAAGAAATATGTATTGAGCACCTATAATATGTCTAGCTCTGTTCTAGCATTGGGGCTGCAGTAGTGAGCCAAAGCAGACATAATTGCTGCCCCCACTTAACTTATAGTCTACTAGAAAGCTGAATTTAATGAACATTTCACACAAACCAAAGTGAAATTATGACTCACAGTTGGTATAAAGAATGAGTCGACAGTGGCATGGACCAGCCAAGGAATTCAGGGAAGGCTTCCTAGGGGAAGTAACTCTTGAGCTAAAATCTGAACAAATGGGTGAAAAGGGCAGGGACAGTATTTCAGGCAGAGGAACAGCAGAGCCAGTGCAGCTAGAGCTGGGATGGGTGGAGGTGAGATGTGGAGGCTGCAGGAATCAGACTTTCTGGCTGTACAGGTCCTGCTGAGGAATGATTCCCTACTTGGTCCTAAAAACAATGTGAAACCATTTTAGTTTAATCAGGTTGTGGGTTTGAGGTGGTGATGGGAGGGGAAGGGACAACCTGATGTTTGAAGAGTGCCTGGCATGTCTCCACTGTCTGCCAAAGTCACAAAATATCATTTGGTTTTGCAGAGCCACATGAAGACGTGCTCCCAGCCTCTGCATGAAGATACATTTGGCGGACACCTCAAAGTGGGTCTGGCTCAGATTGCTGCTATGGAAATCTCCCGGGGCAACCACAGAGATAACAAAGCCGTGATCCGTTATCTGCCTTGGCTCTACCACCCTCCTTCTGCCATGCAGCAAGGGTGAGACCCTTGTTATTCTAGGGATGAAGGAAGACAAGACCAGAAATGTCCCTGAGGCTCCTGGGGCTCATCCAGAGCTTGCCATGCACTGAAGAGTCATGAGAGTCAAGTATGATTGGTTAGGAAGATGGAAATCAGGGTCCCACCCCATACCTACTTGCTAACCTTGGGCACCTTGTGGGATGCTGCCAGTAAAAGAAACTTGCCCTTGTACATATGAAAACCTCCATCATCCTCATGGAGGATGAAAACTTAAAACAGAGTTATCACTTTAGCTCAGTTTCAACTAGTGAAATAATTCCATAGGTACATTTCTAGCACTCGCATGGCCTATGCTCTTAAGTAGCTTAGTTTATAGCTGGAACCAAGTGTCAGCAGGGATGAAATAGTGCAAGGAGATGCAAGCCCCTGCTCCTGCCTCTAGGGGGGCTGGAGGAGAGGCAGGTTTCCCTGGGAACTCAGAGAAGACTTGAGCCTGCTGTTTTGCATGGTCCGCCTTCCTGTAGAGGAAAGGATGGGGGTGGTAAAGAGAGCAGGAGGAGAAAATTGTGTGCAGAAAACTGTGCAGCCAGGTATATGTCTGCTCCTCTGTTCCCTCCCTCCAGTGAGAATGTCAGAGAAGAACTTTCTGATGAGAAGAAAGGAAAGGGTTCAAAAGAAGCAGGTCAGAGGCAGCCAGGCCACAGAGGAATGATACTTAATCCTCTGCCACCAATGGCCGTTCTTTGCTCAAGAAGCTAAACTGCAGGATTAGAGTGAAAAACAAGAAAACAAATGCATCATTTGATTGATACTCTAGCGCCTTGGTGTCATATTTTATGTAATTGCTGGCAAGACCTCATTTTTAATCTCTTCCTTCAATAAACATTCATGTGCCTCCAACAAAACAGAAAACATAAACTCATCTTTAACACATCCTTCTTCTCTAACAGACCTAAAGAATTCATTGAGTGTGTCTCCCACATCCGTCTGCTGTCATGGCTGCTTCTGGGTTCCCTCACTCATAACGCAGTGTGTCCGAACGCCTCCTCTCCCTGCCTTCCCATACCTCTGGATGCAGGTTCCCATATTGCAGACCATCTTATTGTTATCCTGATTGGATTTCCAGAGCAATCAAAGGTAAGTGATTTCTGCAAGATTAGGACCATGTGCATCAAAATTGCTAATGGAAACCCTTATCAGCCAATTATGTTTCTTCTCAGAAGTAAATGCATCTTGTCACTTGCCCTCCTGTGGATATTAGAAAAGCAACTTTGTGCTAATGCCTTATTTAAAGTTGTTTAAATTCCCAGACTGTCTTTTTTCCCCCTAAATTGTTTTCTGGCTTACTTTTATGAAGATAAATTATGGAGGCAGGCAAGAGTTGGCTTCCCAGGCTAGAAATATAATAAAAATTCTGTGATCAGTTTTCCAAACCAAGACTGAAGAGGAGAAAAACTTATACTCTAATTCTTCATGCACTCTTTCCAATTAAAATCTCTAGGGGTCCATGAAAATGCAACATGAAAATAAGAAGGCTAGTGGAAGCTCCCTAAAGCACACCCTGGAATCACCTGCACAGAGAAACTTTGTAAATCATAGAGACAGGTGATGTACTTAAGGGGATAAAGTAAGCTACTGATCCTGACTCTGCTTGTGCAAACCAGACACTCCTAACAAGCTACAATGGCAAAATCCTTTTCCAGAGCTCAGACGAGTCCAGGGAGGTCCCAGTGGGTTTGGGGAAGTTGGGCTTTGGGCCAGGACAAGCTGATAAAATGGAGCACCCACCCATCTATGGTTGCCAAAAGAAATCAAGCAATCAATCAGTTTCTATTTCAATCCAAATCTGTGTTTGATTCCTAACCAAAGTACTTATAATTTTGTGAGCTTGAGTATGTTACTTAACCTTTCTGAGCTCTTGTGTTCCATCTGTAGAGTAGATTGAGGGGGTAATTTGAGAGTGATAGAAGTGATCTTTGGAAAGTCTTTTGTACTGTCCCTGGTATGCTGTAGGTACTTACTCAATGAATCCTTACCAGCGAGGAAGGAAAACCCTTACTGCTGCTGCTGCTGCTACAAGTGTAATTATTAAGAGCTGGGAATTGTGTTCTGTATTACCTCGTTTGCTCCTAACTCCACTTCTTGGAACAGGCTACAATTATTCCCACTTTACAGATGAGGAAACATCCTAAAACAGTAGAATGATTATTCTTCCTGATATGGTTTACGGATAGGAATGTCAGTTTCATTAAAGAGCGAGGGGGGTGAGTAGATTTGTTCTGCTAATGACGATGCCCTCTCTTGGAAAAGAGGCTTTGTTCTCTGAGCACACTCCCACCTACAAGGAAGAGCAGACTGTTCTAAGGTGATGAGTCACGAGTTTGTAACTGAGATAACTCCTGTGTGCAAGGGCTGTGCTCCCTGGCAAGGCTGCTAGAGGCCCGCAGCAGTGCCCTGTCTTCTCCTCTCCAGACATCCGTGCTCCACATGTGCTCCCTCTTCCACGCATTCATCTTTGCTCAGCTCTGGACGGTATACTGCGAACAAAGTGCCGTAGCTACGAACGTGCAAAATCAGAATGAATTCAGCTTCACGGCAATATTGACAGCACTGGAGTTTTGGAGTAGGGTGACACCCAGCATCCTCCAGCTAATGGCCCATAACAAAGTGGTGAGTTCTCAAAGAAGACTCCCCTCTGGGATACAGTCTCATAATGTCTAGACCACACTCAGTCCCTTCTGACACCTGTTCTTTTACAGATCTCAGTGGTCAGATTGTGTAAATACGTCAGGGATTTATTTTGTTAATAAGATGGACATTCTACTTGCATAAGAATTTGGTTGAAAACAACACAAATGGTAGTCAAGAGATCTGTTGTACTTCATGGTGACACTTGAAAATTGCTAAGAGGTATATTTTAAGTGTTCTCATCCAAAAATAAGCATACAAGTAATACATATGTTAAATATCTTCACTTAGTCATTCTACATTATATATATGTATCAAAACATCATATCATAGACTGTAAGTATTTAGAAACCCAAAGAAAGTAAAAAGCAAACAATTTTTATTTTTCCTGCCTAATGCCAAACAAACTTTATATGAAATTTCGACCTTTAAGGTTTTATTGTTCTATGAAGTCAGACGGTTAAAAGGGAGATTCAAACAATTTTTGGATTCCAAAGCAATTTGGGAAAATCTTAGCCAGTTAGGTCATCTTTTTAAGAGCGCAAACTGACCCCAGGAGTTCATTCTAGTCAGCCCAAACGAGCCTTACCTTTTTGGGTTGCCTTAGTAGTGATTTTTAAACTGCTCCCCAGATTTCAAGTCCATTTTACTATTTATGGCTCACCTTAGAAAGGGGCTGCTCCAGACTGCATGCTTAGCCTAAGCACACGTCATTGATAAGGCTGGTCCTCACTGAGTCAGTTGGAGGGCATGGGAGGAATTTACAAGGAGTCTTTGGGTTCCAGTTGCTATGCCAGAGGAGGGTGCTCAGTCAGGAGGACGGCAGCCAATGTCTTGCTTACAGGGGAACCACCAGTGGACAAGGAGTGGGGGACCCAGAGCAACCATCTGATGATTCCAGTGTGCGCGAAACCATACTGCCCTGTGCACCAAAGGCATTTGGGACATGATTTTTTAGTTGATTGAATATTAATCTAGAAAATATTTTCTTTTAGCTCTAGTTAGGAAGGGAATTATACATTTTCTTCAGTTAAGCCCTTTCTTTGTTTTAGAGAAGCACATGTTGCAATTTTATAGAGGGAGAGGTTTTAGTTGAATGTAAAGAACATTATTTGAAAATTTTAGGCTTTACAAACAATTCTGACTGCTCCAATTCATTGGATCACAGATTCTAGCATTCTATTATGTTATTTTAAATAAAACACTGAAATTAGAGGCTGAGACAGGAGTATGGCGAGTTCAAAGCCAGCCTCAGCAAAAGCGAGGCACTGAGCAACTCAGTGAGACCCTGTCTCTAAATAAAATACAAAATAGAGCTGGGGTGGTGGCTCAGTGGTCGAGCACCCCTGAGTACAATCCCTGGTACCTGCCCCCCAGACCCCCCCCCCAGGAAAACAGTGAATTAGAATCTTACACTTTAATCTAGGTATTAAAACTCTCCTTCTGCTGTCATTACTTTCTTGATACCAAATGTTATGTGTTGCCAGTGAATTTTTTACAAATGATATTTCAAATGAATTTAAATTAATTTTATACTGAAAATCTTGTTGGACAATATAAGCCTATCTGATAAAATCCTTCAGGAGTATTAAAAATCCAGCCTCAGGCATTTCCGATGAGGGATCTCATATCCATTGTACTTTGGAACTGTTGTATTTCATGGCTCCCTTGTTCAGTAGAGAACAAAGCCTCAGAGGCAGATCTGCAGTAAGTTAAGCAGCCATTCCCTGTGGGAAACAGGGAAGACAGGATCAAGGTGGAGGAAATGACCCAAGCTTTGTCCTCCGGTGTGAGTGAGTCCTAGGCTGTGCAGATTAGTGAGGTCAATGCCTGAGTGCCCTCCGCAACCTTGAGTTAGAAGATAAAGGAACAACAATTCCAAGACCTCTGGAGGGTTTTTAAATTCCATTTCCTGTTTGAGTTTTAGAGGTGAATGAACACCACTCTTTGTGGTTCCCTGTGGCCATTATGCAGAAAGCCTTCCTGGGCACAGGGGCATTAGGTGCCTGTGACTGTAGACTAGTTCATTATATTAAGTCGGTATATCACTGGGAGTGGAATTGACTTTCATGTTTGTTGTTTCAGATGGTAGAAATGGTGTGTCTCCATGTGATTAGTTTAATGGAGGCATTGCAAGAATGCAATTCAACCATTTTTGTCAAGGTAGGACAATCTTACAATTTTCTTATACACCATTTTATATTGCCAAAAACCAATGTGAAAATAAAATGGATTTAGTTTTAACATTTAGAGTTGGGAGTGGAGGATTTAGGCTTCTTCAACAACCTTTTACCAGATGGTTCTTGTTATTTTTGCTTTTGTTCTACCACTGTGACCAACTCTTCCATGTCAGACCATGACTGCATGTGGCACAGGAATGAAAATATTACTGCGGAACACTGATCTGAAAATGACCCTATTATAGTATAAATCAGTTGGTGGTACTTCATTTTGTGACAGATATCTGGAAAATCAAGGAAAATAGTCTGTAATTATTGACCTGCTATCTGGTGCTTTTCTCTAAGATAAATGAATTTTTATTTTAAATATTATATTAAGTCAGTATACAGCATGTAATAATTCAAGCATATGTCTTCTTCCCAGGGACATTAGGAACAGACTAGTGTGGTGCACAATTAAAAAGTAAAGTAGAACTTGGTTCTCACTCCCTTTGTCTTGCTAGCTCCCCCTTTATCTTGTCCTTTCCATCATTCTGCCTCTTTGTTTTACCTGTCATTCTTCTTTCCTCCTCTCTCACCTTTTCCACTTGCCGGAGTGTATCATTTTGGAACCTTAGGACTTGCTATTTCACTTCATGATTAATTTCATTCTTGGTTCAAGACACTTTTCATGTTAACTCACACTGTGATGAAGAAAAGCAGCCTTTTTTTCAGGGAAAACTTGACTGTTACCAGAACTGTGCAAGGTCATTGGTTCAATGGTATAGAGATATATGTTTTATCTAGCTCAATATAGCACAAGTCAATACTGTGACAGAAATGATGTGACTGACAATTGGATGCTTCTACCTGGTGTTATTTTTTACTGAAGTGTAATAATTTATATATGGCAAATTGCATGTATTTAAATGGTGCATTTTGTTAAGTCTTGACATATGTTACTCTCATGAACCCATCACTACAACCAAGATTTTTTTACCCCCCACAAAGTTTTCTTTTGTTAATTTATAGTCCCTCTATTTACCACTTCCTGTCCCCAGGCAGCTACTATTCTGTTTTCTGTCACATAGGTTAGTTTTCTATAAATAGTTTCATTCTATACTTTCTGCTTTCTTTTTCTCATAATGATGACATTGCAATTAATCCATGTTTTTCCATGTATGAATAGGCCATTACTTTTTTAAAGAATTTTTTATTTGTCCTTTTTCATTATACATGACAGTAGAATGTATTTTGAAATATCATATTACATGGAGTATAATTTCCCATTCTTATGGTTGTAAATGATGTGGAGTTATACAGATCGTGTATTTATATGTGAACATAGGAAAGTTATTCTGATTCGTTGTATTATCTTTACCATTCCCATCCTCCATTCTTTCCCCTTTATTACCCCCCCAACAGCTGTCCAATCTGGTGAACTTCTACTTCTCCTTCCTCCTTTTCCTGATCTATTGTGAGTCAGCATCTGCATATCAGAGAGAATATTCGGCCTTTGGTTTTTAGGTATTGCCCTATTTCATTTACCATGATAGTCTCCAGTTCCATCCATTTACCAGCAAATGCCATAATTTTATTCTTCTTTATGGCTGAGTAATTTTCCATTGTGTACATGTACCACATTTTTCTTTATCCATTCATCTTTTGAAAGGCACCTAGGTTGGTTCTGTAGCTTAGCTATTGTGAATTTTATGACTGCTTTTTCTGTTTTTATGAATAACATCACTGGAACCTTAATAAGAATTGCATTAAATTTGTATAGCACTTTTGGTAGTATGGCCATTTTGATAATATTAATTCTGCCTATCCAAGAAAATGGTAGATCTTTCCATTTTCTATTTCTTTCTTTAGTGTTATGTGGTTTTCATTGTAGAGGTCTTTCATCTCTTTTGTTAGATTGATTCCCAAATATTTTATTTTTCCTTGAGGGTATTGTGAATGGGATATTTTTCCTAATTTCTCTTTCAATTGATTCATCACTAATATATAGGGATACAATTGATTTATTGGTGTTAATTTTATATCCTGCTACTTTGCTGAATTCATTTATGAGTTCTAGAAGTTTTCTGGTGGAGTTTTTGGGTTTTATAAATATAGAATCATGCATCAGCAAATAAGGATGATTTTGAGTTCTTCTTTTCCTATTCATATCTCTTTAATTTCTTTCTTCTATCTAATTGCTCTGGCTAGAGATTCCGTAACTGTTGAAATCTGTGGGGAAAGAGGGCATCCCTGTTGTGTTCCTGTTTTTAGGAGGAATGTTTTAAAATTTTCTCCATTTAGAATGATGTTGGCCTAGGGATTACCATAGATAGCTTTTACAGTGTTGAGGTATGTTCTTAGTATCTCAAGTTTTTCTAGTGTTTTAAACATGAATAGATGCTGTATTTTGTCAAATGCTTTTTCTGCATTTCCTGAGATAATCATGTGGTTTTTGTCTTTTAGTCTATTAATGTGATGAATTATGTTTATTGATTTCCATATGTTGAACCAACTTTGGGACAAACCCCACTTGATCATGGTACACTATCTTTTTAATATATTTATTAAATATATTAATATATTTTCCTATGCCATTTGCCAGAATTTTATTGAGAATTTTTGCATCTATGTTTGTCAGGGATATTGTTCTGAAATTTTCTTTCCTTGATATGTCTTTGTCCAGTTTTGGTGTCAGGGTAATACTAGCTTCATAGAATGAATTTGGAAGTATTCCCTTCTTTTCTATTTCATTAAATAATGAAAGAAGTTGTTTTGTGGCCTATGATATGGTCTACTTTAGAGAAGGATCCATATGCTGCTGAGAAGAAAGTATATTCACTCTTTGAAGGTCTGGTAGAACTCATCTGGTCCTGGGCTTTCTTTCTTGGTAGGCTTTTGATGGTATCTTCAGTTTCATTTCTTGAAATTGATCTGTTTAAATTTTCTATGTCCTTCTGATTCAATTTGTTTAGGTCATATGTCTCTAGAAATTTGCTGATGTCTTCAAGATTTTCTATTTTATTAGAGTATAAATTTTCAAAATAGGTTCTGATTATCGTCTGTATTTCAGTAGTGTCCATTGTGATATTTCCTTTTTCATTGCAAATTTTAGTAATTTGAGTTTTCTCTCTATTTTTCTTGGCTAAGGGTTTATCAATTTTATTGACTTTTTTTTCAACTTTTTCTTTTGTTGATTTTTTTATTGTTTCTTTTGTTTCAATTTCATTGATTTGAGCTTTGATTTTAGTTATTTTTTGTCTTTACTGCTTTGGTATTGATTTGTTCTTCTTTCCCTAGTGTTTTGAGATGTAAAGTTAGGCTATTTATTTGCTGACTTTCTATTCTTGTAATGAATGAGTGCAATGCAATGAACTTTCCTCTTAGCACTACCTTCATAGTGTCCCAGAGATTTTGATATGTTGTATTGCTATTCTCATTTACCTCTAAGTACTTTTTTTTATTTCATCCCTGATTTCTTCTGCTATCCAGTCATCATTCAGTAGTGTATTATTTATTCTCCAGGTGTTAGAGTACCTTTTATTTTTTATTCTATTGTTGATTTGTAATTTCATTCCATTATGATCTGATAGGATGCAAGGTATTATCTCTATTTTATTGTATTCTCCAAGAGTTGTTTTATGGCCTATGATATGGTCTACTTTAGAGAAGGATCCATATGCTGCTGAGAAGAAAGTATATTCACTCATTGATGGACGAAATATTCTATATATGTCTGTTAAGTCTAAATTATTAATTGTATTTCTTAGTTCTATAGCTTCTTATTTAGTTTTTGTCTGGAATATCTATCCAGTGGTATTTAATTTGAATTAGTGGTGAGAGAGGTTGTTAATATCATCCAGTATTAGGGTGTTGTGGTCTGTTTACTTCTTGAAATTGAGAAGGGTTTGTCTGATACACATAGATGCTCCATAAATACTTATGATTGTTATGTCTTGTTGATGCATAATTCCCTTAAGCAGTGAATGATATTTTGTTTTCCATCCTATTACCTTCAGTCTCTGCATGTCTTTGCCTGTGAAGTGAGCCTCTTGAAGAAAGGATATTGTTTGGTCTTGCTTCTAATCTAATCTGCCAGTCTATGTCTTTTGATTAATGAGTTTAGATCATTTATATTCAATGTTATTATTAATGAGGTATGATTTTTATTCCCTGTCATTTTGACTTATTTCTAGTTTTTAATTTGAATTAGTTTCTCCATTGATTCGCTGTTCTTTTAGTGTAGTTTCTCCTTTTTCTGGTTTTCACTTTCATTTTTCATTTCTTCTTCATGTAATATCTTATTGGTTATATTTTTTGTAGTGCAGGCTAATTGTGAACTCTTTTAACTTTTGTTTAGCTTGGAAAGATTTTATTTTTTCATCATCAATTCTGAAGCTTAATTTTGCTGGGTATAGTATTCTTGGCTAATTTTTATTTTCTTTCAGAGTTTGGTATATATTATTCCAAGACCTTCTAGCTTTGAGGTTCTGGGTTGAGAGATCAGCTAAGATCCAGATTACTGTCCCTCTCAATGTTACTTGTCATTTTTCTCTGGCATCCTTTAAAATTCTATCCTATTCTGTAAGGCATTTTTATTATAGTGTACCTTGGTATGGATCTGTTGTAATTTTGTATATTTGGCATCCTGTAAGCCTCCTGAATTTGATTTTCCATTCATTCTTTTTTGGAGGGAGGGTACCAGGGATTGAACTCAAGGGCATTCAACCACTGACCAGCTCTATTTTGTGACAGGGTCTCATTGAGTTGCTTTCCATCTTGCCATTGCTGAGGCTGGCTTTGAACTTGAGACTATCCTGCCTCAGCCTCCCAAGCTGCTGGGATCACAGGCATGCAGCACCATGCCCCAGCTCCATTTTATTCTTTAGGATTGGGAATTTTTCTGATATTATTTCATTGAAAAGATTGCTCATTCCTTTCATTTGTATCTCTGAGCCTTCATCTATACCAGTAAATCTTAAATTTGGTTTTTTAAGTTTATCC